GCAGAAGAGGCGGGCGTTACGGAGGCCAGAATTCAGGTAGGTGTTCTTTGAAACGAATTCAATCCTTATCTTAAAATCATTACATTAAATTATAGTATTAAGCGCATAATATAGCGCAGTATAACTGAGAGCCTAACCGATATATCTTTCAGTATCAGTAAAGTTTCAATGACATCACGACAAAATCGTTATTCTGTGAGTCCTAATCGATATTTTCGCGAGTTATAAAATCATTCTTGATTTCTTTCCAGGTGTGGTTCCAGAACCGTCGTTCACGTAGTCGTCGCACCAAGACGAAGCCCACCAACGTCGCCCGTCGTGATTCCGGTTTTGTCTCGTCCTCACCCTCACCACAGAAACTGACGCCACCCAAGAAGCCGGAGTTCGCCTTGCCAGCACCAGCAGTGACGTCGCCTTTCCGCCACGGCTACCCGTTCTCCTACCCGTATCTGTTCGGGTGTTCACCACTGATGTCTCCCGCCATGTACCCGATGTTGACCGGCTACACCGACGTTGCATCCATGATGCCCACGTCACCGATGTTCTCCCCCACCGCCAGTCCAACCTTCCAGCGCCTCTTCGAATTTCCATCCAGTCACATACCCGGATCTCCCCTGACGAAGCCCATCACCCAGAGCCCTACCCTGACATCCACCCGTCCTGGACTGACCCCCTCTTCATCCAGACTTCCCAAGCCACACCCTATCCGCCTGCCCCAGATGTCGTCTGCTGATTCAAGTCCTGTCGTCTGCAAGTTGGAGCCATCTTCCACTTCCGGTCTTGAGAGAAGCATTAGTCCCGTGCATTCAGAGGAGGAGATTGACGTCACTTCCAGTGCGTGATCGTAAAAACAGGATTTAGTTGACAAAACTTCATACAAGCAGCTGTATTGTGCATCAAATATATCGAAGGCGGATAATAGGGTCCTTTCCAAATGTAACAAGAATTTTCTCCTGATATTGTTGAAGACCGCCGGTAAACTCGACCCTTTTCATTTGCACGTATGTGATAGTGCTGATGTGTTTTGTATAACAATATTATTACAATGTCAACTACTAACCTCAATATTCATATACCCATTCTAGTGCTAATTTATCAATGTACAGATTGTCTGTATACATGTATATATTTGGTAGTGCTGTGTCACATGTATATATTGCATTAGTGCTGTGTCGGACTTCATTGTAAATGTGGTTTATTTCATGTCTGAAATTAAAATATCACTCATTAAACGGTTGTGTTTGTAGTCTGTGCAGTGAGATGTGAGGTTGTTTAATTACGGTGGGTTGGGCAGTTTCTTGCCGACGATGCGAGTGAGTGTACTTTTACGCATGCACCCTTGTCTGGACCGTGTATGCTTGCTGAAATACAGCTGAATCCACACACATGTGTAACACGGCTTAGGTGCACATTTACCAAGCGCATGCAACAAAACAGATCATTTTCCGAAAAACTGTATCCCGACAGTTGGTAATGAACGCCCTCAGTAATATTGGTCTTAATATTCCAACTATGTGACAGCGGGGCTTGCCTTCATATCGCCTACAATAATTATAATGGCCAGTTCTACCACCGCTATCATAATAATGGGTATTAGGGCTGCGCAATATAACCAGTTTACCGGTATATACCGGTTCAGACATGAAAACGATACGTATTGCGATATGCTGATTGAAAACCGGTATTTTGACAGGCATTCGAAAAGACTTCGTAACACTCGAAAATCTAAATTGTTCCTTTCCTTTTTTATTTGTGTCAAATATTATTTACATTTTTATTTTGTCATGATTAAAAGTTTTTATTAAAGCTTAATCAAACATGGTGATTTTGTTGTTTTTGCTTTATAAATCAAGCATTAACTCGATTATAAGTAGTTTTTTGTTAAAAAAATAACTTTTTGCAATATATTGCAATACATATCGCAATATATGCTTTCGCATCGCAATATATTGCAATATGAAAATTCTCTACAATACCCAGCCCTAATGGGTATTACCCAACTGGCTGTAACCATTAAACAAATAGATCTTGTACATTGTCTGTGTGCCATGACTTACTATCTACTTACTTCAGTATCATTTCATCAACCATACATGTTTTGACGTCATCAATGAAATGTTAAAACGTTTTAGGATTCGCATGGCGTGTATGGAGTTTTCTGGAAGTAGTTCGTGGATTGACGTAATTTGCATAGTTATCATATTTGGATACCCAGTATATTAGATTGCTCTATTGCACCGATAAAACCCTCCATAAGATGATAAGGGTATTTTATCATATACCTATCAATAATATGGACTATTTTGCACATACAATACTGGCTGTTGGCACATGTCCATATTGACCACCCGGCCGAAAATGCATATCAGCCATATCAGTCTTAGGGCCGAAAATCCGAATCAGTCGTGTTGCCCGGCTACTAAACTGGTACGGAATGAATACACGCAAACGCTCGAAATGTCAATAGACGGAGCCTAGTTTATTTTAGAGTTACGTCCCTTGATGTGGTAAACGATAAAAAGGTTATGACGTGACAGTCTTCCTTTCGCCACTCATAGCACCCCGAGACTACCACATCAGCCCTCGGTCTAATAACCTCATAATAGTGGGATAACAGGGTAGGCTACAACATAAACCATACGCGCTTGCGAGCAAGAAATCGATGTTCAACTCCAGCTCTTACTGCAGTGTTCTAAGGAAAATACTAAGAATTATCATAACATGTTTAGGAACACGGCCAAACAGTAAGAAACCAATCTCATCACATCATTTACTTCCATGTATGGCGCGTCTATGTGTGAAGGTCTGATGGCACTTCTATTACTGGTACAGGTGCCACTGGTCTCAGAAGCGTCAGGGTGCATAAAATAATACATAGCAATATACTGTACCAGGTAGAGTATTTCAACAAAGCAACTATAATCTTAGAGATAGTACTTCCAAACTACTAACTGTAGAACCCAAAGATATTCTCAGTCATTTTTACCGAGCGCGATTATGTCGTGGAATTCATTGCCCGATGGAGCTGTTAACGCTATTTCCGTGAGGCAGTTTAAAACCATGATAAATCCAACAGAAACTGACAACTACTTTGATTTAAATTTTGGGACTAGATTTTGTCAAATCATCCATTGTCGCCTCAAGCTCGGCTGTAGTGATCTGAACGCAGACAGATATAATCGACATATATCAGAAACAGCTAAGTGTTCCATGTGGTCATTATAACGAAGACGTCATTCACTACCTTTTTACATGTCGGAACTATCAAAGTTTAAGAACAACGGTGTATTTTTATATTCAAGGATACGATGTGAAAACTACCTTATACGGTAACGGCACATTGGATAACTCAACAAATTGTGACATTCTAAACTCATTACACCGGTTCATTTCTAAAAGTAAGCGCTTCCAGTGATTATCACCTCTACATATACATTTATATTCAACGCAAGACAAGATTTATATAACTTGATTTTCTGCGGCAGCTCTTTTCGTTGCTAGGCACAACCAACACCATAACCAAATATTTATTATTCAATCATTTTTCTGAGTGTAATTTTGTTTCAGTAGTATTCTTTTCTTGTCGGACTATTTCAAATATGTATCCAGCTATATTGGAACCGTGTACTGGAGAGGCGTTTATATAAGCCACTTGGCTTGTTCGCCTATCCAGGTTTCTGTATTGACGGAATAAAAATATGTTTAAACCATACTGGCCGGTCTTCTACGTCTACATTCGAAACTGGCTCTTTTAGTTTATTTTCGAGAAACTGAAATCAGTAATTATTCTGAACACACACACCTCCTATTAGTGTTCTGGAAGACGCGTCCTGTGAATGTGTCCTTCAAGTTTACTAGGGATATATCGTATTGAGGTCAAAGACCAGGTCTTAATGAGACAGACAGATACCTGTATATACCTGAAACCGTTGTTGTTTAACATGTAACATTTTCTTCCTATATGAACATCTGATGAGTGATGGTATTGCAAATGCGGCTATAGCTGAATATGTTGACATTACACAGACAGCCAAGGAAAGGTCTCGTATGTCCACTTGTAGCACTTAGAGAGTGAGTGGATATTGTATAGGGACCGTTCATAATTAAAGGCTAGGGGGGTGATGATGATATTTATGGCGAAGCATGTACAATGTGATCCCTCATACTAAAATTTATATACAAAGTAAGTGCCCCGCCCCCATACATGCCATGTACAAAATCAACTACCCACCCACCCCCTTCCCATACTTTTTAAACAGTTTATGTAGAAAATTGTTGACCCTTCCTCAGAACAAAATGGGTGAAACCACCCCCACCCTCTAAATTTATCATCACCCCAAGCCATAAATTACGCCACAATTTGCGTCTAATCGTGGCGAGTACTGTCTGCTTGAGTACAGATCAACGTCGAGAAAAAACTCCCACTAAGCATGCTGGTATTTGAGGTTGAAGGTGACTTTGATGTAGACAGCGATGCACCTGTTCTCACTGGTATTTATCTTGTACATATACGGCGATATAGGGCCACGAGGATAATATGTTTACGTAGGGATGAAGCTTCATGACACACATCCCTGCATCAGCTTGGTCTAACATGAATCGTGACGGGTCACCGAAGCAAGCAGTTCGTGGGTTAGGCCATACTCTGCCTGACACCACTGTTGACGATGTTTACCCCCACCCTATAATAATACTATGAAGAAGTTATCCATAACGCATTTTACCTGTATCGACCAATCACGAATGGCTATGCACAACGGCGGGGGTTATAACAGAAAATAGAGGTGATCGTAAAATTGTTTATTTACAGCAATACACTACATACAAAAGCATGAAATATTTGAAATGTACACATTCTAACGTAAACAAAGCACTAGACTTAGCGTTGATTATGTATAAGGAAAGAACAGCACTAAATTCAAATTGACACCTGTAACAGTATTACCAAAATGCCAATATATAATTTTTTAACAGTATCTACTGCAAATGTTGATCAAGATTTATGCAGAACAATCCCCGGGAGTGACGTCAATCTCCTCCTCTGAAAGCACGGGACTAATGCTTCTATGTAGACCGGAAGTAGAAGATGGCTCCAACTTGCAGACGACAGGGCTGGAATCAGCAGACGACATCTGGGGGAGGCGGATAGGGTGTGGCTTGGGAAGTCTGGATGAAGAGGGAGCAAGTCCAGGACGGGTGGATGTCAGGGTAGGACTCTGGGTGGTGGGGCTCGTCAGGGGAGATCCGGGTATGTGACTGGTTGGAAATTCGAAGAGACGCTGGAAGGTTGGACTGGCGGTGGGGGAGAACATCGGTGACGTGGGCATCATGGATGCGACGTCGGTGTAGCCGGTCAACATCGGGTACATGGCGGGAGACATCAGTGGTGAACACCCGAACAGATACGGGTAGGAGAACGAGTAGCCGTGACGGAAAGGCGACGTCACTGCTGGTGCTGGCAAGGCGAACTCCGGCTTCTTGGGTGGCGTCAGTTTCTGTGGTGAGGGTGAGGACGAGACAAAACCGGAATCACGACGGGCGACGTTGGTGGGCTTCGTCTTGGTGCGACGACTTCGTGAACGACGGTTTTGGAACCACACCTGGAAAGAAATCAGGAATGATTATCGATAAGAAAATAAGAAACAAAAAATATATCGATCAGGTTCTCAATTGCATTAATAAACTCACGTCCAACAGATTCATTGGAAACTAAGAGGTTTTCGACTTACCTGTATTCTGGCCTCCGTAACGCCCGCCTCTTCTGCAAGTTGTTCCCTAAGGTTGATGTCAGGGTAGGAGTTTTCTTCAAACACACTTTCCAGGCGGTCTATGGTGGCGTCGCTGAAGATGGTGCGACTACGACGTTGTCGACCACGCTTGGGGAGGTTGGTCGGGCTCATGGACGAGTTGTCTGAAGAATCACCTCGAGCTGGAACTAATGCGTAAACATTCCACCATAAATCAAATATCTCACCCTCATCCATCTGATTATCCTCCATAATTAGCCATTAACAGTTACATAAGCTACACACGGGCAGGACGTGAATATATTACCGTTACACATAACTCATTCCCAGAATAGTTTTCGTATCATTTCCTTATCGTAGTCAATGTACCGACCCCGGACATTTGACGTATGACATCCTAATTATCACATTAAACGCAAAGTCCTAGAACAGTTTACGAGTAACTCGTTAATGATAGTAAGGTGATACAAAATCACAAAAGACGTACCTGCGAGTATATTTGCAATGCTGAATGCCATGGCTGTTTCAAGTGGGCTCTCAAGTCTGTGACAGTGGTTGAAGTTTGTACTTGACAAAGATTCGCCTGTGTTTTATATACCCGAATTGAAGCCATTAATTCGCCTCGAGGAAAGGGATTAGGCAGTATACAAGAAACAATAGGATCCCACTAAAACCCTGTTCTATTGCCCATCACAGCCGTTAATTGGTTTGTGATTTCGGGAGACAATAGTATTGAAACCAACTTCTTTGATCATTGAAACCATATGGGACGAGCCGTTTAATAACGAAGTCAGTTTGCTGTACAAACAACACGGCTCAGGTACATGCGACAATGTCGCTACTGGCTTCGGTCATATGATGTTGTTTCAAGATTGGTGTGTTTGTACTTGTGACTGTTTTTATGCATAGGGGTTGCTAATCTGATTACAATTTGCTTGAAATCCACTTGTGTTTATTTAATGATAAAATCTTTAAGAAAAGATTTGCAGTGGTTACGTTTACAAGACGGTGTGGTTTATACGGAGGTAAGAAATATGAGTTGGTTAAAAGTCACTATACACAAAGATTATTCTGTGAAGGGCAAAAGAAAGTATACGCCCGTCAAAACGAAAATATACATATATATTCCCAGGGTGCAGTATTTGACACGGATAATGCGGACCTAAAGTAGACGGTGTTGCGCCGACTGATTTCAACCGGTTTGATAATCTTTGTAATATTTTGTTCAAATCCTTTTACTTTCCACACGCATAGTGATATGTAGCACTTGGAGTTTGAATATGCTCGATGATGTAATGATTACGAGCGACGATGTCATGATGTATGTTTTAAAGCAAAAGTCAAGTTATGATTACACAATGTCACTTATGTGTTATACGCGTCTGTCTGTCTTCAAGCGGATATAGCCCGTGAAGATCCGGGTTATCAATATTGACCTTCAGTAACCCATGCTTGTCGTAAGAGGCGACTAACGGGATCGAGTGGTCAGGCTCACAGACTTGGTTGACACATGTCATCGGTTCCCCATTGCGCAGATCGATCCTCATACTGTTGATCACTGGATTGTCTGGTCCTGGGCCCCGTTTCACAAAGCTCTCGTAAGCCTAAGATCTCGTAACTTTTCTCGTAGCATTCCTACCTCCTATACTGTAACATAGACTTACGACAGTCGTAGCGCTACGAGAGCTTTGTGAAAAGGGGCCCAGACTCGATTATTTACAGAACGCCGCCGTATAGCTGGAATATTGCTTAGGGCGGCGTAAAACTAAACTCACTCACTCACTCAAGCGGATATATATTAAATTTTTACAACAAATATTGTTTAATTATCGAGAGTATTTATGCATGTTTATCATGTGATGTTCATCCATAACCTATTCAACACGGAAATCGCCATTGTAATACATCTTCTCTTCTTTCATTTTGGATGCGGGTGATGAATACATATTGCTGAGACAATACTACAACAATTAGTAATTGTGTGATGGGAGGAGGTGTTGTTGCACTAATCTAGACAGACAAGATAACAAATCTACAAAGTAACTCTTTAATTCTAATATGTTATTTCCTTCGATACGGTAACAGCATGTACAACCACGTGTTGTTATACACAGAATTAAGGGGGAAGGGGGTTAAACCGTTCGCTCGTCAACTTGAAGACCCGGGTTCGATTCTCCACATTGGTACACTGTGTGAAGCCCATTTCTCGTGTCCCACGCCGTGATATTGCTGGAATATTGCTAAATGCGGCGTAAAACTAACTCACTCACTACACTCAAAAGGCCGAGTGTACACATACTATTTTCAACACTGTGGGCATGTCTTCTACAGTTCTAGTGCTATGTCGAATATTAGTTTTCTTTTTCTTCGCCAAGTACAATCAAGTCCATTTGGATTCACAATTTCTTGTTTACCAGTTCAGTTTGATATTTTCTAAATTAACCATGCTAAACTTTCTCACATCTAAAACTGAGACAGAAAGGCGAAATAGTTGTATTTTACCGTTCTGTAAATCTGAAAGTCAATAGGGGTGGGAAGTGTTCTTTATTAATTCAAAATTAATTAAGTGAGTGAGTGAGTGAGTGAGTTAAGATTAACAGTCACATCGGCAATATTTCAGCCATATTGTGACTAACACAAGTTTCAAATTGACCATAAATACTTGTAAATTATAAAAACCTGTCAACGAAGGACAATAAAACCAACTAGAATATCACAGTATCAAGATTTAAAACTAGCATCTCTCTCTAAAACTGGATTTCAAATTAGGACAAGACAGTATAAAAAAGGGCTATAGATCGCCAACAACTGAAGGTAGATCACCATACTAGGGACCATGATTAATTAAGTGAATTATTCATACTGTGTCGCGTACAGCATATGTTATGAGCTAAAATATTGTTTCACTGACAGATGACCGACATTTATGTAGTCGATATGCACAATGTTCACTCCTCGACATTTTGCCGTCTTGGTTGTAAGTAGGTCCCATTCGGGGGACTTTAGGAGAAGAAGAAGAAAAATATTTTATTACAGCCTCACATGTTACAGTTAAAATATTTGCAAGCATAAAAGCATGGTAAAAGTAACATCCAGTCAATATGCCTACGAGACACTTTGAACATTAAAATCAATATATAATTAAAGGAAAAGAATGTAATAATATAATACATTGCTCTCAGCAGATACATATACCAACATCCTCACAGCCCCTAATCTTTGGCAAACAAACCATACATGGGATACTTAATTAAGTATTAAAGAACATCCTGCAATAGACCACTCTGTGCAGGGTCATGAGATACTATTGAACAAAAAATTACTTTAAGAAAGTATAAAAAATATATAATGTTTATTCTTATGAAATAAACACAAACAGTGCAAAAGGCTATGGCTTGTAACCTCTAAACACCCAACAGATTACTTCTGCATATCAACCAAACACAACTCAGAGGATAGTGACGGCTGGTGCTGCTAAATGTACCGTTTAACAGAACACATGTTTATATTCATAGTTGACTCACTATTTTACGTAAATATATTAAACACAACTAAAACCACAGCATATTGAATGTTAACCAAACTGTGTAGTCATACTTATCTTACTGCTGTTTTACTACGATTTCACATACAACAACGCTGCTGGAAGAGAAATAAAATCAATCCCTTTGGCATTACTGGTTGATCGACCGTGTGGCATTCAGCGAGCAGCACGGGTTACGCTTTTCACGTGGCGCATGATAAGTGTGTGTGTGTGTGTGTGTGTGTGTGTGTGTGTGTGTGTGTGTGTGTGTGTGTGTGTGTGTGTGTGTGTGTGTGTGTGTGTGTGTGTGTGTGTGTGTGTGTGTGTGTGTGTGTGTGTGTGTGTGTGTGTGTGTGTGTGTGTGTGTGTGTGTGTGTTAAGAAATAATCGTTTGTCGGATTTAGTGATACGGGATGAGAATGTTATCAAGCGATAGATATTTCTAGATGTCTCACATCATGTGTTCACTTGTACTGTTGACTTACAAGAGTGAGTTTAGTTTTACGCCGCTTATATATTCTAGCAATATCACGGGGGTTCCCATCAGAAATGGCCTTCACACATTGTACCCATATAGAGAATCAAACCCAGGTCTTCGGCGTGACGAGTGAACGCTTTAACCACTAAGTTACCCCACCACGCCCTGACTAACAAGAAGGTCGAATGTTGTTTTCTACCACAGACACGCCGTGACGTAACTGGATACTATTCAAACAGGCGTCAAACATGACTCAGTTACATACGATGAACTGGACATTTGGCTATTCAAAATCAATCGAAAATTATATGTTACACCAGTCATACCAATGTTTGTCATTATTGAATCAAGTGTTGACGCTGACACTTGAAGTTTCCGGCGACACATCCATAAGCTCTTCCAATAACCAAAACCCGTGAAGGTCCGGGTTATAATATTGACCTTCAGTAACCAATGCTTGTCGTAAAAGGCGACTAACGGGATCGGGTGGTCAGGCTCGCTGACTTGGTTGACACATGTCATCGGTTCCCCTTTGCGCAGATCGATGCTCACGCTGTTGATTACTGATATGTCTGGTCCAGACTCGATTATTTACACACCGCCGCCATAGAGCTGGAATATTGCTGAGTGCGGCGTAAAACTAAACTCACTCACTCCAATAACCAAAACGGCGGCAAACGGTGACGGGTGAGCTTGGGTCTGCCTTTACATCTTACATCTAACAAGTTGCCGCAGCGTACATCGAGTCGGGAACCAGACCGGCAATCATCTTAAAAGAAGAGTTACGCCCTTAGGAATAAAATCGTCCATCACTACATCAGTAAAATATCATAGATTTACATTTAACTCCAATATATGAGGAATCTAAATTACTGATATCATTAAAAAAATAATTTGTGAATGTCTTTAAATCCTTTTCTCATATACATGTACTTTATCCAATTGAAAATATTGGCAATTCTTTTCATGATATCATTAACATGCGTCATCTCATGCATTTTATCGCAAATATCTATGATTATCTCTATTCCAGATGTTCTAACTTCATTTCAAGATATATTTAAAACAATTGGTTGTCTCAGTAATTTCTAAATACATATGAAAATTGCTTGCCATATCGTCACCGGGGGCGTCTTTTGATTGTCATTGATAATCTGTTTCTAATCAATGAGCAAATAACTAGTGTGTTCTCTGGATTTCGACTGTAAACACCATATATACACCATGGCCATTAATAGATATACAGTATGTATGTTTATAACGCATAATTACAGCTACATCCTTATATTCATACGTTTTAATTCGTAGTTTGTGTGCATTCTATGTGTGACACAAGATGATTAATCTATTACTGGAAGTCGCGGTGGCTGAGCGGATTAGGCGGCTGACTTTGTGTGCTGGTGATGCTGACTCTGAAGATGTGGGTTCGAATCCCGGATGGGACTCAACCCAAAATGTACTAGAATCTGTACTTTACTAAGAAAGTGTAATCCAAAATATAACATATGTTACATTTGACCACTTTCTAAATGGCATTGTGTAATCACAGTCTACACCGTTGAGTATGACAGAAAACTGTTTTGGATTCTTATTTTCCACAGATACTTTGGATTTAACTTTTGTCAAAGTTGGGATAAAGTCACATGTTATTATATCCGTCCGTTTTGTAATGAGCATACATTAGACAGAAAGACATTCACTTCAAAAACAGACTCGGATGTAACTGAACGGGCTACAAGAGGTCAATTCGCCAGTGATCACCTCTTGGTCTAGTAAACAAAGTGTCGGTCCGGAAAGTTGAAAGTCAGTGTTTGGACCCCTGGCAGTGTCATAGTCCAGCCAAGTTGGATAGTCTTAGTCTGTCAGGACCGTCTCTTGGTCTAGTGGATAGAGTGCCTGCCTTGAAGGTCTGTGGTTCAATCCCCAGCTTCGTTAGACCATAATATGTGAAACGATCGTACTTATTACCCTGCCCGGTACTGGGTGTCAGAGACCAGACACCGTTATATTGTCTCTGTATGTGGAGGGGACGGTGTAGCCTAGTGGTTAAAGCGTTTCTCTCGCCGAAGACCCGGGTTCCATTTCCCACATGGGTACGCCCATTTCTGCGTACCCCGCCGTGATATTGCTGGAATACTGCTAAAAGCGGCGGAAAACCATACTCACACATGCACACTTTCACTTATTTATTTTAAAGAATTAAACCTCTTTGATACAACTAAAAGGAGAAAAACATATTTGTTAAAGACATATTCTAATGTAATTATTATCAGCTTTTCACCTTATATTTCCAATTATGTTAATTAATAGGGTTCTTAATAGGGTTTAATCATCACAAATGGCAATTGTTTTATTGAATATACAAATAAAATAAACAAAATTCAGCTACATTAAATCCAAAAGCAGATACTCAAAAATGACTTTAAAATATTTCTCAAACTGAACATTCGTGTAACCTTGCTGTCACACCCCTGGTGGAATTTTAAATGAATTCGCTGAAAAAAATATGAATGACCAAAAAACAGTCAGACTAAAATATCCCCAGAGATATGAAATATAAGCCCAATGTTAAAGATTAAGGTTGATTAGTTACATACAAATACGATATTATTGTTTTGAAACTGGTAGCGATTATAATTACATTTCCTAAAATTGGTCGAAGCGCACGTACAATCTCCATAACAAGCCCGCAAGATCGTCAGAAATACACTCAGTTGGACCTATGAGAGCAGTTATGTCAACAAACGCACGTGCGTGTATTTGAATCTCTCACCGTCATTCGCATGATTCTTATTAAAAACTTCATAATAGGCAGCAAAATCCTTTTAGCTACGTTCTTTGTACTTTCAATATGACGATATATATTTTTCATGATTTTTTAAACAATGACATAATGCCATAAACGATTTAAGTACTCGGGATTACATCAGTCCCGCCCCGACACACGCTCATGCCCACACGTCGGTTTAAATGTACACTAATGCAACTAAACCACGACCTTAAACCCCATTTCATCTCAGCTCAACCCACAACTCCATAATTACTTTGTCTTTAAACCATTTTTTATCACGGGACGGTGTTTATTATTTGAGTTATCGCACGAGTCACTATTTGATTAAATCCACGCTCAGTATAATCATGCTGTATTTACACATCACAACGTGCGCTGAAAGCTTCTTTATATTCGTATAAGAGCCATTTTAATCTGTAAAGGATAAATGAAAATGCCAGCCCGAAGAACTATCATTTGCAGAATTACTGCTGCTTCAAGCCTATAGAAATGACTCGTTCCTATTTGGCTTATGACATCCTAATCATGAAATACAACCCAATGGAATTGAAACTCTCAATCTCTGTCTCTTTAAGCAAACAATGGCATTTCTAAACATAATAAATGGGATTTACACATTCCAAACTTGCTCTCCTGAATTCCGAAATCTATTCATCGCCTGCACCTCCGCTAAAACATCCATCCAATATATCATTTAGTTCTTAATCAGATCTCGCCAGTGTAACATCCCACCAGTCGATATAAGCATGCGAGGGACCTGCTGACAAAATAACCCATTACCAGCTCATCCAGAGCCCAACACATGCCGAAAGTCTTCAAAACTCAATCACCGAGATCGAATTTCCCTGATCGATCCGACCCGTGTTCTTTTTCCCATTGCGTGGGACTCCAAGCAGGTGCTTTGGTTGCTATGGAAACGTAGAACGTTGATGCGGGTGTTGAATCATTTAAAGCTCTCAATGTGAAGGTGAGTCGGGATGTATGTTCAGTGGTGACACAAGAAATCGTCCCGTTTGTTGTCGGAATAACAGGATAGACCCTTCGTTACTACCACCTTGACTGAAGACATGGTACAGTGGCTCAATGGACGGAAGCAGCCTGCGCTAAAATGTAATAACTAAAGGTAAGAAAGGACGCGATTATCACTAAGACATGTATAGTGACGGTAATATATAACGCCCCTTCAAGATCCGGGTTAGAATTTGTCGTCATCAACCCATGCTTGTCGTTTGTGGGGAGAACTGGTATCGTGTGGTATTTGTTGGATGCACTTAATCCCAATTGCGTGGATCGATGCTCTAGATGTCAATCACTGGCTTGTCCTGTCCAGATTTAGTTATTTACAGATAGATCGAAGTGACAGTGTGTAACGTATGTATGGTGTATGTACATGTTTACAGCCGTATTGAGTGACTGAGTTTAGTTTTACGCCGCTTTTAGCAATATTCCAGCAATATCACGGCGGGGGACACAAGAAATGAGCTTCACGCATTGTATCCATGTGGGGAATCGAACCCGGGTCATCGGCGCGACGAGCGAACGCTTCAACCATTAGGCTACCCAACCGCACCCGTGTTGATGAGCCAGCATGATCTATACACATGGGCATTAATCAGGTACCACTAACCATTCCATATTATAAGTAAATTAAATGTTGTATATGCCTTAAAAACCCAATTCCGCGTATTAATTAACATGGTGACTGCAACATATTGTAATCTGATTATAACAAAAACTAATCTGAATTGAAATTTGTTAGAAATTTACTTGCAATCTGAGAGGAATACACACAAAAACTTACATGCACATCAACAATAACGAAAAGGATGGTTACTATGACTATGTTGTGATTGTATGAACCAGCATACCAGTACCTGGTGTAGCCGCCCCTCGTTAGGAATCCTCCACCATTCATTGAGTACGATATTTCTGCAGATTTGGAACAGTAGATCTCTAGCGTGACCGTGGCGTTCAAGAAAGTCATAGAGATGTTCGAAGGGGTTCAGATTAGGGCTCCTCGGTAATGTTTCGATGGTGTTATTCTGCTAATGGGCGATGACGTCACGAGATCAGTGAGGTGTAGCGTTGTTATCCATGAGTGTCAGACGACTGGCTAGAGGATGGTTATCAACATGTGGCACGACGGCAGTATCTGGTATTTTGTTGATACCGTTGACTACTGAGTGTCCCAGGTAGTGTAATGAGATCCAACTTGCAGGCATACGAAATGCTAACCCACACCGTCACTAAACCACCCTCAAAGGTTTCAGCTGCATGGATCATCTCCTGGTGATGTGCCTTGTTACATTTCTATTCGCGACAAGGCTGACATTAACGTGTAGAAAACTTTCATCAGACCGATAAACCGTACGCCATGTCCTCCTGTTTTGTTGGACCCTGCGCCACATTTGACGGTCCTGAGTGTGTGTGTATGTATGTGACCAGCAGCCCTCTATGGTATTGTTGAGGACCCGGATTCCCACTCTCCCTGGCCGGTGTAAGATTGAAAACATACCCGCGTTGAAAAGGTACCCGGCGGGTAAGTTTTCAACATTGAATTATTACCCGGACTCACTTTTCAACGCCAGGGGTCTTTTTTCAACATTGAATAATCACCCGGCTGCTATTGAAAATTAACCCGGGTCACGTATTGTTTTCAACGCGGGTATGTTTTCAATCTTACACCGGCGCAGCTGTTGGTCATGGGTCATGTCATTGAGTCTTGCCAGATGAATAAGAACTCGGTCATGACGGCCACTGGTCCTCCTCGGTCTTCCAGGTCTTGTTCGATCCTTTACGTCACCGGTGGCCACTTGTGGTGGTGGTGGTAATTGTGGTGGTGGTGGTGGCGGTGGTTCCTCTTGTGGTGGTGGTGGTGATGGTGGTGTTCGTCCGTGTTGATTCCTGAAATGTCTGATCATGGCATCCCTTCTTGAAAAGGTCTGAGAGCACACGGGACACGTTGATAGTGTGCTTGGGTATGATCGCCTGTTCGGACCAACATGTCTTTGGATCCAGGTTGTGTGTAAAACCTATTTTACTCTCATGGTCGATAATTTATATCGCGTCCCTACTTTAGAAGAAAATGGGACAGATAAGGAGGTCGTATAGCAAACATACTGCTTCACTTACTTCGGTCGGTTTGATAAATCTATCCCTATTCATTTGTTTTGAATAATGGATGCCCAACTTCATCATTAATTAAGTACGGGTGGTATTAATTTTCCCTTCGCTGCTCAGACAGGATAGTCGTGAGTTTGAGGTCTAGATTTCCTGCTGTTAATTTTCTGTTTGAAGGGGGCAGGTAGCCTAATGGTTAAAGCGTCCGCTAGTCACGCTGAAGACCTGGTTTCGATTACCCATATGAAGCCCATTTCTTGTGCCCCCCGCCGTGATATTGCTGGAATATTGCTAAAGGCGTAAAACCATGCTCACTCACTCACTCACTCAATGTTTGAAGTAGAGGTGGAAACGCGTGGGTTAGTGGGTTACCCAAAGTGCTAAAGGTCTGTCGCCCATGAACATTGGACATTTTGTCATATGACAGGGGCTTGAGATCGGCGATCGCAGGATCGAATCCCAAACTAATCCTGATTACGATCCCCGGTTTCCACGACACTGAAAGTAGTAGGTTTCTGCTAAATTCAGGCTTTTCACCCACATTACAGTGACTCCCTTGTCACACACACACAGGCACGCACGCACGCACGCACACACACACACACACGCACACGCACGCGCGCGCGCACACACACACACACACACACACACACACACACACACACTCTCCGTGATGTATCTGACATTCCGTTTAAAGCAGCGCAGCCTCGTGGTAATTGCAATGATCTATTATTCATACAATCTTAGCGCTAAGGGACCAAACATTACAACTTGGATTTCCAGGGCGGGACAGACTGTGATTTTGGTTCGTGTTTGATATCTTCCAACATCAACAGGTGCCGTCACTTGACCTTTAGATAAACATATCGAATAGTATTCCTTGGATACGCCAACAAAACCTTCTGTACAGGATCTCAGGTCACAGTCAGAGTCTGGTCACAATATATATCTATCCTATAGCTCCTGTTCTCTTATTACTAAAACGGGGGCTGGGTTTTGTTTTAAGAAATATCCCCCTTCCTACCATAACATAATATTTTTTTTAAATATGTAGTAGTGACATTTTTCATGTTCTTGATAAGTCATTTTGGTTTGTTTGTATAGAACTATTTTATAATTATTGGATATTAAATGGTGTTATAGTGTTTTATTGTTTACAAGTAAATTAAAAATATTATTTAAGTCATAAAAAAGGTCACTAAAATATTGAAGGTTGGTGGCAGTATTCTAAACTTTCTGGTTTTAAGCATCTTTCAATCATATCGGGCACCACCAACAGCTCTGGCAGATTGTCGATGCTTGTCGGAAGAGGTGTCAATCATGGTTGATGTCACAGCATCCTAATTGCCAAGAATGATGCTAAGGGTGTCAATATGTGGTGTGTCTGGTCCAGACTCGGTTTATATATAGACCGCTGACATATACATGTGTACCTGTAATGTTGTTGACACACGCACGCACTCACACGCACATTTTCCAATTTTCTGGCAATTTCATTCAACACAGACCTCGATGTCATGGACAAACATTTAGAAAAAAATGATTAATTTTTTATGTCATAGAATTATATTAAGCTGAAAAAATGTATGCACGGTTCTTGGGCAACGTAGGTTGTGTAATTCAAGAACATTTCCGTTCCGGTTTTTGTTCTGTCTCTCGGTTTGATGAATAATCCATATCAGTCTCAGAAAACAGAATTACAGAAAACAAATGTCGGGGCATGTTTCAAATCACAAGCGTTATGAATTATTTAATTAATATAGGTATTATTGATGAAAGCAACAGGCACACTGCCACGTGACGTCCCTGGGCCCCGTTTCACAAAGCTATCGTTGCGCTACGACTGCATGTCGTACTGTAGCATCGACTTATGACAATGCTTTGTAAAAGGGGCCTTGGTCTGTCTGATGCCTGATCGGGGGTCGAAACCTCCCAGATTTGTCTGGAAAATGATGGTTCCTGGACGGTCTCAACCGTCTCGTGGTCAGTACCTTTGAGGTCCCTGGGTAATAATATGAATGTGTATGTCGTCATGATAGAAAAAACATACGGCTTATAAGTAATCTAAAAAAATCCTACAATGTGAAGCCTTTTCAGGTATCCTCACCGTGATATTACATAAATTAATGGGGGCGGTGGGGTAGCCTAGTGGTTAAAGCGTTCGCTCGTCAAGAAAGACCCGGGTTCCATTCCCCACATGGGTACAATGTGTGAAGTCCATTTGTGATGTCCCCCGTCGTGATATTGCTGAAATATTGCTGAAAGTGGCGTAAAATTAAACTCACTCACATAAAGGAGCGTAAAGCTAAACTCACTCTGGGAAAAGTCATAAATAACACAAGACATTTCTTCTGTGCATCCTGTTCATGGTCAGATATATATTGAAAGCGATTTCGAGGAATAAAGGAATTTTCCGAGGTTACCCAAAAAACAAAAACAGTACTGTTGGCTTGGTGGTTGGCAATAGAATGGCGGGGCTTGTGTTGCCATATATTGCACAACAATACTGTCACTAGGGGCGTTCCATGCTAAGATTTCGGTGATTTGTATCAACGGAATTAATCGTATTTCTAGCAGCCAGAATTGACTACATTCAACCTGACATAACCTGAGATAGCCAAGGATAGCCAAGGAAAGTATCCGGAATAAAACGAATATATTGGAATCTTAGATATAAAAAAACAAAATGGCAGCCAGGAGAAGGCGCAACACAACCGCCATGTGTATTGGTAAACACACTATGGGAGGTTAACCAGTGTAACATCGCGTGACAAAGGCTGCCATTACACCTTTTCTTATTAACGCTTGTAAAAAAACACAGAATTAAGCGTATGACATCAAACAGATGTAAATCCTTTTCAAAAAGTTGCATTATTGATCGAAAGATAAATTTACCGACGATATTCATTAAATGTTTTATTCATGATTGAACGAATGCATGAAACGGAAGTGAGTATAATTGGGCAAAGATAACTCGGGTCATACTTTAATTCGTCATCACGTGTCCACCTGGGTCGTTCAGTGTTTTGTAGTCGAACGTAAGAACTGATTTCGTATAGCTGTCTACCGTTATTAGTGTTAATGATAAAAGCCTTTAGATTTATAAGGGTTAACTTCGACACAGTCGGATTTACTGTTATACCTAAAAACAACAAATATTGAAGCCAGTACTCAGTAACTTTAAAATTGAAATAAGAGTCACAAAATAGATATAAATAAACAAATAAATAAATGCATGGATGAATGAATGAATGAGTGAACAAACGAACCAACGAACGAACGAATAAACAAAAATTAAAAGATTTCCATAGAAATTTTTAATTTCTTCTCGAGCCAGAGTCCGTTGTATGTTTGATGTTTGTGTTTAGAAGTCACTATCAAATAGTGAATACAACACAGGGACATGTGAAACAAGTCACAACAGGGTCTTGTATTGGGCGTATGTATACTGTAAGGGGTATAGGTCTTACCTACCCCAACCAGTTAACTGAAGTGCTTGTTGTTGCATGTACAATCAATACCTACCTACCGAATCAAGGAGAGAGTACTATCGACCTGACCTGATTGATTGATATCGGAAAGGGAAATACGCTGCGATACCATTCCTTGTGTGAACACGCAATGGAACATACGTTTACCTTGTTTAAAGGTGGGTCACATCGATTGAGTTATTCCTCACTATACAATGGCTAATAGTGGTTCGAACAAGCAACTGTGGGTAATGCCTCGATAAGAACGTCACCTAACAACACAATTAACTCTTGTACGGCATCGTCCCGGAACTGTGCTCCAAGTAATTGTGTCTGAGCCCTGCCTCAAGGCATGGCCTAGTAAAGACTTAAATAAGTCCTGTTTTAATTATCTGTATAAACTCTACATGTACCCAATGAACTTACTTTTTGCACGCTTTTTTACACCTGAGGTTCACACACCTGATACTGAAAATTGAAGAACGGTTATTCTCTAGCCTCTGAATGCAGGGGAGTAGCTACCATTATGAAAAAAGCCTTACAAATGATTGCTGCTAAAAGGGCTAGGCAAGCCCTCAATGCTATTTAAATGTAAAGATTTGCAACCTAACGGGCTTACACGAAAAAAATAGGCTTGCTACGCGCCTGGGCCCTGTTCCTCCAAGCGATCGTAGCGCTACGACAGTCGTAAGTCTATGTTAAAGTATGGGAGTGGCGATCACCCTAGCGCTACGATCGCTTTGAGGAACGGGCCCCTGGAATGTTGTGGAAAGCACGTTAATTTCAACCTTAACTGCGCGTACGTCATGTCAAGGTTGACAGAAAATCAGCATCTCCGCGCCGTAGGTATGCTGGAGATTGGAATGGCCCAAAATGAAGTGGCGAGACATTTGGGTGAGATTTGTCTCGGACCGGCCGTCTACGCGTGACGTCACCTCAGCAAGACAACCACATTCGGCTGATTTATCTCAGGAATCGATTTCAGACTGCCAGTTTGACTGCTCGGACCATTCCTGGATTACGTCTAATCAGTTTCAGCACAGTACGGAACATCTGGTCCTGACGGCCTGCAATTCGTCCAGTTTTGCTCCAACGTCACCGACAGGCACGTCTTGCCTGGTGCAGACAGCATCTACAGTACAGGAGACAAGACGTAATTTCACGCTTCAGCAACATAATGCCCGTCCACATGTCGCTCGTGTTGTGACAGATTTCCTGAGACAGGAGAACGTCCGGGTACGCCCCTGGCCAGCTGTTTCTCCGGACCTGCCCTCTATGGAGCACGCTTGCGATGAAATGGACAAACGTATACGTCCAACCCAGAATCAGCCATTGGCGTTATCTGAATATGGAACATTTCCCAAGCTTTCTTCAGTCGCTTAGTGTCGTCTATGCGTCGCCGTTGCCAAGCCTGGACCAACGCCAATGGTGGACACACACGATACTGAATTTGTGAACTGACTTTGACACCACATCTCTTCAAGAACGTCTCACGATGTCCAGTGTCAAATCATACAGATTTCGATATTATCCTGTCAACAGTTAAACAGTGATTAAGGAAAACACCACAAATCATGATTTATCTTTTTGCACTAAAATGGCATAACATCAAATAATGCACAGTTACTGTATTCCACTGGTATACATATCACGACGGTCTGTCAGTATTCAGGTCTGTGTCGTGAAACCCGGTGGTTGATATCATGGACAACAATCCATGACGTCATCGGGGCAAACACTGTGACATTCAGGTCCTGTCAGGCCGACCAGCACACCAATCACGGGTTTGTCTGTGTGTTTAATGTTGAACGCTCACCAGTCCTCCACTCCATCGGGCTATGGTCACACGCCACAACCCGATCAATTGATATGTCACTTATGAAGATTGCGTTGAGTTGATTCTTGTAAGGGTACATGCGACAGTACATGAATGTCCTGGGAGAGTGATAAGGTCCTACCATGAATATCCGAGTTAATATTTCTCTTCAGTAATTCATGCTTGTCGTAAGAAGCGACTAAAGAAATCGGGTAGTCAGGCTCGCTGACTTGGTTAACACATGTCATCGGTTCCCCATTGCGCAGATCGATGCTGTTGGTCACTGGATTGTCTGGTCCAGACTCGATTATTTACAGACCGCCGCCATATAGCTGAAATATTGCTGAGTGCGGCGTAAAACTAACTCACTCACTCACACTCTCCAATAACCAAAATGGAGGCAAACGGTAACGGGTTAGCTTGGTTCTGCCTTTACATCTTACATCTAACAAGTTGTCGCAGCATACATTGAGTCGGGAATGCTCATGATGTTGATCACTAGATTGTCTTGTCCGGAATCGATTATCTAAAAGAACCGTCATATAGCTGAAATATTGCTGAAAGGGTGGCGTTAAACAATAACAAACAGTTAGGAGAAGCGGTTCTCGGATCTAGGCGTGTTACAGAGAAGCGGCGCATGCTCTAACTCAGGATCTTACTTAGGGATCTGCTAAACCGTTCCTTGGGATCTCAGAAGCACCTTATAACACAGGCTGATTTGGACCTATTCTTTACCATGGGGTCGGTGGTACAAAGCACTCTAAGTTCTAAAATGATCATAACTCATCTCCTTAAACATAGGCTTACAATAGCCGAGGCGCTAAGATCGCTTCGTGCAACAGGGCCAAAGTGGGTCAACTCACACTGTATCGGACTCAGGTCATACCGTGTCCCGGATCCATGATACGGTGTGGCATTGATGTCCTTCATCTACTGCAAGCTCATCTCACAACCAATCGCATTATGTTGTGATGATGGAATCGGTCTTTATGGTACTCATTCCAGAACCCTTCCTCCAAGATAATATCTGTGCTCGATACAATGAGACTATAACGGCAGGGGCCCGCCAGTTATTATTCTGTTCCCGAAAACACTGGAAAGATTTCCTCTGGTTTTACAAACAACTATAAATGTTTTGTGCCAATGCCGGATGTTAAATGTGTTGTACGCCCAAGGAAATCGTTCGTCTCCTCCATTATAAAGAAATGTCTTGAAGAACTAACTGAAAACAATAAACGTCTAAAAGATAAATATCTGATCCCCATAATATACAAAGGTGGTGCCTTACCTGAATTCTCAAAGGCATTTTACATTCAGATATCTGTTGCAAACACATACCTCTTACATTTAAATTATATTAAACGCAAAGATCTGTTACATTCATGTATCTATTAAACTCTGAGATATGTTACTATAGAGATCTGTGGTAGTCAGATATCTCTTACATTCACATACCAAATACACTCAGAGATCTGTTACATTCTGCGATCTATGGTGTTCAGTCATATCTTACATTCAGATGTCTATTAAACTCAGTAATCTGTTACATTCTGAGATCTGTGGTGTTCAGGCATATCTTACATTCAGATGTCTATTAAACTCAGAGATCTGTTACATTCTGAGATCTGTGGTGTTCGGGAATATCTTACATTCAGATGTCTATTAAACTCAGAGATCTGTTACATTCTGAGATCTGTGGTGTTCAGGCATATCTTACATTCAGATGTCTATTAAACTCAGAGATCTGTTACATTCTGAGATCTGCGGTGTTCAGGCATATCTTACATTCAGATGTCTATTAAACTCAGAAATCTGTTACATTCAGACATCTAAAACTAAAAAAATATGTTACATTCACACTTTTAATGCCTCCGTATTGTCATTTCATAGGTGTACACTGTGAACCATTTGCCTCTTCTACTGAAATTACATTTTCAACTGCAGAAATGTATGCAGTGTTCATCTGACCTGTCATCAACACTCCGAGCTACGGGTGACCAAGTTGCGTGAGGCACACATTTCACACTGAATTGCGTGTGTCAGACGTGCCAGAAGTCACCAGAATAGCCGGAATCGTCCTGATATTGTTCCCAACACTGGCACCACAATATCCATGCTCGCGGGTTTGGAACCGTCTGGAACCTCCATTCCAAACCCGACACTGAGTCCCCTCTCATGGGTTGTCTGACCTTTGGTGTTGCAATGTAGGTTGACCTGACACTATCTTTCAATCCAATCACACTCGCTTTTCAAACACACTGTCCCATAAAATTCACTCTCCTTGTAGGTCTCAAACCATCACCCACAAATTAAGCAGCGAACGAGTAGACGATCGATTTCACGATAAATCCGTGCTCGGGAGTAAACAAAGCAGATACACCTCAAAACACCATTCTCCAGCCCCAACCTGCACGCGATATTGACGATGGCTGCCTGCAATTGCTAGCACCTGTTCTCTTTACATACTCAGCCTCCGGCAGCTGATAAGATCTGGTCGTTGAGGGGGACTTTGAGACAACATGGAGGAATGTAGCGAAGCCAGTCTATATTCCAACGAAGATGAAGTGAATTGTCCCGGACCTTTGTTTAGGTACGTCATTTTTATCATTAAATTTCAAAGATTTCCGTATTTGTATATATCATATGCTCTTTATCGTGTCAAACAGATATTGTTTCAAAAGATTATGAATTGTCGCAGCTGCATGTGATTGTTTTGTGTTTCTTACGACATATCTAAACAGATAATCGTGCCTGACACATCAGATTGGAGAACCATTGTATTCACGTACTTGATCAAACCGTTTTCAAACAAAAATACGATTTTAATATTTCTGTTGTTATACATACATGTTGACACAATGAAGACAGATTGATGGCGCCATTGTTTAATCATTTATTCATGTTTTGTTGTTTTGTTCCGGCTTTTTTTGTATTGTCTTACCAGTTATCAATATCATTCCCGGGAGCACAGGTTGACGAGTGGTTTCAGACATCGTAATTCCCTCTGCGGAAATGCGTCCTTTGGGATCGCCAGAAACCTATTATTGTGGGTTTGAATCCCGGGTTATTTTTAAAGGTATGTCAGCACCATATCCATGCTCATCGGTTTCATCAAAGTAGGTTTGTTTGTTTGTTGTTTAACGTCGCACTCAGCAATATTCCAGCTATATGGCGACGGTCTGTAAATAATCAAGTCTGGACCAGACAATCCAGTGATCAGCATCATGAGCATCTATCTACACAACTGGAAACCGATGACATGTGTCAACCAGGTCAGTGAGCCTGACCACCCGATCCCGTTAGTCGCCTCTTACGACAAGCATGGGTTGGTGAAGACCAATTCTAACCCGGATCTTCTCGAGTCTGAGACACAGGTTATCCTCCCTTGCATGGTTTGGTTTTACTCTAACAGACTCAGGTTCCATATATTATTATTGTTGAAACAGAAATACCGGTAGATATCTTGACATTCAAACAGTGGCTGACCAAAAGGATGTTGAACATAGGCAGTGAATGCATTTGGAACACACCAGTGACGAGGAAGAAAGGATACCTCGTATTCTGACGTTAAGAGATGGTAGTGTTTGTTACCCTGCCTGGCGGCTCGGGGATTTATCAAGAACTGGTCGGTTGAGCGTCATTATACTGTGTCTGAGTTGGGTAGCGGTGTTCTTGGTAAGCTACGGCGTAGTTATTCAGATGAACATTTGGCATTAGTTCCGGGTAATACAAACAAATGAGATAGTACCAGCTGGCACACTATCGCGCACACACGCACGCAATCACACATATCCTTCTTGTCTTCTCGTGATTGCTATACACATTCTCAATACGACACCAAGGAGAGTATCAATGCTTCTTAGCCATATACAAAGGCATTTTGGATACTCTCATGGATGTCTGCAATGGTGCGGTTTTGTTTCCTTTTATCATTGTTTCGTTTCAAATTCAGCCACTGCGGCAGTCTGGATCGATTAAGATCCAGCCTCACTTGAAACACACTGATAATGCCGTACCACAGGACCTAGGGAGACTGTTTGATTACATAGTTGTTGATGTGCTCAGACTCCCGGCAGGGTCATTCCGCCACATGTCGTGGAGTAACGCCTGTCGGTCCGCCATAACCAACCAATATTAACCCGAGAAGTTACTTGGGAAGTACGTTCAAGCTCTTTATGCTCGACATGCGAACTTTCATCCGCGTGTTTTATATCCAAAACAGAATGTGGATATATTCTCAACACTCAAGGATTTTCTCAAAAGCGGCATAAAATAAGATCCTGTCGTAAGTGTGTGCGAGGCTGGACTTAATGGGTTTTGTTGTTAATGTTTTGCCATTTAGGGAAATGCACTTTTATGCTTTTGTTGATTTATTATAATTAAATTTTCGATAGGTTTGAAAAAAGCGAGGTTCGGGGAATAGGGAATTAAAGAAACTGAGTTACTTTCCTTCCGTTACAGACTAGTCACAATATGGCTGAATGATTGCCAACCTGACCTTAAATTTCACCTCACTCGCCCGATACAAACACAGCTCTGGGGTGATTCGTCCTGATCAGTTGATTTTTCAAAATTGACTTTTGACAGAATTAAATTATAGTATGTTAAATAATTTATTCTCATTGATAGCGACAGTAAATGATTTGTCAAAATGGCTTCCACGCAGAGCTTGGTTGAGATCAAGTGGCATATCCTAGGAGAGGATGTTTAGCTGTACACGCGATACGGCTTATTTTTAACTTTTAACTGAAAATAAGATATCAACCATATGTTTTGTGATAGTATATATTAAACATTTATCTATTCATGTGGATATGTTTAATATAAAAATCGAGAGTTCGTGTAAAAGCCACGGCAAGATGTTTGATATTTCTCCAACTTGGGTAATGTTTAGGTTCATAGGTTATGTCCCCGTGTCTCTAACAACCCCAGACACTGTGATGGTGAGACCGTAAAGCAGGTGCTTGTTGCTGTTATGGGAATCCATTAAGTCCCATGTGGTTCGTGTTATTAAGGAAGCTCCATGTGAAGTAGATAATGTACCAGATAAACCCCTTGCCATTACAGATCTGTGTAAACAAAACCAAATGCATCTGAGGCAGGTCACAATCCTGTGGAATTGCATCAAGAGAATAATTCACTTACAATGCGTGTGAATGACATTGGAATTTGGGAGTGTATGTGTGTGTGTGTGTGTGTGTGAGAGAGAGAGAGAGAGAGAGAGAGAGAGAGAGAGAGAGAGAGAGAGAGAGAGAGAGAGAGAGAGAGAGAGAGAGAGAGAGAGAGAGAGAGAGAGAGAGAGAGAGAGAGAGATCTTTCACCAGTGCTAAGATCAATTCAACAGAGTTAGAAATCAAAGACATATCTGAAAAACCATATTCCAGGCCCCGTCAGGTACGGTGCAAAGAAATAAAAACGACCTGATACGGGGTACCAAGCTGTTTGGCGAGATTGGCAACACCTTTCCAGTCGTGAATTGGCCCTTAATGTCACGCAGTATACAATCAGTCAGATAATTGATTCCTCATTTCTCAGCTGGTTAAGTACATAAAAACTAGCTCAAGCAGGATCAGTATACACAGTGTGCAAGGAAACCTGGAAAAACTCAATCGTTTAGAGGGTGGATGGGTGAGGGATTGTAGTCTGATCGATCAGACTGTCCAACTCTGTTGCCTACAATAAGACTTGGGAAGAAGAGGGGACTTTCTGGACACTGTCCGGAACAGATGGGTATCGGGGTCATCTTGGTGTGGTAAAGCAGTAGGGACAATTCCAGGTTACGTACACGACATCACAATGGGTCCAATAACATGATCCGACATTTGTCACAGTACGGCGCCTTGAAAGGAGAGTTGTTGTTCGGCTATTGATAACTGTTAGAATTTCTACCGTGTTGCCTTTTGCGTAATGGTGTTGCGTTTTATGCATCATTTAATGATTTTCTAAGTCCTTATATTCCATTCACAGTTAGTTTCAACTGAAGCTATTATACAAACATGGGAACAATCTGTTCGTGAATGTTCGTCCAAGTAAACATTTATCTGGTACATTAGTTTGTCGCATGGGGGTGAGACAAGGGTGTATGATTACTCCGTTCCTGTTTCATTTATTCATACGAGTAGTGAATGTTCAATGTTCATCTTTATCACGTCAGACATCTGATCATCTCCAGCAAGTACTTACAAAGGGAAGAGTCTTTTACCATGTGATCATGATGGTGACTAAGTAGTGTCAGCTAGTGCTTGAACGTAATTAATTATTAACCCTGTCTACGACTTTTTCTTTATAGTAATTTTTTCAGAGTGAGTGGATGAGTTGAGTTTTACGCCGCACTCAACAATATTCCAGCTATATGGCGGCAGTCTGTAAATAATTGAGTCTGGACCAGACAATCCAGAGATCAACAGCATGAGCATCGATCTGTTGGGAACCGATGCCAATGTTCAACCAAGCCAGCGAGCCTGACCACCCGATCCCGTCAGTCGCCTCTTACGACAAGCATGGGTTACTGAAGGTTCATTCTAACCCGGACCTTTACGGGTATTTTCAGAGTGAAGATGTTCGTAATGGGCGATGTTGGCTGCGGTAAGACAAGTCTGGTTCAGTCCCTCATCGGCCCCACCCCCAAACTGAACGACAACCCCACGGACGGCGTCAAGGTGGAGCTATGGTACCCCTTCAAGACATCCAAACATAATGGTACGTACATGATGGAGATACAGTTTACAGTCAATATTGCACTTGGGTTTATACTAGAGATGGGTATTGCAGAGAATTTTCATATTTCGATATATTGCAATGCGAAAGCATGTATTGCAATATGTATTGCAATATATTGCATGAAGTATTTTTAAACAAAAAACTACTTATAATCGAGTTAATTCTTGATTTATAGAGCAAAAACACAACAAAATCACTAGGCTTGATTAAGCTTTAATAACAAATTTTAATCATGATAAAATAAAAATGTGAATAATATTTGGCACAAAGAGATTTCCGAGTGTTACGAAGTTTTCCGAATGCATGTCAAAATACCGGTTTCGATCAGCGTATCGCAATACGTATCGTTTTCATGTCTGAACCGGTAAATACCGGTAAACCGGTTATATGGCGCAGGCCTAGTTTATACCTTTCAAAAGTTTAGTGGAAGCGTTACTAAATATGTTCAATCTTTGGTGGGGTAGCGTAAGTCGGAATGAGTGATGACATGCGATGTTTTGGATAGCAACTTCTTTGTTTACAATGTACACTGTAGATTCCAGGTCCCCAGCGCCCAATGCTTCTCGTACTAGGCGACAAGATGGATCGGTTAGTGAGGTATGGTGACTTGGTTGATTGTGTGGCCACGTGTCCCGACGGGGTGCATCGTTGCTCTCAATATCAGTCACGGGATTGTCTGGTCAAGATCTAATTATTTATAGGTCACTGTAATTTAGAATAACTCTAAGTGCGACGTGACACTATAAAGAAGCTATTTACACTGTCACGATGTATATCCTTGTATTGTAGTTTTGTCATGGATGTGAGATGAAAGTATGTTTAACACATTACCGTCATATCTCAGCTTGTACAGGATAAGTACACACATTTAAAACGTCATAGCAGGGGAAACAAATGCATTGTCTTTAATACACCTGGTTTTTATTAAAGATTTTTTTCTAAATGTCATTAAAAAAAAAAAAATTATTTCATTTTTTAAAATATTTTTTTTATTAAAGATGTTGCGTGGTACTAGATCCAATTTACACAACATCGGTGAAACACAACGAATATGACCCGATCATGTAAACCGCTGCCCAGGACTTGGGCTGGTACAGTGTGCGCCGAGGACAAGAACCTGTACAATACATTCCTGGGCCTCACACACAGTGCCCGTGTGGGGAATCGAGCCCAGGGTTTCTTTGTTGTCAAAGCTCACATCGACTCATGTTTAAATGTTTCCAGAAAGCTTGTTAGACAGGAAGCTGAGCGGGGAAGAGCATCACCTCATTATAGAGATCTGGGATATGACAGGGAGACAGGTGCGTCTGTGTATCTGTGTCTTGTGACTGCTATAATCGTGAACCCGACGTTAAACCCCATTTCACAGCTGATATTTACATTTTGTTTATCGTATGCAAATTCATTTATGGCTCTTATAATGTAATACACCGAAAGTCGTCCCAGCGGCCGGAGTCAGTGTTTCTACAAACGTCAATGTAGCCAGTGTTGTACATGACTCTGACGACCGTATACCGTGCTGCAGGTGTGTCAACACGCCCACCAGATGTACCTGACCCGGGAGTCTATCTTCCTCCTCCTCTACAACAGGGTGGACCACACCAGCTGCGACAGTGTCCTCCCCATCTACACCAGCATCCAGGAGGCCGTGAGTTATTTCATTATCTGCTGCTGCTGCTACTGCTACTGCTACTGCTACTGCTACTGCTACTGCTACTGCTACTGCTACTACTACTGCTAAGGCATCCAGTCAAGTCAAAACTTTGATTACACAACAGTCTCGTTTCCTGTTGACTGGGTTCCGTCCTATTGCGCAACTTAGTACAATAACCAGTCCAGAATTTTGAGACCAATTCATTTAACTCGATACATAATTATTAATCAGTATTATTTGATACATCTAAGCACTTGTATATTGAATCACTACGCTCCTAATCCTTGCAAACACGTCGTGCAGCATGCTCTGTCGTACAGCGAGCTCTGACAAAAGGAAACCTGGAAATCGTGGAAATCTCAAACGAGGCTCTCCCGCTAGAAAAGTTTGGCTGTCTGGTACGGACTTGATATTATATCAATCACATTGTACGTTATTGAACTACATTGAATAACCGCAAAAAAACACATAACAGGTGTAACCAGTGAGTCAGATTCTTGGTGAATCATTGTACGACCTCATCAAACAGGGGCAGTCTGTGACGCCTTAGTTAAGCTCATGCTGCCTACACCTCGCCATAAAATATAGAAATACGATGTTATTAAATCTTAAAATTAAAATTCATTTGTAAATACCATTTCTTATGAAACAAGAAATTGGAATTCAGTTTAACCATAGTTGTTTGTTATATCTATTTTCACTTTCACATGAGAAAATTCGGATCGGCTGAAAAGTAGGTCATTGTCTGAATAGGTTAATGACACTCATGTTTCGGTTTGCTATTACTGCTACTACTACTACTACTACTACTACTACTACTACTACTACATCTACTGCTACTACTACTACTGTTAAGGCATCCAGTACTACTACTGCTACTACTACTACTACTACGTCTACCACTACGTTTACTGCTGAGGCATCCACTACTACTACTGCTACTACTACTACGTCGTCTACTACTACTACTACTGCTAAGGCATCCAGTACTACTACTGCTACTACGTCTACTACTATGGCATTCACTACTACTACTATTGTTGCATGGAGATGCAAAGATACCTGGGCTTGCTAGAAACCTCTGCTGGTCAACCTAACCCTTGTGACGTATTTCGCTTATTATACTTTCGGTCCCTTGATTGTCCATTCGCTATAATTTACAGATGTAGCTTCATAGTGCGGTGTCAAAGCACTACTACTAGTGCTAGTAGTCCTCCTCCTACTACTACAACTACACTACTACTACATCTACCACTAATACCGACTGACAGAGCTGCATCATTCTCTTCCCACAGAGGTTACTCCTGTCATATCTTCCTACACAACCTCTGTTCTAATACGTCCCTTTCATGGTGTGAGCGTTCAAGACTCGTGATTGGAGGCAATCAGATTTAGTTGTGCAATCAGCGACGCTGTTTCAAAAGTGATCATTGGCAAGGCCTCGGTAATTTCCGTATGCTTCGAGAAAACTAAACCTCTTCCCCTGCGCGATGCGCAAACGTTTCTTCTAGACAGAACTCAGTCATGTTATGGCGGATCAGTGGCGTCTCCATCGCCCTCGTTGACAACGGACAAGCTAGCCATTACACGTCTTGTGTGTAACATCAACACAAGTCCCCGGCAGATGGGGGATATTTGTGGCCCCACATTTGCTTGTGTTAGTCAAGTTGAATCTAAGTCGATGTAACACGTGTTCTGTTTGGATAGAAAGAGGGGAGATAATTCGTGTTGCGATCTTTTGCCGCTAGGGGATTTTACGAGAACCGGGAAATGTGGCCGTATTAGAACAGAGGTTACGTAGGAAGATATGAGAAGTAACCTCTGTGGGAAGAGAATGGAGCTGTATATGTGTTGACCCACTCTGGAGACAATTTAACCCGTGATTCCATGCAAGGAACAAAACACAGACAATATTACAGCCCAACAACAATCACAACAACGCGAACCCCTCGACTGCTGACCTACGACCCGTGAAGATCCATGTTAGAATTGATCTTCAGTAACCCATGCTTGTAGTAAGAGGCGACTAACGGGATCGGGTTTTCAGGCTCGCTGACTTGGTTGACACATGTCATTGGTTCCCTATTGCGTAGTTCGATGCTCATGCTGTTGATCACTGGATTGTCTGGTCCAGACTCGATTATTTACAGACTGCCGCTATACAGCTGCAATATTGCTGAGTGCGCCGTTAAACAACAAACAAACAAGCAAACAAACAAACCAACAAACTTGCTGACCTACCAGAGCGGTTGTCACTGACACGATCACCCAACAAACCCTCTCCGGATCACTCTGACAGTGATGCTGTTGATGTGTAATCTCAAACCGTGTTTAAGTAGTTCCGGGTTCTAATCCCTGATTTATCTGTGGTATAATGGTCTGCTCAGGCTGCTGAGACTGTATGTGCACGGAACATGAGCGGTAATGGTTTTGAAATGGCACATTACCAGGAGCCTTTACCGTTCCAGTAATGGAATTCACTTGTCTGTTCCGCTGATGGCATTGATTGAGAATGTGGTGGCTGTGATGGAACGGACCTCATTGTTTCAGCGGAATATATTGTAAAATGCTGAAATTGTGCAATAGTTTGAATTCTCAACGGTGTCTAAATGGTAATGCTTGAATTATGCAATAGTTTGAATTCTCAGCGCTGTCTAAATGGTAATTTCTCAAAGGACATTCAGGCACAGTTCTATACATTGACGGTTGACCTCAGACGGGGATATTTGTAACTTTCTCTGGTACGAAGTCAGAGTTGACTTTTGATTTCAACGAGTGATGGAGTGTGGTACATACCACGTTAGGCCATATTTCAACAATATCACAGTCGTGGTCAGTCTACACTGGTAAGAAGTCAGAGTTGACTTTTGATTTCAACGAGTGATGGAGTGTGGTACATACCACGTTAGGCATTATTTCAACAATAGCACAGTCGTGGTCAGCAGACACTGGTAAGCCAAGTTGTTCAGAGCCTTTGAGCGTTTGCCTTATCAACTGAACTGATGGAGTGTGGTTTGAACATACCACGTTAGCGCCACATTTTTCAACAATGCTATTACGTTGTGGTGGTCAGCAGAAACCGGCATCCCGTTTGCAGCCAATGTCTGTTAATCGAACCACTGGTGTCTGCCTGGACATAGCTTGACAGATGCAGTAACAGCACTTCATCAGTTACATCACGGGCCCGTTTCCCACTGATACATGTGGCAGATGGCCAGTGTTGTCGCTATTTTTAACAAAGGAATCAAACGAAGGTCTGTTTCAAGCCAGATAGAAATCGGCGAGTAGTTAGACAAATGAACGATCAGATCAAATCATACAAACGGCCATGTTTATTGTATTAAAACCGAATGGAGCATATCGATCTTGGTTTCCTCGTCGCTGGTACATTCCCGAAACGGACATCTGACTTGGGTAATCTGAACTTGAGGCATTACGGGGCCTGGTTTCAGGCAAGCTGGCAGTCATAGCAATTGTGTTTCAAGTCAGGCAAACATCTCTTTCCTTCGTCTGGTAACTCGTTTTGGGGGACGAAAACAACGCTTACAACCACCACGTACCGTATTTACTACAAGATATTAAATTGGCTTCAGCCACCCATGCTCGTCGTAAGAGGCGACCCACATGATCGGGTGGTCAGGCTCGCAGACAACTGTATGCCATTGTTTCCAAAATTCGTAGATCTATGCTCATGATGCCAATCACCTGTTTGTCTGGTCTAGATTATTTACTGACATCCGCCATGTAACAGACACGTTGCTGAGAGCAGCGTTAAGCAGCTAAACAAGCAATGGCAAGACAATTGCTGAGTGTCATTCACTGAATAAAGATCAGTGTCTATACTGAAAATGGGCAAATCATCACGTGAAGTCTCTCTTGCACATTTTATGTTTTTCAAATACATTTTACACAGTTTCTACCATAAACTACCCAATATATATGTGAAGTTTGTGTAATCCTAACGGAGTCCATCACCGGCCAATCCTGGAATGTTAATCTCTTCCTTAAATCGCCTTTTAGGATTCTTCCACCACGAACTGGCCTTAGGTTATTCACCAGGACATTGCGTTGTCAGAAAAACGGACATTCAAAGTGTTCAGCGTCATTGTTGTTAGTTGTGACTTTGTACATAAGTATCTGGTCAATAATATGTTTCGGTTATTTCACGGTGGTGTTTCAGTGTATCCCAACCAGTGGTCAATAGTGAGAGCACCGAATTTAAGACATGATGACTGAGCTATCAGAGAAAAGAAACATTACCAAATGATATTTTAACCATAACGTTCAGGAACCACGCAAAACTTTGAAAAAAGATGCAAATGAGATGTATGGTCGACATGAAGACCATAGTTTCATTTAATCAGCGTTAAAATCAAAATCGGCGGAAGGCCTTAAAGCGAGAGATGTTTCGATCCTATCTCAATCATTAGAACGTGAATATTTACAAAAGCGATTTCCGTTCTCCACTACGGGCATCAATATAGATCTAATCTTGGCGTTGTGCTGTAAATGTCAGACGCCTGATAACGTGCGGAGATACTCTTCGCCATTCCTCTTGAAGAACCTGAAGACGCTATTGTCTGGTTCCGGGAATCACCGGTCACGCACGGTCCCACAAATGCTCAATTGGCGACATGTCAGGTGACCGAGCAGGCCGAGGTAGCACGTTGTCGTTGTTTCCCTGGAGGAAATCCTTGACGATACAAGCTACTACTACTACTACTACTACTACTACTACTACTACTACTACTACTACTACTTACCCGTGAAGATCCGGTTTAGAATTCAGCAATAAATGCTTGTCGTAAGAGGCGACTACCGGGGTCGGGTGGTCAGGCTGATTGACTTGGCTGACACATGTCATCGTATACCAGCTGCGTAGATCGATGCTCATGCTGTTGATCACTAGATTGTCTGGTCCAGACTGGATTATTTACAGACCGCCGCCACATGGATGGAACACATGCTGAGTGCGGTGTTAAACAACAAACCACAACAACTACTACTACTTACGACATGATGACAAACTAGTTTCGGTCATAACTTATGTGCTACGGACCGTGAATGTTACGTGTCTGTGATCATGCAGATGTAATAGCGATATCGCCGTGAAGTAACCGTGATGCATTCGATAGATCGCTTTCATACATATGTGCCCTCTCTGTGATATAATGTTTTAGTATCGCTGTGGGATATCTACGATACCGTTGACAGTTCAAGAACTCGCCCATCCCAATGCAATACCAACACCTTAGGCTATAAGTAAAGCTGTTTAAACCTATAGGCAGAAGTTCTGCAAGATGTATGCTCGTCGTGTATTCACTCAATGATTATTCAACAACTCCAGGAAGCGCTGTGGTCACCAGTACCACACTAGCGCCAATCTGTGATCTTTAGGCTGTTATTCAGGCTGTATATAGATTATGCAGACGTCCTGCAAGACGTGTACTGGTTGTATATTCAATCAATGTAAAATGGTTATTACAGGCTCCAGGAAGCACCGTGATCATTGCGAGTACAAAGGCGGACAAATCTCCGCCCGACGGGAACCGTGCCACTCTGCCGTCAGGGGAACAGATTCTCGACTCCCTGAGGACGAGCCTGGACAACTGGAGGTTCTATGTCCTGAAGGAGATAGACGAACTCAAGTGAGATCAGATAATGGGAAAATACTCAAGTGATATAAGACAGTGTGAAATAACTTTACTAAGTAACTCATTTGAAATAAGACAACCGCTAATCAGTATTGTGCACTGAATAATTACTCCAGACACACGAAATGCCAAATCCGAAATACAGACTGGTACATATCTTGACACCTTCAGAGGCAGTGGTGGACTTTATTGAGTAATGTTGCATAGTCAAGAAAATCCGAGTGCTGCCATCACTAACTGCTTAAAAAGATGGGAAGTCGTAACTGTTTCGTTGTATGCAATTGTCTGAATACGTAACAGTTTTTAGGACATTGTTACAAAAATAATACGTCCACGTAATTGCTGTATTCTGAAGTACATAACTGTATACACATTTACACACATATACGAATTTACAAATTGAAAGGTTATGGTAAGCATAACCAGATCAAGACCCGTAAGATCCGGGGTAGAATAGGTCTTCAGCAAACCATGCTTGCCACAAAAGGCGACTATGCTTGTTGTAAGAGGCGACTAACGGGATCGGGTGGTCAGGCTCGCTGACTTGGTTGACACATGTCATCGGTTCCCAATTGCGCAGATCGATGCTCATGCTGTTGATCACTGGATTGTCTGGTCCAGACTCGATTATTTACAGACCGCCGCCATATAAGTGGAATATTGCTGAGTGCGGCGTAAAACTAACCTCACTCACTCATAACCAGATCAAATAAGATAATTCAAGGGGATTCCTGCAGGTTTCCTGTAGTTGACACTACATGGCTGGTCCTAAACCCAGTTCTTTGAGTCGCTGACGCTAATTGGCGTCCGGTGGTTACTCGGGCTAAATAAAATGGACGACTAAACGTTTGAGTTTTGTTTCGCTTTAAGTAATGATCCCGGTGTTGTGAGTAAGTCCGACTGTTTTCTTGAAGGCTGTTGTCACGAGAAGCGCACGCCAAAGAACCGGAGTCGGCCAACAAGAGCAAGAAGAACGACACACGTCACAGGCACAGCGACACCTACCCTGTAGTCAAGTCTCAGATGGAGGTGTGTGAAGCCATCCTCATGAAGGTCAAGGACGTGCCAACCAAAGTGTACGATGTCAGCTCGTTAGACGGCCAGGTAACATGTACAGGAATGTGTTACAACATCCAAACTCTTGGGAAACACGGTTGCATGCCTTTGTTAGAAGGCAACCCAGGGGAATTAACAAATCCGTTAGTCGTTGGTGTGCTTCAATATTTCATTCTGATTCTGACATTTATAGTTTGTCAGAATCGGTGCCATACCCGGATGTACAACGGATGTAAACGTGAAAATATAATTTAGGTAAACTGCAAGCTGACACATCGTATTAACAGAAATAATGTTCAAACCGTCGTTAAGCTTAAAAATTGATGCTTATCATTTATTTTATCAAAGGCTCATATCCCCATACCCCGGAGGTTTCAAATAACAGTAACTACGTCTGACAGAAACTGCCGAGTTGACGGCCGCTTAATCACAGGAGGAACCATACATTTGTAGAAATGAAATATCAGTTCATTTTTCACCGTTTCCGGTAAGCAATTTGAAGAGGTCTACATTCTGACTGATCAGTCGGGGGCTTCAAATCACGCAGACTAAGTCTAACAGAAACAGTTTTTTTCTTTAAAATATTATCGGTAGGCAATTAGAAATAATTATATTGCTGTATCATGTGTGACCCGTATGGTGACTCACGGTTCAGGGTCCGGATCCACAAACCGTTCGTAGCGCTACGACATTCGTAAGCCTACGCTACACTATAGCGTTTACGACAGGTCGTAACGTTACGAAGGCTTTGTGGATCAGGACTCTGAACAGAACTCTGTAAGTCTTGCTTTATGTTTATTTGTATGCTTGTCACTCATGATATCTGCCAGTTACTGTAAATGTCTGTGATGTATGCGAGTAATTGTAACAGTTTTCAGCGGGCAGAGGCTGTACGGACTCGCGGGGTAGGTTTTTTTTATGCGAAATCGACATTTGCCGATCTGTGATAATATCTCAAAGGCTGTTTTTATGAGTTCTTGTTTCAATGATCTGATGGAGGCTTATAAGGTCACCGATCGGTCAGTTGCTGACCAGGAGTTTCTGGCGATTAAGCTTAGTACCGGTCTCTGATCACCTAATGATTCGAGGGTCACTAATTGGACAGTTACTGTCTGGCTGAGTCGTCGGTTGATATAGCCGGCTGCCTGTTGTGACCCCAAAACGAGCGTGAGATTCACATATTAGACACTTACTGATTGGCAGTTATCACCTGCTGATAAAGGACCTTATTAGGGACATGGACATTGTCACAACCAATTAGTTAAAAAAAACCACACCTATAAAACAGCGCCGAGAACGAAGTCAACATCGTGTGCGAAATGCGCATCATGTCGGAAAGCGCACGTAAAATCTCAGAATCATCATCATCGACGTCAGCAGAGGCACAACAGGGCTTTTTCATGTGTGTTTTCATGTCTCATTTATTGATTAACATCTTAGTATCCTACGTGTCTTTCTTTCATAAGGTTTATGTTGAGATATATAAAAGAGTGTGATACCCATAGAAAAAGTTTAAATCAGCCATAGTTCAACGTATTAAATGTCTCAATATACCCGTACTGGTTTTGCTTTTGAGTCCACCCCTCCTACCTGTTTCTTTTTATAGTGATAGTGAGACTCCATGGTAGCTACATACTTAATAGTTTCAGTATAAAAGTTATTATTTTTACGTCAGCTGTCGTTTATAATGAAGCTAAGCTTTATTTCAAAATGGGCATTTAAAAAGTGTCCATTGTAATACAATATCATCGCACACTAATTTTCATAAAGCCATGGTCTGTTCCAAATAAGTCGCATTGGACTTATAAAAAACCCGCATTGCTCATTTCACTAATCTCCAGTAAAGTCCTTTAATTTTGATTTTCCTATCTCCCTACCACTGACACTGTAGTTAAGCCGAACTTAGTTTAACAGTTATTTCACACTTTTACATAAATTGTAGAGATAAATGTGAAAAAACAGTTTTTTTCTATTTCCGACAGTATTTTTTTTAAGTTGGTAACCCAACATTGATAACACGCGACACGTTTATCTCATATCAACAGCGGAATGAGTTTTTGTATGGTAAATATGATTTATTAGGAAAAATCCAAAGCTATTATGCAATCCTTTGTTGAGCATTATACGAGTCACATGTTTTTTAAAAATTTAATTTGTGTTGTTGAATATATGACATTAACGATGCTAAAACCCAATCTGCTAATTATCTCGATTTCTTCGTCGAGTCAGCCCTGATCTGATCGTGGTTTTACGACGTCTTGTGGCTAGTATCGTATCATAACTGTATCTATGTATTCAGACCTATTTGTGTGATTTTAAATGGTTAAAATGTGCATGCTACAGAAAATAACTGCACACACGTCTTAACTGTTTTCATATGAACCCAGTTTGGCGAAAGATTTACCGGTTTTGTGGTTAGAGCGTGACATGAGTAATAAAAGCGTCGTACGCGTTTTTCGGTTGCAAAACGGCCAAGCAGCCATTTGGAATATCCCTCCTTTTTCCTCACATCATGTATGTTCCCCTCAATCACAACAATTGGCGTTCTTATGTGAATGACATTTAAAAGTTCGTCTGATGAACAGGGGGGAGGGGGGTGTGTGTGTGTGTGTGTGTAGTTCTATGGATATACAACTTGTTTATTACAGTATATATGCGACGTTATGGTGTAGATGCTAACACCGTTGTTTCGACTATTTTAACACACTCTTTCCTTGGTTTAAATTGAAAAGATTCATTTAAAAGATTGCCAATTCCATGAAACATTATTTTTGCCTTCTGAGTACAGTATTAACTTAGTATTTTAAAAATAGTTCAAGATCAGCTTGATCTTTCTTTGTATTTAAAGCTCCCTTACTTGGTGGATTTGGGAGATGAGAAACACAAAATGAATATATACATCTGTGCATAAAATAAGCACCACCCTGTATTTTTACCAATTAATTTTGTCTGAAATGAATTCTAAACTCTTTCCAAAAAATCATCTTTATAATTTGATAGAGAAAGCATTTAACATTTCAAAAACGAAAACATCATTGAAAATACCATGTACTTTAATTAGGATAATTGCCTATATTTAAAACAGGTGTTTTCTATAGATCGTATCGTTAGCATAATATGTTCCATGGTATGTTAAAGCTTATAATTAGATTACCTGTTAGGATTTCAAGTAAGGATAAACGAACCAATGAAATTTGGAAATTGATGATTACAACTTTGGACCTGGCAGGTCCCGTGTCAACGTAACCGGCGGCGTTCGTCGCTGTTTTTGTTTGCTACCGTTTGGTTCATAAACTATTTTATTATTTCACACTTAGGGTATCGATGAACTGAAAACGGTCATCTTCCAAACAGCCCTGGACCCCGTGAAGTTCCCGCACCTGGACCGGACCATCAAACCCAGCACCATCTCCTTGTACGACGAGATTCTGAAGCTGCGAGAACGAGATCTCGTTCTGCTGACATGGGGTCAATTTCGAGATATAGCGAATCAGCTGAGTCCTGATGGCGATGACACGCTCGAGGAGGATACTGCTTTCCTTCAAACAATTGTTAGTCTTATTATGCATATTTTGTATATTCAGGTGTAAACTTGTATATTTTATTGAAAGTAATTATGGATTTCAGTAAAATCATAAAGATAAAATCATAAACATAAACGGCTTATATTTCAAAATGTTTAACATAGTGAACTGATATAAATTTGTTTACATATTATATTTGAAACCATATCACTAATCATTTAATCACCTCCTAGTTTCTGAGTGAGTGAGTGAGTGAGTGGGTTTAGTTTTACGCCGCACTCAACAATATTCCGGCGGTCTGTAAATATTCGAGTCTGGACCAGACAATCCAGTGATCAATAGTTTCTGAGAGGCGTGCGTGTGTGCGTACGTACGTACGTACGTACGTACATACATACATACATACATACATATATACACTTACTATCAAGCAAGCTATCTCTTTGTTGAAGCCATTTGACAATTCCCTTACTGTCGCTATCAATGTGAATAGATTATTTAAAATACTATAATTTTGTGAAAATCAATTTTGAAAAAGCAACTGATCACGACGAATCACAGACCCGTGTTTGTATCGGATAAGTGAGTGGAAATTCGATAATGATTATTGTTCGGGTTTCCTTTCCAACTATTGCACAATATGTTTATGGAGTATACCGAGCTACCGATCACGGAAGTATGTTAGTGCTAAGTCAAAAACTATATCATCCACGTAGATGATAATTTCATCTATGGAGAAGATAAAGGGTCTGTGGCACTAATATCCATATTCTTCCAGAAGAGCAAATCATGCTGACCCTTTTGGCGAACTTCTTGTGTCCCCACTGATTTTCAATGATCCATTTATATTTTTTAAACTCTTATGCCTTTAACTTCCAATAGAATCTATATACCTGATTAACCCCCGGTGTTGACGTTTCAACGAACGACAAGGAATTGTGGTGTTTAGGGTAACTTTCTAATGGCTGTCAAATCGGTTGTGTTAATGGTTGTTTTCAGTGTTAATGTTTTTATTAATACGAAGAACACCGTCGATGAAGTTGATGTCAGCAATATCGATGAAGTTGCTGATATTTTGAACATGTCGCCGTTATTGCATTAGTACATGAAATATGTATGTCTTTTCCAAGCAATCAACAGCCTCCATTAAAAATATAATTTACGTAGTGCAAGAGCTCATTTCCATCCACATTTTGTCAACATTACAGGGAGGCCTGCTCGATTTCAAAATGACACCATCCCTTTCCAACACTCCCGACAAGCCCACTTCCAACATCCCGACCGCGGGGACGGGCCGGTTTATCTGTGTCCACCCCGGCGTCCTCGCCAACGCCGTGTGCTGCTGCCTCGTCGACGACGACAAGAAAGCCTTCAGGTTCGAGTCGTGCAGGTTCTGGCCCAAAGATTCTGGCTTCAAACGTCCAGATCCTCAGGTGCTGTGCAAGGTGCTGGAGTCGATACCTCATGAAGGTCTAATTAGGGAGTCTCTTCTTCCATTGTTGTGGCAGGTGAGCTGGTCTGTGAGAACTTGTATATAATCTCATTTCCTGGCTGTAATGGGTGTGAGTGATTTCTGAATAGATTACCTCATTCTATTATCAGCTATTATCAGCTATTATCCTGATATCCTTCCTATACATGTACACATGTTTCCCAGTCGGAACATTATATAATCATTTAGTACGGTGAATACAAGGGACGTCAACCTGTAAGACGAGGAGGGTCGGAACGGCAACCCATGCTTGTCGTAAGAGTCGACTTACGGGTTCGCTGATTTGATTGACACATGTCATCGTATCCCAAATGGGTAGATCGATGCTCATTATGTCAATTACTGGAATGTCTGGCTCAGATTTGGTTATTTACAGACAGCCGTCATGCAGTTGAATGAATATTCCTGTGTGTGGCGTTAAACAACAAACAACACTGACTGACTGAGTTTGGTTTTACGCCGCTTTTAGCAATATTCCAGCAACATCACGGCGGGGGACACCAGAAATGGGCTTCACACATTGTATCCATGTGGGGAATCGAACCCGGGTCTTCGGCGTGACGAGCCAACGCTTTAACCATTAGGCTACCCCACCGCCCCTAACAAACAACAAATAAAGGAAACAAAACAGACTGTAGGAAGTGAAATTTGTTGGCTTTCCTGTGCTGTCATGTCTCAATGCGATGTAAAGGGTCTAGCACGATCAAGCCTTCACGGTTGACAACCTGACCGGTTTACGTCTAGACCAAACAGCTGATGGAGAGCTTGTCATTCAAAGACCACCTCTAACTAGTTCACCATATTATAGCATGAAGTGGCTCTGGTGTGTAGTGTGAGCTCATCTGACAAGGTCTTCATGGGTAAAATGTGTAAAACCAATGCTGGGACCACCGATCGAGTTAAGCCAGATAATGCAAGTGTTTCCTTGAAGTGATCATATTGGGATCTCTCATTAATCGTCTTAAAAGTGAGAAGACCGTCATCTTGACCCAAAACACTGCCTTCTGTTGACACCGCTGACACTGCCTTCTGTTGACACCACTGACACTGACACTGCCTGATGTTGACACTACTGACACTGACACTGCCTGATGTTGACACCACTGACCCTGTCACTGCCTGATGTTGACAACGGGGTGGTAGCGTAGCCTAGTGGTTAAGGCCTCCGCTCGTCAAGCCGAAGACCCGAGTTTGATTCCCCACATTGGTACAATGTGTGAAGCCCATTTCTGTTTGCCTTCGCCGTGATATCGCTGGAATAGTGCTTAAAGCGGTGTAAAACTAAACTCACTCACTCACCTATGTTGACAACACTGACACTGAGTTATGTTATAGCAAGACTTACACTGCCTCATGCTGACAACACTGACACTGAGTTATGTTAGCAAGACTGACACTGCCTCATGTTGACAACACTGACACTGAGTTATGTTAGCAAGACTGACACTGCCTCATGTTGACAACACTGACACTGTTTTAACCAATGTTCCAGGAGAGCAACCTGTACGAGGACCAGATCATGCACCTGGTGCGTGTGTTCACCTACCTGGGTCTGTTCATCTGCTACTGTAACAGCAAGACTAACTGTGAGGGGCTAGCCCTTCCCTACTACCCCCACCTGTCGGTACAGCGCTGTCTGTATGCTGTCCTCCTGGATCTGCTGCCCAACAACAGACCAGTAAGTACCAACACACCCTCGTGCCGACCATATTTCTATCATTCCACGGGATCTGACGCGATGTTTTGTAGAATTGGTGAAGCCAGAGTTGACTTCGGGTTTCAACTTCCGGTGCAGATGCTTGATAAAGTGCTAGCATATATACTAAACATTTCAATGAAAATATAAGAATTGTAACTCTTTAAATTTCACAAATACCACAGGATATCGATAAGAATGTGTGCGAGGGGATACCGTAGATATAAGATGATATTGAAACATTTCGAGTGGTATGTGTTTTCGACTGAACAGATTACATTGATCATCAACGTCCAGCTAGACACACCATTATTCCACGGATGAATATGTCTAATTGTCTAATGCGACATTTCCCCTGAATTCCTTACAAAGACCTTAATGAGGAACGTGTCGCTACAATGTTCGTACTACATTGTCTACGACGGCCTGGCTCCTTTCTGTTCCATTTTTACGGCAAGGGATAAGGCTAAATCTATTCTAATAGCTTTGCAACTTATTAACCGTTCCAAGGAAGTCAGATTTGTCATATTTTCAGATAGCTTACAATGTCTACAGGCAATCAAAATCCGTAAAGCTGACCATTCGTGTTTGGTTGAAATTTTGAAATGGCATCTTAATCTGTCTGTGGCTAAAATTTAAATTCTTTTTCGTTTGCTACCCAGTCACGTTGGTATTGTGGCAGTTAAATCTGCTCTTGGGAAGTCATTGTCAAGCTGTAAATTTCCATACACTGTCGTAAAACCTCCTATTTGGCAATATGTCAAAACGTTTGGCAGCAATGATAGAACTTAACATATATAATCAAATAAACTGCATGCCATACAACCTTTGATAAGATATACTGCCCTAGCTGGTTTAAATCGCCAAGATGAAGTGCTGATCCGAAGGTGTCGCATTGGACTTTTCGTGAGAGGCGGCTAACGGGATCGGATGGTCAAATTCGCTGATTTGGTTGACACATGTTATTGTACCCCAATTGTATAGATCGATGCTCATGATCGCAATCACTGGCAATCACTGAATTATCTGGTCCAGATTTCATTATTTACAGACCGCCGCCATACGGCTGGGATATTTCTGGGTGCGGTGTTAAACGACAAACAAACGAGTCAAGCATGGGTAAACTGTGTTAAGGCGATTTCTGGTGTTATTCTCCATGATATAATTGATATATAAAGCAAACTACGGTTATGTCGAATTTAAAGGCACCACTAATTTTAGTTCGTTATAACCGTTCGCATTTCGACTAAAATATACGGGAAGAGAAACGTTTCGTTATATCCGTCAGTTCGTTGTAGATGTGTTCGTCGTAGACGTAGATTACTGTATTCCAATTATATTATGGAGAACAACAGAAATGGCCTTAACACAGTTTACCCACAGTTTATGTAAGTATTAAAGTAGGTTAGTGGTGTGTGGTTTAGCAACTGTCTTCATGTCACGAATAACCTGTCTGATTAATGTTCTTCAGCAACTTAACTGGACACCCAAGCCTTTCAAGGGAGACTTGCAGATCACCATAGGCTACGTCTTCCCCACCGGGCTCCCCGTGGGTGTGGCCAAACAGCTGTTGGCACACTGCCAGTACGTGGGTCAGGATACCAGCTCCTACCGGCACATGTGGAAGTACGGGGTGCTCCAGAGGGTCGGGGAGGTAGGTTCCACTGATAAGGGGAAGCCTTTGGTTAAAGCCGACTTTGACTTTTTGACATTCGGTCCTAATATGGATAAAATAATGCTAATATATTCGGCAGTGGGGAATGAGGCACACCCAGGTTGAATCTTAAAAATATTATTTGCTTTCAATCAATGACAGTTGATGACAGATATTCTAATCTCCAGATGTATATTATATTTCCTTTTCCAAAAAGTTTATGTTAACAGTGAGTGAGTGAGTTTAATTTTACGCCGTCTTTAGCAATATTCCAGCAATATCACTGCGGTCATGTTAACACAATGTCCAGGGTGCTCATTTTCAAGGTCAGATCATTTTATTTTCATGCAGCACTTTCTGTGCTGGCGATTAGGTGCCTAACTCTGAGGGTTTGGGTTCGAATCCCGGAGGGACTCAACCCAACAAACGTACTAGAACATGTACTTTACTGAGAAAGTGTAATCCCAAATATACGATATGTTACGTTTGACCACTAAATGACATTGTGTATTCATAGCACAATACATGTCGAACAATCTATTTCTACCGTTTACAATTAAGCTGAATACAAATTATATATGGTCTCTTGTACTGAACATATGAATGTTTCATATTGTTAAAACGTTTTTAAAGAAAATTACCCCAAACAAGCTATGTAAGTTTATTTTATATAAAAAATAAAAAGTACTTCTGTTTGATGTTAAGTACAGAAATAGTATGTTAAGTACAGAATTTTTTTACATTTTCTGTATTTATGTTTGTAATACTTGTGTTCAGTATTCATGGAAATATACAACAATAGTTTACGATAAACGCAGCTGTTTATTGTGTTACAGAAGTAAACGTATAGATTTGTTTATGAGTCTGATGAAGAAGATTGTCATATCTGACACTGTGTATTTAAGCTCACAGATGTAACCACCTTCTTGTTGTAGGCCATAGTCTGCGCGGAACACGACAACTCCCAGTTCAACATCAGCTGCCGGGTGAACGCCGACGAGCCTGGCCAGGAGGACTCGGCCGTGCAGCTGCTGTGGGTGTCGTTGTCGCCGTTCCTGCTGTCTCTGAACAAGTTCCTCAACTTCTGGCCCGGGCTTTTCTACAAGGTGACGTTGTCTCTTCTTCATTTCAAGGGGGTAAGGTACCTCAAAAGCGACCGACGGGATTAGGTGGTCAGGCTCGCTGACTTTGTTCATACATGGTTTTGCATCCCAATTCCTAGATTCGTGCTATGTGACGGCGGTCAGAGTCTGGACAAATATATTTTATTGGCATTCAAGTTGGTAGGTCAAAAATGAAACATACAACTTTATGGATGACAACTTCTTGTTTATTGCATAGAGCGACGTTTCGATGTAGATTTTTATAATGTTATCAATTTACGTCGAAACGTCGCTCTATGCAATAAACAAGAAGTTGTCATCCATAAAGTTGTATGTTTCATTTTTGACCTACCAACTTGAATGTCAATTAAAAAAACATTGTCCAGGCTCAGACCGCCGTCACATTGCTGGCTTATTGCTGAGTGATGTTAAACCACAAACTTTGAGAGAGTTTTAGCCAAGTTCCAGCTATATCATAGCTGGGGACACTAGGCATGGGCTCCACATATTGTACCCGGGAGGGAATTCGAAGCCAGGCCTTCAAAGTGATGAGCAAACGTTTTAAGCACTAAGTTACCCTACTGCCCATAAGAATCAAAGGAAAATCAAACCGTCACTCAGTCACTCACCCGTTCACTGTGTATCTGTTACCTAGATGGTCATCCTTCCTCTGGGCCACCAGTTCTACCACGAGGAGAAGGTGGAGAGTGAGCCGATGGTGTCCCTGCTGAAGTGCTTGTCCTACTGGCTGGCCGACAAGAAATACAGCTTCAAGGATGGGGAGGTGGAGAGAGAGATCGACCTGCAGCTGCTCTTCCCCTTCAGAGGTGAGGCTACAGCTCTATGTGGGTCCTACTTATCCCCTTCAGAGGTGAGGCTACAGCTCTCTACAGGTCCTACTTATCCCCTTCAGAGGTGAGGCTACATCTCTCTGTAGGTGAGGCTACAGCTCTCTGTAGGTCCTACTCATCCCCTTCAGAGATGAGGCTACAGCTCTATGTAGGTCCTACTTATCCCCTTCAGACGTGAGGCTACACCTCTCTATAGGTCCTATTTATCCCGTTCAGAGGTGAGGCTACAGTTCTCTATAGGTCCTACTTATCCCCTTCAAAGGTGAGGCTATAGCTCTCTATAGGTCCTACTTATCCCCTTCAGAGGTGAGGCTACAGCTCTCTGTAGGTCCTACTTATCCCCTTCAGAGGTGAGGCTACAGCTCTCTGTAGGTCCTACTTATCCCCTTCAGAGGTTAGGCTACACCTCTCTATAGGTCCTACTTATCCCGTTCAGAGGTGAGGCTACAGTTCTCTATAGGTCCTACTTATCCCCTTCAAAGGTGAGGCTACAGCTCTCTGTAGGTCCTACTTATCCCCTTCAGAGGTGAGGCTACAGCTCTCTATAGGTCCTACTTATCCCCTTCAAAGGTGAGGCTACATCTCTTTATAGGTCCTACTTATCCCCTTCAGAAGTGAGGCTACATCTCTCTATAGGTCCTACTTATCCCCTTCAGAGGTGAGGCTACAGCTCTCTATAGGTCCTACTTATCCCCTTCAAAGGTGAGGCTACAGCTCTCTGTAGGTCCTACTTATCCCCTTCAAAGGTGAGGCTACAGCTCTCTGTAGGTCCTACTTATACCCTTCAAAGGTGAGGCTACAGCTCTCTGTAGGTCCTACTTATCCCCTTCAGAGATGAGGCTACAGCTCTCTATAGGTCCTACTTATCCCCTTCAGAGGTGAGGCTACAGCTCTCTATAGGTCCTACTTATCCCCTTCAGAGGTGAGGCTACATCTCTCTGTTGGTCCTAGTTATACCCTTCAAAGGTGAGGCTACAGCTTTCTGTAGGTCCTACTTATCCCCTTCAGAGGTGAGGCTACAGCTCTCTGTAGGTCCTAGTTATACCCTTCAGAGGTGAGGCTACAGTTTTCTACAGGTCCTACTTATCCCCTTCAGAGGTGAGGCTACAGCTCTCTGTAGGTCCTACTTATACCCTTCAGAGGTGAGGCTACAGTTTTCTACAGGTCCTACTTATCCCCTTCAGAGGTGAGGCTACAGCTCTCTGTAGGTCCTACTTATCCCCTTCAGAGGTGAGGCTACAGCTCTCTGTAGGTCCTACTTATACCATTCAGAGGTGAGGCTACAGCTCTCTATAGGTCCTACTTATCTCCTTCAAAGGTGAGGCTACATCTCTTTATAGGTCCTACTTATCCCCTTCAGAGGTGAGGCTACAGCTCTCTATAGGTCCTAGTTATACCCTTCAGAGGTGAGGCTACAGATCTCTATAGGTCCTACTTATCCCCTTCAGAGGTGAGGCTAAAGCTCTCTATAGGTCCTACTTATCTCCTTCAAAGGTGAGGCTACATCTCTCTGTAGGTCCTAGTTATACCCTTCAGAGGTGAGGCTATAGCTCTCTGTAGGTCCTAGTTATACCCTTCAGAGGTGAGGCTACATCTCTCTGTAGGTCCTAGTTATACCCTTCAGAGGTGAGGCTACAGCTCTCTATAGGTTCTAGTTATACCCTTCAAAGGTGAGGCTACATCTCTCTGTAGGTCCTAGTTATACCCTTCAGAGGTGAGGCTACAGCTCTCTGTAGGTCCTACTTATCCCCTGCAGAGGTGAGGCTACAGCTCTCTGTAGGTCCTAGTTATACCCTTCAGAGGTGAGGCTATAGCTCTCCGTAGGTCCACGTATCCCATTCAGAGGTGAAGCTACATCTCTCTGTAGGTCAGGCTACATCTCTCTGTAGGTCCTACTTATCCCTTTCAAAGGTGAGGCTACAACTCTCTGTAGGTCCTATTTATCCCCTTCAAAGGTGAGGCTACATCTCTCTGTAGGTGAGGCTACAGCTCTCTGTACGTCCTACTTATCCCCTTCAAAGGTGAGGCTACAGCTCCCTTTAGATCTATCATTCTCCCGTCCTCAATACCGGTCTGTAGATAGCACTCTTCTGTATCACCCTGAATACATTTGGTCTATGGGATAGTAGTGTTGCAGCCTTGTTTTAGTGAAGGAATGTCGATGAGCTTACTCATGTGTGTACATGTGTGTGTGTGTGTGTGTGTGCGTGCGTGCGTGCGTGCGTGCGTGTGTGCGTGCGTGCGTGCGCACCCACTCTTTTGTCCTAAAATTTTATTAAATGACCATTGAAACTCTCGCGAAAATTAAGTGTGCAAAAAAAACAGCACAGGTACAAAAGCACCAGCACGGGTATGGTGGTGACCTTTGACATCAGGGCCGAACCTGGTTTCAGTTCCACAAGTATCTTTTTCTTACGTTCCCAGCGCCTAAGATTACTGGGTCACAGTCCCAGTTGATTGACTGGTCAAAAGAGACTGCGCTGGAAAACGGTTATGTGTATTCAGCGGTGATGGGAAAACGTCGTACATGCTAACCGGTTAACGTGGTCTGCGCCAAGCGGATAAAACCCCACGACAGAGCAACATGTCCACCAATAATTAGACTAAACAAAACAACCAAAACGTTTGCACATCGATAATGCCTTCAACAAATTAGTTTTGTCGGCTTCTTTTGAACTACATGAGCCGTTAAACTGAATGTGTTCGTGATCACACAAAAATAAATGAATAAAACAAATAAATAATAATAAATAAAAATATATTAAAAAAATAACAACAAAAAACACGTTTAATTTTTCATACGATAACCTCTTCCCACTGTTTAGTCTAATAAGTGTATGTTTTCGTTAATGTGAAGGAGTGCGTCGCAAATAAGTTGTACCTGTTTATCAAATTTCAATTCAATTTCGACCTGCCTACAAATCCAGACATTTATTTATTTATTGTCAGGTGAGCTGCAGATCTGTTTTTGTTAAGGAATCATAGATCATTAACAAAATGAAAGCATGAGCTTGTTAGATAATTACCCATGGTAATGTCCACTAAATACCCTTAGCTGTTAGCTGTCCGAGCAGGAACTGATCAGCACCTTATTATCAGTCAAGCTTGAGCCTTTTGTGATACAAGTCTCACACCCGGCTTCCGAACTCACTAATCACACGTTTCCTGATAACTAGCATTGATTTTCTATAACCACCTGTCAGTGGACACATACTGACCACACCACACAACTGTCTGACCACAGTGGCCGAAGGCAGCAAAACTCATAGCGTCAGGGTAAGCGATATCATTCAGGAAAAGATTACGTTGAGGGGAATGTTCGAGTAACTCTCCCAGCAAGAGCCGAGGTAGCGTTATTTGTAAGGAATGGAGAGTTACGAGGATATTCCTCAACTTACATTGTTTTATGTGACTTGGTAAAACGTGTCTTGATATTTTTCCTACATCGTAATGCAGAAATTATCTCGAAAAAGTATATATGTTATCAATAACAATCTCATTAAGCAACTGAGGTGTTGTACATAGCCTGTAACACGTGCACGGAAACAACCACTTTCCAGTAATCAAGCAACTCTCCATTCATTACATAATGGAGTGCTGAAACAGTAGATGTCATAAATGTAAAAGAGCCACGATAAGTGAGTTTGGAAATAGATTCCTCTGTTCGTGTGTACGCTAAGTGTGCTCTCAATGTATGAAGGTAAGTGAGGAAGGGCATCAGCTGTTCGTTATTTGTTGCAATGGACATTTCCTGTGCAGAATCTGATCACCAAGCAAATCGGCCTGTAACTGGCCCGGTTCGATTCCCCACATGGGTACAATGTGTGAAACCCGTTTCTGGTGTCCCACGCTGTGATATTGCTGGAATATTGCTAAAAGCGGCGTAAAACTAAACCCACTCACTCTAGGCCTTTGAAACTTCTGGATTCTTCTTGCACATGAAAAAGGTTTTGCTGTGACTTTTAGTTTATGTCAAGTTTATAACTTTTTATGATTTGATAGTCAGTATTATAATTACATATAATGCTAAAACATTCCTAAGGATCAAGTTTTGATTATATGAATAATTATCCAACAAAGATTGAATTATCCTGGTCCATACTTATTGGGTGACATTTCAAGATGAAAGGGCAGATTGTATGTTTGTTGTTTAATGCCGCCAGCTCTATGCCGGGGGTCTGTTGATAATCGAGTCTGGACCAGACAATCCAGTGATCAACGGTTGATCCACAGCATGAGCATCGATCTACACAATCGGCATACGATGGCATGTGTCAACCAAGTCAGCGAGCCTGTCTACCCGATCCCGTTAGTCGCCTCTTAGGACAAACATGAATTGCAGACCAATTCTTCAGGATAATGAAGGGGGAGAGCATGCCTGTTAGGGGCAGGATGTGCACAAGGTCCTTGGGAGTCTGTGTTTTGATCTACTGTGACAGAATCGTTGCACATCTTTATCATAGAGGACAGTAGTATTTACTGTGAATGCACTTATGCAGGTTGACTCCTTTGTTTACTGGTTGACTCCTTTGTTTACTGGTCGATGCCTTTGTTTATTGGTTAACCCCTTTGTTTACTGGTCGACGCCTTGTTTACTGGTTGACTCCTTTATTTGCTGGTCGATGCCTTTGTTTAAAGGTTGACTCCTTTGTTTACTGGTTGACTCCTTTGTTTACTGGTCGATGCCTTTGTTTACTGGTTAACTCCTTTGTTTACTGGTCGATGCCTTTGTTTACTGGTTGACTCCTTTATTTGCTGGTCGATGCCTTTGTTTAAAGGTTGACTCCTTTGTTTACTGGTCGATGCCTTTGTTTACTGGTCGATGCCTTTGTTTACTGGTTGACTCCTTTATTTGCTGGTCGATGCCTTTGTTTAAAGGTTGACTACTTTGTTTACACATTATAACCCATTGATAAAGCTCTAAACGTTTTTATGTAAAGAGGATGTTCCTCAGTAATATTTTGGATGCTGTGGGTTGTCTTGTGGCAAAGTGTCGTCATGCCGATGCCCCACATACAATACAATGAAAGAAGCCTATATTTGATGACACCTATCACGATATTACCTGAATATTGCTAAATACAGTGTAAAAATCATACTCAATCAATAACACTTTAGTTTTAGCATCTTCTGTCTATCATGGCTGTGTTCACTATTTCAGACTGCCCAACTCTGCATTGTGTCGAGGACTGGTTGATGTTTGTGTTAAACAAGAAGCATCTTGTGTTCCCCTCTGAGGAGAGCAACACAATCATGGAGCCCACCACAGACACGAAGACGGCCCTGAAGATTAACCCATTGCTTCTCCTCAGCAAGGGATCAATGAAGCTCAAGAGCAAGAAGAAAAAGGTTTGTCGACTCTTTCCTGACCATAAGTAGAAACATTCAACTATGGTTTTCTTAGGCCCAAATAACTATTCATGTTTCAATTTGTAATTATATTAAATTAATTACAGTCTGTGCTTGTTTCTGTAAACATTTGTAAATTTGTTTAATGTCTGGTTACATTGTGTTACCAGTGCGAGGTATTTTCTGTACATTATAAGTTGTTCACTGGACACGAGGGGGGCATGGGTTGATGTACCCTCGATGTTTGTTTATGTTCCCTGTGCCCAATGGCGAGGGGAACATTGAAACTAATAGAAGAGCGCTCAGCGAATCAGAAAGCGACATTTATGTGTGAGGTAAGATAAAAGTGATTGTAAAAGGGTAATTGTATTTGAAGTAAGCAAATTCGGCCAAATATGCATTAAAACAACATAAAGTTTCTAGTGTACACTGTCACCAGATTGTGTAATCTATAATTAAAAATACGTATCACTTACTTTTGCCTATGAGTATACTTTAGTTAACCAGCTTGCAAGGGTACTGCAACATTAAAACTGGAATAATGTTAGAGTGATAAAGGGCATCCTTGTTTTCATAGAGTGTAGAGGTGAAGTGGAAGTTAGAACCAGTAGGAGACAAAACACCTCCACCTCCACCCACGGCAGGAACTCCATCAACCAACGCTACACCAAAGCCTGACCCTAACCAGAAAACAGAGGTCAAAGAGGAGACAACTCCAGCTACACAAAACACCATCACTGGAGGGGGTAAAGGGGAGGAGAGTATTCCTGTTCCACATGTGACGGACGTGTCCTTGCCGAGTGGGAAGGGTGCAGTGAAGATTGCCTGGTCAGAGGAAGAGGAGGTGAAGGAAGCGACACGGATAGCGTCTGGGTTCGTGGCGGCCATCATGGCTAGTGCTGTGGCTGAGTTCATCTCGTCGGAGTGTGAGAGCAGCCAGATGTACAAGGAGGTTGTGTCAGCAGCTCAGGTGAGTCAGATGATGGACTGACCGACTGCCAGGGTCCGTTCGACAAAGCTGCCGTAGCACTTAGGTGATCGTAGGTCCCACACTTTAACATAAATTTAGCATTGTCGTTGTGATACTAATGTCAACAAACAGTACCTCTGCTGGATCGTTAAGCTCCCTATGCCACAAAATCCCACATAGAACACCCTAATATACCCTGTACTGTCCTATCCAGGTGGCTGCAGCCAGGGTGACGGCCGAGGCAGCACGGGCAGCACAGACAGGAGACATCGACGGCGCTGCCAAGGCTGTGTTGCAGGCTGTGAAGGCCGTGGAGATAGCTATGGGCAAGTCTGGCACCTCAAGTGGACAGGGCCCTATCAGAAGCAGACTCTGTGTAATACTCTGAAGAACATGTGACCCTCTTGTCTTTATACTGGTAACTGACATGTCAGGACTGAAAAATGTGCAAGCCAAAGGGATGTGATGCGGAATATATTATTCATCTTTTCTAGTATTTATATGGATTTTAAAAATAACTTCTCAGACAGCTTATTGAGCAACAGACAGTGTGTTCAACTCATCTGATTGGCTTGGAGCCTATCTGTTGACAGGTATCAACCAAAATATATATCCTGAAGAAACACGTCACAACTGGTTAAAGAAACATTAAATGGAGATGTGCTTCAAAGTGGAAATAACAGTGTGAAAAGTGTGATACATACATTTCTAGAAAACAACCTTGGTGGATGCCCCTTGTAAACAAATTTGGTGGATTCAGAATAGTACTGTGAAGAGAGCGTCATGTCATGAGTACAACCTTACTCCACTACGTACTAGCTAATACTGGATTCTGCTGCCATACTCAGTATCCTACCAGTGCCAAGGTGATGCTCATCTCTGCTTATGTATCACTGACTATCCTACCAGTGCTTGCATATCCTCAACTATTTCCTCCATGTATCATGAGTGGAGATGGCCAAAACATGGCTATCCATGCTCCTCCTCTTATAGGCCATGGAGTGGAACAGTCACCCACTCAAACTAAGAGTTTCGTCAACTTTCCAGGGCCCTGTTAGAATTGGTCTTCAGCAACCAATGTTTGTCATGAAAGGCGACTAACGGGATCGGGTGGTCAGGCTTGCTGACTTGGTTGACACATGTCATCGTATCCCAATTGCGTAGATGCTCATGCTGTTGATCACTGGATTGTCTGGCCCTGGCTCAGTTATTTACAGACCACCGCCATATAGCTGGAATATTGCTGAGTGTAGCGTTAAGACAATTGCAAAGCTACAAGTGCTTTGTGATCTGATCGTGAAAAAACACATTTACAGGCTTAGCTTCATTGACTGAACTGGAACCTTTCTTGTGCACTTCAAGCACACACCGTGTGCGGAGTTACACGCTCTGTGAGTGGACTATTGTTATTATTATAATAAACACAACTATAAAAATGGTTTAAGTATTTTATTTCATTATTTGTAAATTTATGTAAAATATAGTGTAAGGCCATGAGGTTACAAACATGATATATTATGTCAACAGAATGTACAGAGACAACAAGTTGTAATATTTACTAAACAGTCTTCTAGGAATAACTGTAAAACAAATCTTAAAATAACACAGGAACAACTCAGTTGAAATAAACCTGGATCAACACACCTTAAAACGACTGGAATTGCTGCTAAATTGTTTATCATGTTGTTTGAGAGCCAGAAACCTCAGCTATATTAAACAAAACAAATTAGGGTCAGTGATATTCCTGGAGACATTTTTGGCAGTGTAGACTGACCACACAATTTCAATATTCCTCTCTATATTCATGACCCTTAATATATTTTGAGCAGCATGTGTTTCACAATCGGTGTAGGAAGTTTATTCCTTTAGGTGAATCAAATCAAGATATCACTCCCTAACACACAGTCCCGAAGTCACAGAGTCTTCTGACAGTCAATAGAATATGTCACATCACCAAGTTATGCTGAACATAAAATACTTCAAATCTGATTACATCATCATAAACAGCACCTTTCTCTTAGCATACAAAGAATTTGTATGTGACCCATGAATACAAGAGTGAAGAGTAATGATAATAATAATAATAATGATTCATTATCTGGTGGACATCCAGCTGCTTTATCAATACTACTATAATATTTGTGCAAATCAATTGATTTGGTCTCAAGCGCAAAGTTTATGATGATTGAGAGCATCCATTACAGTCATAATACATGCATTGATACATCTGTTTGAAAAAAGGTGTAGTTTGGGCAATTCACATTTTTTAACAACATATTCAGTTGAAATAATCTACTCAAAACAAGTTAAGGAAGTTTTTTTTTCATATTACTACTTGCTAATCTACCATGCCATGATCCTTTAACTAGAGTAATATGTAAAATAGGGTCTTAATTATTCAGACTAGCAGACTAGTATATATCACAAAAAGACTTAAAATGAATCAGTCATAGTTTTATATGTGCTTCATATTAGTAGCTGATTAACTTCCAAAAAATGAGCCCCCCTGCTTCCCCTTAACCAAAATATATGGTATTAAATGTCTATCTATAGCATAACAAGAACATCTTTATGGTGCAAGAACATAGCCACGAGATACTAAAGCATTACATAACATGAATAGCAGACAAAAGGATGTTTAAAAAACAAAGCCATTGTGAGGTATCCCTGATTTTATAAATAAGACTGATTACCACACTCGTCTTCTCCATTATCAAGGAAAGCAGCTCAGTTTCATGCAGCTGAAATCAAAATTATCTACCGGCGACAGATCCTGTTTAAATTACATTTTCTTTTAGTCAGAGTGGATGACAAACATTAATTGCGTTGTCATGGAGAATGAGTGACGTTTTACACAAGGCAGTGTATCAAACTGGCCCTAGTATGTGCCACACACACTTTTACAACTGCATTTCAGCTCATCGCATCATTTTAACATTAAGCTATGTTCACAAGGTGGCTCTGTTATTCCCTTCAACATCTGACTAGTGTGGTCATCAAACCTCTGAACCTATGGACGTAGTTGTGTGGAGAATGAAAACATGTACATAATGGAGTCCATCTATGGAATCACTCTTGCATTTCCTTCATCAGATCGTGATAATTGTTATTTAACCAAACCAGATAACTCAATCATAGATCCTCATAATCAACTGAATGACAAAGTTCAGATCCAAGCAAGTATTAAGTGTAGATACACTGCACAATGACTTAGTGTACAATCATCTGTAGGCATATAAAGATAGTAATGGGAAGCTGGTAAATACATATATTGAGTGGTGATAATGGCAGATGTCACTGACAATCAATGAGGCATTGAACTGTCTGCAGCTGGAATGGTCACGATAGTTCAGTCAACTCTCGCTGATATAGTATCAAGGTAAAAGGCTATAGAATAATCAACTCTCATTGCAGTTACACGCTAAAAGGCATTAGTAAAGTCAACATTCATTCAAGTATATGTGAAGCTCAAAGGCAATAATACAGTCAACTTTCAATACAGTATCAAGCTCAAAGGCAAAAGTACGATCAACTTTCATTGCAGTATCAAGCTCAAAGGCAAAAGTACGATCAACTTTCATTGCAGTATCAAGCTCAAAGGCAAAAGTATGATCAACTTTCATTGCAGTATCAAGCTCAAAGGCAATAGTACGATCAACTTTCATTGCAGTATCAAGCTCAAAGGCAATAGTACGATAAAAATTCAATACAGTATCAAGCTCCAAGGCAATAGTACGATCAACTTTCATTGCAGTATCAAGCTCCAAGGCAATAGTACAATCAAGTTTCATTGCAGTATCAAGCTCAAAGGCAATAGTACAACACTACACACAGTGTTCATTTACAACTGAGCAGCACTACAAAAGGTTCACCTACACCTGGGCAGTATTACCGTGTTCACCACCACTACACACAGTGTTCCCTACACTAGCGCAACACTACACATATTGACACTATAGAGTTCACAACCTAGGTGCTGACACACACACATTCAATCAGCAAAACAGTTTCCACTGTAAATAGGAACCATGTCTGGCAAGACAAAAGTGTTTTAATTGCATAAATCAATAATATCGACTCTAATAATCTCACAATCATACGAACAAAAAGATTCATCTAGACATGGAGTTGGTTATATTATTCATTCATCTACAAATTATAACTCACACTATCAGAGCATCAAATGAATGTGTGTTTGCTTTCAAAGGCCTTAACAAAGTGATGTAGTCCAAATTACCAAACCTTCCTAATTCAAGGTCATGACTACTGGTAATGATTTTTCAGGGTCAAAAGTCTGTGACTGAGTCGGGTAAAACATTGTTTTGTACAGTATCCAAATTATATCAAAACGTGTCAGCATAATGTGGGAATGTGCCCAAGGTGACGCAGGTCTCAGACATTTATCTCTCTAGTGAGTGAGTGAGTGAGTGAGTATGGTATTTACGCTGCTTTTAGCAATATTGCAGCAATATCATGGCGGGGGACACCAGGAATGGACTTCAAACAAAGTGCCCATGTGGGGAATCGAACCCGGGTCAATTTGGCATGATGAGCGAATGCCTTAACCACTAGGCTACCCCACCTCCCGATCTCTCTAGTGAAACCCTGGAGCGCAGGTATGGTGCAGATAAGCCAAGAAACATAACCAACCGGAGTTTCAACAAAGGATCACAGACTTCTGGCGGGCCCAAGGGACATAACTCTCCAATATGAACTGTCAGTCCTCAGATGACTGAGCCAATCGCTCCCCGTGCGAACATGTCATGAATATATCAACCAAATGAAATCTTGTTTCCAGCAAAGGTGGCCCATCGTAGAGTTTTGTTAAATCTTAATCAGAGCCACATTATACCAACTTAAATAAATGTCACTAAGAATTGTGCTTCTCCAACACCATCACTCAACAGAAGGTCAGTACATACCCCCTGAAACGTTAATGCAAAAATACACAAGTTGTCATCAAGTTGTATCCTATATACTAAATCTAAAGATACTTATCTTGCATCACTTGCATGAATGTCACTAAGCATAGATCCAATACTCTCATTAAAACGTTCACCATCCTGACCTCTATAACTCCACTTAAAAAGCTTAGAAAGCAGGGCAAAATATAAGACATTGGTGCGACTGACATGTTTAATAATCGATAAAATATCATTGTCTACATTAGCATTAGATCCTGCAGAACCTGCCCAATCTGAGGGCATCAAGAACAAACTGGTTACGATTTAGTGAAATAAAGTTAAAGAAAAGCTTCCATTACTACCTTAAACCTGTATGACATTTAAATAATAGCAAAAAGACGGAAAAGCAGGTGATGGCAGTTAGCATTTCTTCAACCAAACACAAAACAGTTCACTTTAAAAATACACTGCATAGAAATTGTATGTAGTCCACAGAATTTATAATACAGGAATCATCTTGTACAAGGTGACCAATATGGAGACTGCAAGAACAAAACACTAATACCCATGTCGTGTGTGCCATACAGTTGGGAAGGTCAAGGCCATTTGACACTAACCTGACCTGATCAGTATATGAGAAGAAACGCTAACTCACAAAATTAGTTCACTAACTCTGTCCATACAAAGGAGGCTTTCTATAGTCAACTGTTATCTACACTAAAATGGTCGATCACTTGGCAAGATTTTCAAAGCACCCTTCATAATAGGACTGCACAGTATTATCGCAATACTAATCTTTCAAAATGATACTTATTTCCGAGAGAATGACAAGCAGTTTTGTGATTATCTCTATGATTTAGTCAAAATCTACTCGACTTTCATACACAACTGACATTTCCTTTTGTAGTTAATGAACATACGTACTTAATGTATATACGGCATACTTTACATACTGTATATTACCGTCTATAAGCTGACCCCATAGATAAGCCGACCCCCAAACTTGACTCTTAATTGTATAAAAAAAACAAAAAAAGATTCCCTAACAATCCAACCGAGTTTTGAGACTGCCCATTGTCAGAGGTATGACATGTATTTCCAGGCCTTGGTACTGGTATGTAGGAAACAGGATCTGTATGTACAAACAGTGTCACTCACTGTCAAACACTTTAGCTCCCAATATATCAACACAGGTACCTGAACCAATATATTGCAATACAGTTGATTTGCCAATACAAAGCCCTACATCGTATATCCAAACATTTTTCTGGTAAAAACAGGGAAATTTCTAATCACATGATCTGTCAAAAAAGTTAAAATATGAACATAACTAATCAAGTTTAAGAAACACATGGACTGATATACACTCAGCTCTCGTTAGATTGGTATGTCGGAGTCGGAATGCGAGAATGTCGGATTAACGAGAGTCATTATCACTGTTTTAAATGGTTCCCTAATTTTTTGTTGGATTAACGTGATTGTCGGATTAATGAGTGTCAGATTAACGAGAGCTGACTGTACCATTTAAAACTAAATAACCATTCATGAAGTGTGTCATCAACAAAAGAAACACTAAGGTGACTTTTCAAGCAAAATGTTCTAAGTCAAACACAGCACTTCTAGAAATAATCACAACACACAGGACAAAGTAAGGCCATTTTGTTTCAGGTGCCCCAAAATCCCATTAAGAAACGTCTCCATCTCACACTAGTTTGGGTCATTTCCAGACTCATCATTTGTCAATACATCTACAATGAACTGGAACACATATGCAACACAGTGTTTCCGCTGACTAAATTATTTATCGGGCACTGTGTCTGGCAACCTAAAATTTTACCGGTCATGATTGAAATTTGCCGGTCATATCCTATTATCATACTGTAAAAGTACTCATTTTAAAGTTATTTTTAGCCTTGGTATTCCCAAACATAACAACTTTTGCGACCTTGAAAGCACAGCCAAGACTGATTTCACTTACCCATGATGTTTTATTTTAATACATGATTATTTACCGGACACGGTGTCCGGCTGGCTTTCAATTTACCGGTCCTCAACAAATTTTACCGGCGATTTTCAGGTATATACCGGAGAACGGAAACACTGCAACAAAATATGGCTTCCAGTATTCATACAGAACTTTGAATGTTGTCTCAGTCCAGAACACATTTGACAGGATTCCAGAAAATATAACAATCCCCCTGATCACTACCTGATATTTAAGACAAAAGGTTTTCTGTCTGACGAAACTACTACAGTGGCAGCTTCGAACAGATTAACAAAGTGAAACCATTTCAAAGATTTCACAGCCAACTGTTTAGTCCATGGCGTAACTCAACTGACAATTTCTGTGTACATTTTCGTGGTATGGAAGACAACACTGTAATAACCAACAGCAATGGCGCGAGCACAGATCATGAATAATCTGAAACTCATCAGGAAGAATTAATAATTAACTAAGATTCTTGACATCAACTGCCAAGACTTGTTGAAAATCATCTGTGATTGTGATGAAATAAACTGTAAGTGTAAGCTACACACAGATAACATGGACCTAATACTGTACACATTGCAACAAAAGCCTTACTACTTCATGGATCAGTTATTTATGAACTATCTTCCACCACCAGTATTTATTTACAAGTGTTATTCATGCACTTTTAAAATTATTCTGATTCATTTTCAGGATTACAAAAATAATAAGTCAATACATCACAGTGAGTGAGTGAGTGAGTTTGGTTTTACGCCGCTTTCGGCAATATTCCAGCAATATCACGGCGGGGGACACCAGAAATGGGCTTCACACATTGTGCCCATGTGGGCAATTGAACCCGGGTCTTCAGCGTGACGAGCGAACGCCTGTCACATAATAATTTTCAAAGAGAAATGTAGATAAATAAATAGGCCAATACATCATAGTATATGGTAATACACTTAATTAGAATTCGGTATGATGACTACCAAGATACTAAAATAGTTGAATTCACTGTCTGGGACAAGACATTTGCTGGGGAGTATCATTCACAGTGAATATTGAATCCTTAAGAATGAGTTATGTCCCCTTTTTTGTTGCCTTCTTAACGTCAGTTGTCTAGACACATGGGTTCCAAGATAGTCAGGTCCAAACAAAACAGATTTTCAAACCTCATCCTTCACAATCCAGGGACTAATCCCTCCAATCTTAATGAATATCCTTGGACAATTTTCGACCATAGCTTTGTGCTGAGCCTGGAAAATTTGGTGAAAATAACAACGAACCACTCAAATTACACTAGGGATGCCTTGTCGTTTTAGACTTACTTCCCTGTCAATACTCATGAGTAAAACCAAAAATTCATTCTTAACATTTTCTTGATTCAGCTGAATATATCAAAGGCTCACATGTACTAGGCCATAACTTTAAATATAGATAGGAAAGAAAGGGATGGTTACGTCACTTTGTTAACCAAAGTGTGGTTGCAAATGTACATGGTACATACCACTATAGAACCATTACTCACTTGGTATTCAGGGATGGTTCGACATTCATTGTATGTGTAAATGATATGCAGTATAAGATATGCAGGTAATACTAGCTTTATAAGCGATGGGGTTAACATCCATCATGGAATGTATGGAATGGAAATGGTCGGAACACAACGGCAGGTGAGGAAATCACAGCTGCTTCAGAAGCAACCCTCAATGAAGGAGTCATTACACCTTCACCCCTAGTTTTCTAACAAGTAACACTAAAGGCAGTTTGTGACTAACAGTCTTACGGAATAAGTAGGTTTACAGTTTCATAAGCAAATGTTCTTATGGTAATCGTGGCTCCTGAAGACAATGGTTCCTTGTTTTGAAGTGAGACAAGTGAGATACAAATCTCAGCCATGTTATAATTTTCTGCAGTAACTCGGAACCAGACATGAATACATGTACATACCATGCATGTCAGGAGATGTTTTTAATACATTTGGGAGCAGACCTTATTCCTGATTGTTGCCACCAGGGATAACAGCACAAGGATAACACAATTGGCATTCAAGAAAGTAACATCTGGAATGGTTCTCTGTGCTTGGCTCCTTCATTTCCTGACCTACAGATCTATATCGTACTGATCTAACCTTAAACACCGTGTAAGTGACTTCCGAACTGATGCAAAGACTGCAGCAATGTTGTCTTCATGACAAAGCTAGAGGTAAGAAATCTGATGTTTATATTGCTCATTAATTTTCAGAAAATGACTTAAGCTACAATGAATGAATCCTTACATGTTTCCTTTCAGTAAGTTGTGCGACAAACTTGAAAATGTCTTTTTGGAACAATATATGGCTTCAAAAAGAAGACAGTTAATGTTTCAAATTGTTCTCACAAGTTAGTAGAATTTGGTATAGTAGTTAATATTCTTTTAAATATCATTGTCATTAAGATACATCTTAAAGGTGTCAGAAAGACAAATCTTGAAGTATTATCATCAATGATAATAATTCTTAAAATACTACCTCTATCAATTGATAGCCATATTTTCTGAAACTTGTCTCTGATCCACAGGTTTGACCCGAATAAAATGTTTAAACATCTATTATTTTTTTAATTTCCTGGGTTTATATATTCTGGAGTTTCTGGAAGTGATTAATCATATTTACCATATAATCAATTCATTGCGGCCTAGTTACCAAGAGACAAGATCAGCCGGAGTGCTGCCTATTATTCGTTGAATAAAATACAGGATGAACCAGTATTTCCAAGTAACATAGTATTACAGGGGATTCTTCATCTTTCATTAACGATATTGACTTCACTCTACCTTGAACACACTATAAGCCTTCAACACCATAGTTCTCAGAAACATTCCTGTCCAGTATAGAAATATATTTGGTAACATGTCAACCAGAATACAATGTATATTACTGGTTGTTCGGTGGCTGCAAGGCTCCATTACACTTGAGGATTCTTTGAGAGGAGGTCAGTGGCTCCCTTGTCACCTTTTGTTCACTACTTCGTTGTAGCAGGTATCACAGACTCTCACAGGCTTCTTGGAGGCAGCCACAGTGGCTGACTTCAGGGAGCAGTCATTGCAGTAGATGTTGCCACAGTTCCTGCAGTGATGCTGGAAGGGGGAAATCATTGTGGAGAACGGTGCTTTTGGAGAAAATACAATTACGGAGTTCATACCAGAGCATGCATTTATTAAGGAATGAGTGTGCATGAATTTTTTGTTTATATTTTCAGAAATGTGTAAGTATGTGAAACTTCATTGCACAAATTGGTGACCTTATTTATTACATTTTGTACATGGATCATATACTTATTGTTAACCCGTGAAGGTCCGGGTTAGAATGAACCTTCAGTAACCCATGCTTGTCATAAGAGGCGACTAATGGGATCGGGAGGTCAGGTTTGCTGGCTTGGTTGACACATGTCATTGGTTCCCAATTGCACAGATCGATGCGCATGCTGTTGATCAGTGGATTGTCTGGTCCAGACTTGATTATTTAATAGCTCGAATATTGCTGAGTGCGCGCATAAAACTAAAACTCACGCCACTCACTCAAGACCGCCGCCATATAGTAACGTAGACGCAATTTATGGATAACAACTTATACAATATAAAATTTTAGCGACATTTCAGTATAGACCCATGTACCACTGTCTCACACGTGAGCAATGTGATGTGGATATTGAGACTGTAAAGTGGCCTTATGTCATAACCAGATCATACTTGCTTCTACATACACTGTAGTTTGACACCTACAGGAATGTAATAGTGGAAGTGTTGTAGCCAGCAACATACCTTCCTCACAGTCATGGAGAAGGCCTTGGAACACCCCATGCACTCCGTCACCAGGCTGTCATCTGCCCACTTCCTGTTCTGGACCTTTGTGCTCACAATCTGAAATACAGAAAGAATCATTACAGAAAGGCTACATGGAGATAGACTGCATCATCATTTGGGTTGGGTTGGGTTTGGTGGTTGGCTAGTTGGTTGGTTAGCTGGGCTGCCTGCTTGGTTATGACTGGTTGGCTGAATAGGCTACCAGTAGGCTACCCACCTTTTCAACCACTAGGCAACCCACCCCTTAAACCACTAGGGTACCCACCCCGTTAACCACTAGGCTACCCACCCCTTTAACCACTAGGCTACCCACCCCTTTAACAAGTAGGGTACCCACCCCTTTAACCACTAGGCTACCCACCCCTTTAACCACTAGGCTACCCACCCCTTTAACCACTAGGCTACCCACCACTTCAACAAGTAGGGTACCAACCCCTTTAGCCACTAGGCTACCCACCCCTTCAACAAGTAGGGTACCAACCCCTTTAACCACTAGGCTACCCACCCCTTCAATAAGTAGGGTACCCACCCCTTCAACAAGTTGGGTACCCACCCCCTTTAACCACTATAGTCTACCCACTCCTTCGATAAGTAAGGTACCCACCCCTTCAACAAGTAGGGTACCCACCCCTTCAACAAGTAGGGTACCCACCCCCTTTAACCACTATAGTCTACCCACTCCTTCAATAAGTAGGGTACCCACCCCTTCAACAAGTTGGGTACCCACCCCCTTTAACCACTATAGTCTACCCACTCCTTCAATAAGTAGGGTACCCACCCCTTCAACAAGTAGGGTACCCATCCCCTTTAACCACTATAGTCTACCCACCCCTTCGATAAGTAAGGTACCCACCCCTTCAACAAGTAGGGTACCCACCCTTTCAACCACTAGTGACTCCATCCCTTAACCACACAACTCCAAGCAAGTTCTGACAGCACAGTGATATAGTGTACCTGTAGAGACTGGTTCTCTCGGCCCAGTTCATGCAGGGCTGCCTGTGTATCATCTAACTTTCGTCGTGTTTCCGTCACTTTCTCCCTCAACTTCTCACATTCCTTCTCGCTAGTCAAGCACCTGCAAATATGGAGCATCATCACATTCAATATGTACTCATTAAAATTAGAAATTACAATATCAGATATATTTGAACCTATTTGATATATTATGGGATGAGTGAGTGGGTGAGTGGGTGAGTTGTATTAAATGGCACTTTGAACAGTAATCCAGTTTAACCCTTGGCATGTCAGCTCACATCAAGAGCACAGCCTGAAGTGATGTATAGCTCAAACATTTACCACTTTTGCAAAATCAATGACAAACCTAGAAATATTATCAGGATGATTGAATTATTGGTTACTGATCTGCGTCCACCAATGCCCCAACTGTTGAGGGAAGACTACAGAGTGACACTGATGAGGAACAAAATGTATATCTAACTTGGACATGAGTGTTTGACAAGTGAGATGGACTTTAACAACCACCAAGCCACATGCCTATTCAGCCACTGTTCTACCCACTGCTTTCAAAACTAGACTATCCACTCTTATAACCACCAGACTTCCCACCTGTATTTACCCTCTCCTTTAACCACTAGACTATCCACATGTATATAACCACAGTACTATCCACTCTTATAACAACCAGACTTCCCACCTGTATCTACCCTCTCCTTTAACCACTAGACTATCCACATGTATATAACCACAGAACTATCCACTCTTATAACCACCAGACTTCCCACCTGTATCTATCCCCTCCTGTAACCACTAGACTATCCACATGTATATAACCACAGTACTATCCACTCTTATAACCACCAGACTTCCCACCTGTATCTATCCTCTCCTGTAACCACTAGACCATCCACCTGTATATAACCACAGTACTATCCACTCATTTAACCACTAGACTATCCACCTGTATCTATCCACTCCTGTAACCACTAGACTTACCTGCATATAACCACAGTACTATCCACTATTATAACCACCAGACTTCCCACCTGTATCTATCCCCTCCTGTAACCACTAGACTATCCACATGTATATAACCACAGTACTATCCACTATTATAACCACCAGACTTCCCACCTGTATCTATCCCTCCTCCTGTAACCACTAGACTATCCACATGTATATAACCACAGTACTATCCACTATTATAACCACCAGACTTCCCACCTGTATCTATCCTCTCCTGTAACCACTAGACTATCCACCTGTATATAACCACAGTACTATCCACTCATTTAACCACTAGACTATCCACCTGTATCTATCCTCTCCTGTAACCACTAGACTATCCATCTGCATACAACCACAGTACTATCCACTCATTTAACCACTAGACTATCCACCTGTATTTAACTACAGTACTATCCTCTTGTTTAAATACTAAACTATCCAGTCCTTTAAACACTAGACTGTCCACTTTACAATTAGTTTTCACAATACTTCAGTGCTATAGGTCAGAAAAGTCTGGTGTTCACCTCCCTTGATATGATACCATCCGGGATATAATACCATATATTGTACATGATGAAAGGTGGCATTATAACCAGGTAGGGCTGTACGCAGATTTGTCTGACACCATACACCAGGTAATGCATCCAGTTTGTCAGACTGACCTCTCAACCAGCATCCTTCTTTCCTCGTTATTGTTTTCCAGTTTCGCCTCCAGTTCTGCAACAGAAAGGTAATGTGACAGGAGTCTGTCAGTCCTGACATGGTGGCTGAGTGGGTCAGACGGCTGACTTTGTTTTAGACAAGAGTCATCAGAAGATGACAAATCCTCGCCGCCCCCCAAAATTTGAAAGAACAAATCAACTGACAGTTACAGTTAAGTTTTGCTGAAAGATATTAAGAAGTTTTTGAGTTGAGCTCCGGAAACGAAGCCCACCTATCCCTTTTGAGACTAAGTCCGAATCGTTTCCATGGAAACCGGGGAAAATAAAAATGACAACAAGAAGACAAAGTCATCAATATCCCCCGCAATGGCAAAATACTCTTCATGATTATGTCTACGAGTTATGATTATGTCAAATATTTAGGAGATTATATAGAAAAGTGGAAAGAGAGTATTGAAAGGTTTTTAGAGTTCTGCTCAGGAAAAGAGCACTACCACCAATTTCAGTCTAAGTCGAACTTGTTGCCATGGAAACGCCAAAAATATTTTATTCAGAATTCCAAAACTACCAAAAGGCACCAGTACACCACCAGATCTATCTATGTGCCAAATTTGGTGAAGAAATATTTAACAGTTTTATAGTTCTGCTCCGGAAAAGACAAATGTGCACGGACGGACGGACGCACGGACAGAGTCCATTTTAATACCCCTATTTTAATACCCCTAAACATCTGTAAATAGCAAAAGGCACTACTTCAAGATCTGTCTCATATATCTACCAAGTCTTGAAGAAAGATAGTGATCGGTTTTCGAGGTGTACTCAAGAAACGAAGTCCACCCCTCCCTTTTGAGACCAAGTCCAAAACGTTTCCATGGAAACCAAGAAAAAAATAAATGTCAAAAATCTGCAAATAGCAAAAGGCACCACTTTAGGTTCTGTTTAATGTATCTACCAAGTTTTGATGAAAAATATTTAACAGTTTTTGAGTTATGCTCCAGAAACAAACTGATTACGGACAGACGGACGGACAGACAGATGGACGGCATTACATGCCTGGGGGGGGATAATAAATATCCATCATTGTGAAGCCACAAGAAATAACGAAAATGAAAGTTTACAGCATTTTATTTAAGCATGCATTCCCGGTCCATAAACATTACAAGCAAGTGATACAACAATAGTGGCCAACATCAACTTGATTTCTAATGCAGGCGATTAAGTGCCTGACTCCCGGATGGGACTCAACCAAACAAAAGTACTAGATTCTGTTCTTTACTGAGAAAGTGTAATCCCAAATACGACATGTTATATTCTAATGATTGCACATACATTCCTAGACTATCTGATTGCACATACATTCCTAGACTACCTCATTAAACCAGTATAAGTTATTGTAAGGATCACACATACCTAGCTTCTCCCCCCTCAGCTCATCGTTGATTCTGGTGAAGTCCTCCACCTTCTGCTGGTTGACTGTCAGATCGGACCGAACAGTGGTCAAGTTCTCATTGAGGACGGAGAGTTGCATCTCATACCGAGCCTCGTCCTCATCCTTCTGCTTCTGCAAAGTCTCTCGTCCTTGTTGTTCAGAAGCCTGAAAAAGATTTTATTAGTAGGGCTGTAGATACTCATTTAATATAAAAACATTCATTGATTTGTTTAGTTTGACAATGAAAGTACATATCATTGACATGATTCGTTAACAAACACTGAAAGCACTTTTATTTTCGTTTCAATAGTAAGTGAGCGACTTACTTTTACGCGGCTTCTCGCAATATTCCAGCAATATCATGGCAGGGAGACACCAGAAATGGGCTTCACACATTGTACTCATGTGGGGAATCGAACCTGGGTCTTTTCGGCATGACGAGCGAACGCTTTAACCACTAGGCTACCTCACCACCCCTTCAGCTTGAATAAACTTTAATATCAAATTAGCAGTTTACATGACTAAAAAGCACCATTCCTGTCTTCTGTCTGCACATATTTACTGGCTGTCAGCTGAAATCAGTCATCACAGTGTGTGCCACCTACCAGTTTTGTCTGTAGACTTGAATTTTCCTCTCTCAGCATTTGTTGAATATTGGTAGATTCAGACTTCACACTCTCTGTTTCATTCTTTGTCTGAGGACAAAAGAGAAACATTTAACACAGCTTCAATGACTCTCTTAAATGAGACTTTCTACCTGATCCATTCAGGACAAAATCATCCATAGCACAGATCTACACAAGTAGTTGCTGTGAGCCAGTACATCATCTTCCTTACCACCCACCTGAGTGAGCAGCTCCTCAAAGGAATCCAGTTTGTTCTGAATCTCAAGCTTCTGGGTGATGAGGATCTGCTTGGCTTCCTCCAGACTCGACACTTCCTGTAACGGTGCAGTATGGGTAATTGTAGTTTCAAAATCCTTTGTTCAGTTCCAATCAAGTCTATACTCAATTCAAATTCAATTCAACTTCAAAGTCACATGTCATGCACTTCTTCAACAAAAAATGCCAATACTTCAATACAGTTGACTTGACTTTTATTCTTCATCAGTCCTTGAATGATTGACATTAATATATATGATGATGCAGGTCCTCATATCCTTAAACATATAGAGCCAACACTCCAAATCCAAGTACACAACTAACACCATTACATGGAGTCCCTCTGACCATGTGCTCACATCTCTAGTCCTGTGTCAACTCATAGAATTACTTCCCTTGGCCCCTGGCTGGAGCTAACTGTCCCAAAATGTAGACCAATTTAGTTTCGCACAAAAAAGTTTTTCATAAAAATAAGTCCAACTCATAATTTTGGCCATAACAGTAATAAGAATAGTCCTATCACAATATCTTAAACTTAAGGCCCCAAGAAAATTGGCCATAACATATGCATGTTTGTGACAAAGCACTACAGTAGTACTGTCTACCTAACTACATCCTACAGACAAGTAAAGTATCACCAGCTATTTACCTAACTACATCCTACAGACAAGTAAAGTATCACCAGCTATTTACCTAACTACACCCTACAGACAAGTAAAGTATCACCAGCTATTTACCTAACTACACCCTACAGACAAGTAAAGTATCACCAGCTATATACCTAACTACACCCTACAGACAAGTAAAGTATCACCAGCTATTTACCTAACTACACCCTACAGACAAGTAAAGTATCACCAGCTATTTACCTAACTACACCCTACAGACAAGTAAAGTATCACCAGCTATTTACCTAACTACACCCTACAGACAAGTAAAGTATCACCAGCTATATACCTAACTACACCCTACAGACAAGTAAAGTATCACCAGCTATTTACCTAACTACACCCTACAGACACCAGCTATTTACCTAACTACACCCTACAGACAAGTAAAGTATCACCAGCTATTTACCTAACTACACCCTACAGACAAGTAAAGTATCACCAGCTATTTACCTAACTACACCCTACAGACAAGTAAAGTATCACCAGCTATTTACCTAACTACACCCTACAATCACCTGTGTTCGCTGTTCCTGTTCTGTTTCTAACTGCTCCTTCATGGACTCTCGGTCCTTCTTGTATGACACACAGGCTGCCTTCGTCTCGTCAAACACCTTCTTCAGGGCAGACAACTCTTCCTCAAGGGAGTCCTGGAGATAATGATTATATTTGTTGTTGAATCACATTCACTCCAATGTGTAGATCAGGTTTACATACATATACATAATAATTACATATATATGCCCCCAAATTTGAAAAAAATGGTATGGAACATAAATTAGAACTGCCTGATAAAACGACCAATTGCCTTGGAAGCACTGGCAAGTTATCTATATCACCATGAACACCATAGCACACCTATGCTTCCTGCATTTCAAAGAAGAGTTTCCCATACAGACTGGGTCCTGTTTGGTTTGGTGTTGCAACACCTTTACAGTATTTTTTATCTTTTTTCATATCTGTATTTTCTGCCATGTTGTATACAGGTTAATATAACACATTCCTGAAATAGTCTTCAGGTATCAACTTCAACATTTACTATCACAAATTACTGCTCTAATGACTTCAGAATTACACATGTTAAGAATTATACAAGTGCCGGTTCCCAACTAACCTTCTGCGTCTGCAACTCATCCCTGACTGTTGTTGTCTCCTTCAGCTCCGTGTCCAGCTTCAACATTTGACCATTCATGGCCGTCCGCACCTGGGGAGGGAACATGCACAATATCAAGCATCAATTCTCATATGCCTATTGCAATACAGAAGTTGTCAATCCATAAAAAATGTTCCTCTTAATCATACCAGCTTCTAAAAGGAGAGATAACAAAAGCACAATTCGGTAGTTATGATTCCACAGAACATGAAGACACCAATCTCCACCAGCTGGTTAGTTTGCCACCTACCTCACTGAGTTCCTCAAAGGAGTTATTCAGCTCCTTCTCCCGGTCCCTGGCCTTGGCTATCTCCTCCTGCAGTTGCTGCTGCTTCTGCTCCCCCTCCTTCAGCGACGTCCGCAACTCCTCCACACTCTTCTCCAGGGCCTCAGACTTGCCGGTCAGGGTCTGAAGGCAGAGAGTTTTCATTGTCTGTCATTGGTGTTCATAGTCTCTCAAAGGTATTCTTTGCCATTTGTAGTCTCACAGGCATTCGTAGTGTCTCATAGTTCGCACTGGCATTAATAATCTCAAACAGAGTGTCAGTGGCATTGATAATCTGTATTATTCTGTCAAAGACATTAATAAGGCCACTTATACGCAACACAGGTATGCTTTAAGCCCATACAACATATGGGCATTATTACCCCAGATAACTCCAACTGTGAGGTGCAAGGTGGTTAATAGCTATATGACTTATCCCACCGGGTACCCATTTTCTGCTCGGTGAACAGAGACAATTTGGAATTGATCTGTGAAGACAATTTGGAACAAACTCACTTGCCTAAGGTGTGACCACGTGCTATGAGTGCTTCATTGTGGGGCAGGACAGAAGTCCTAGAAACTCTCAGGAGTCAAGCTGCCAACCAGGGTCACGCATCAAAGGACTCTGTGCCCAACGTTGCTTAACTTCACCTGATTTGTGAACTGGGCTCATTGCACAAGATCCCACACCACAACCACATTCATAGTTTCTCGTAGGGTGTTCATGTAGTCTTTCATGTCATCATCTTATTTTATTTATACTGGTGAACAAATTTACACCAGATGCCTCATGTTTCTGAACAGGCAGAAAATTATCAGAGAGGTGAGGTGAGGTGAAATTGGATTTAACGTCGTGCTTGAGAATATTTCGCTCATATGACGACATGCATGCATGTGTGTGTGTTTGTGCGGCTGCTTGTACTAGCCCAGACTTAAGCTGGTTTTATAGTGCTAGCCCACTGAGATACCATACCGCAGTGAAGCATGGATACCCCACTCAGACACATTATACTGACTCTGAGCCGACCAGTCCTTGTTGTACCCATTAATGCCGAGCGTCAGGCAGGGACCAACAAGTACCATATTTTAACGTCTTTTTGGTATGATGCGGTTTGGGATCGAACCCGCAACCTTCCGCTCTCCGGGCAGACGCTCTAACCACTACACCACGGAGGCGGTCAAATTATCAGAGAGCCATAGCACATAAGCTCATCAGTATGAAGTGTGACACACATGTCCAACAGGTGTGTGTTGGTCAGTAGCTCCCCTCACCTGTACTTGTGCCAGCAGGTCAGTGTTCTCCCTCTCCTTGCTGGCCAAACTCTCCTGCATGTCCTTCTCTACACTGGTCTTCTCACTGATCTGAACAACACACGTCAACATGTTGGTGTGAATGTCAATACATACAACGCTGACAGGTGAGGTCAACTTGAGATATTAAACATGAACTATCCTATAGTTTGCCTTTAGTAAAAGAGCCAGTACTGTATTTCCATGTGAACAGTCCACACCACACACGTCATTCTTTGATACCTCACTGTCACAGAAAACTGCCATTTCACAGTCAAATAAGTCAACATAAACCTATCCTTTGTCTCATGTTTTAACAGAATATACCTGGGATTAAGTAAGCTGGTGATTAGGTGTCTCACTCAGGGTGTGTGGGTTCGAATCCTGGATGGGACTCAACTAAAACAAATACTGGAATCTGTGCAGACAGTGTAATCCCGAATAATGACTGTGTGTCAGCATGCATGTGCTTGCAGTATTTCTATCTCTGTTCAGTTTTACAGTGATGCCATGGTACCCTGACAAGTCTTTCCAGTATACTGACTCTCAGCCAACTCTCAGCCAACTATTTGTTCTTGGATTCAAGTCAGATCACCCCATCATTTGTCCACAATAAGGGTCTCAACTGCAAAACAATGAGGGTCTCACTTGTACAATAATTAGGGTCTCACCTGTAAAATTATGAGGGTCTTACCTGTACAATAATGAGGGGCTCACTTGTACAATAATTAGGGTCTCACCTGTACAATAATTAGGGTCTCACCTGTACAATAATTAGGGTCTCACCTGTAAAATTATGAGGGTCTTACCTGTACAATAATGAGGGGCTCATTTGTACAATAATTAGGGTCTCACCTGTACAATAATTAGGGTCTCACCTGTACAATATTGAGGGTCTCACCTGTAAAGTACTGAGGGTCTCACCTGTACAATAATGAGGGTCTAACCTGTACAATAATGAGGGTCTCACCTGTACAATAATGAGGGGTTCACCTGTACAGTACTGAGGGTCTCACCTGTACAATAATGAGGGTCTCACCTGTACAATAATGAGGGGCTCACCTGTACAATAATGAGGGTCTCACTTGTTCAATAATGGGGGTCTAACCTGTACAATAATGATGGTCTCACCTGTACAATAATGGGGGGTTCACCTGTACAGTACTGAGGGTCTCACCTGTACAATAATGGGGGTCTAACCTGTACAGTACTGAGGGTCTCACCTGTACAGTACTGAGGGTCTCACCTGTACAATAATGAGGGTCTAACCTGTACAATAATGAGGGTCTAACCTGTACAATAATGATGGTCTCACCTGTACAATAATGAGGGGCTCACCTGTACAGTACTGAGGGTCTCACCTGTACAATAATGAGGGTCTAACCTGTACAATAATGAGGGTCTAACCTGTACAATAATGAGGGTCTAACCTGTACAATAATGAGGGTCTCACCTGCTGGTTCAGCTGGGCGTTCAGTTCTGTCAGCTGTTTCTGAAGATCTGTCTTTACACCATCAAGCTCCTTACTGCTATTCTCAAGATCACTGATCTATAGAGAGGAAGGACACAATGAGAAAATAGCAGCATTGCTTACGCAAAATATATCAACCATGACATTTTCTTGTAATTGATGTGGCAAAGAATGTATCACCAAGTTGAAGTTACTGAAATATGCATGTGGTGACCAACAGCCAATTTGGCTGACAATGTTTTGCTTGTTTGTAGTTTAATGCCACACTCAGCCATATTCCAGCTATATGACATCAATCTGTAAATAATCGAGTCTGGAACAGACAATCCAGTGATTGACATCATGAGCATCGATCTATGCGGTTGGGAAATGATGATCAACCAAGTCAGCAAGGCTGACTAGCAAATTCTGTTAGTGGCCTCTTACAACAAGTATGAGTTCTTGAAGATAAATTCTAACCAAATTCTTCACAGATCAATTCAATAAACTACAAAAAAATCAGGGTTAGTGTGATACTTGAACCCTTCTAGCCTAAACAAGCGTTCTCATATATGAATTCAAACACACAATTAGAAAGACATAATAGGTACCTTCTTATTCAAATCTACAATTTCTGATGCTTTTGCTTTCATGGATTCCTGAAAAGAAATGAGAAATCTTTTTAATACAATGCATCGACAAGTTTTGCAAAATCCACTACAGGAGTATCGCAATAAAAAACAATGAAGTGACTCGGATTTTATCCCACATTAACAGCGATGTAATACTGCAGCCTTGAGACCCAAGATGGTGCCTATGTGGAAGATTGAAATATAAGCAATGAAACCCATAATCATAAGAAAGCTCCGATAAAACCAGAGACCATCATATTATTCCGAATATGTCATGAGCATGTTTCATTGAACTTTGAGATTTTTGACATGATAAATGAACCTGAGATGCTGTACAGAGTGATCTCAGCACTGAGGTGATTGCAACTCCCATACCTTGATGCAGACTTATGATATTCGTAGTGATGAGGTTGCTTTGTACAACAGCATCCAGCAATAAATGAACCATTGTAGCTACTTTGGCTATACTTCTGGCTATACTTCCGGCTATACTACTGACCCTGCTTACAGTATACATGGGAGCCTGATTATGTAGACCCAATGCTTGATAATATACAACACCATACTTTGATGAAAGGCTTCCAGCACTGGTCCCTTAATTCAGATCACCAGTCCATTCAAAACACACTGGACTTCTCTCATTAATGTGACTAATACCAAAGACTCTGTTTATTTTCATCATGGAAGAATGACCGCAAACATGCTGTCTTTTCACTGTGCAGCTTGGTATACATAGATTGGCTAAATAATTCTAAAAACAAAACTCACAACTAAGAAAGAAGAACTGTTCAGCAAAGACTTCCTAAACATCCAATCAGACCTGGTTTATTCTGATTTAAAACTGACTCACCAATCAGTATCAAATAGTTTTTAAATTCATAGTAAAAATAGATGGGTAAAATGAATGGACTTCACAGACTTTGTGAGAATAAAACCTGGATCTTGAGCAAACATTAAAGAGAATTTCCAACTAAATTTCGACAGCTCCAAACTTTATGAACATGTATTTAACGTTTATTTCAAATTAATCAGATGACCAACCTGCTCCACTTTAAGCAGTTCCTCCATTGTGGACAGTTTCAACTTGAACTCTTCCGATTTTTGTTCAGATTCTGTTTTCAGACTACCAACCTCTGTGTCTTTCTGTGTCTGAAAATATTATAATCAAACAGTGTTTCTCAGGAAACTGCTCAATGACTGAAAACATAGTTTACACTACTGGTAATGTGCTTCTTTTTAATACTATGGAATCTGGTACATAATATCAGGATTTTGAAGTTTTATGTCAGTTTGTCAAAATGGTAGCATATTTGTTTCAAAGCAAGAATTCAAGCTGTTTTATTGATATGGGAAGTGAAAATCACAACTAAATTTTAGTACTTATAAAGCAGGGGAAATATAATGCACGTGCCTGAAGTCTTTTGTAACCTCAGACGTCTTTAGTGTTAAATCTAATGATATTGCTTGCATTTATACTGTGAATATACAATATAATATATTCTACAAGAACGGAGAGAAAAAATGCAAATGGTAACTTTTCTAAAGAACACTTTGAGTTTCACTTTTCGGCAATCTTAATTTGACAAAGTAAGTGTCTACACTGCCCACCTTTAAAGTCTCCAGGTTCTGTCTCAGGGCAGATAACTCCTGTTCCTTTGTCTTCAGCTGCCCAATATGATCTGCCAGCTCTGTGGACACCTCAATCTTTTCTTCTCTTACCTTATTCTTCTCATCCGTCAAAGCAGCTACCTAGCAACAGCATGGTGAGTCATTGTGAATGAGTGTTGTTTTATACCACGTTTATCAATATTCCATGACAATCAGGGTGGAGGATAGCAAGTGCGGGTTTCACACACTGTACACATGTTGGCCTTGAGTGTGACAAGTGATTACTGAAACCACTAGGCTAATGTGCCACTCTGTTAGAGTGATACAGAGTTCTCACACTTCTATATACCATTGTTTGTTTGTTTGTTGTTTAATACTGCCCTCATCAATGTTCCAGTTATATGACAGTGGTCTCTAAATAATCAAGTCTGGATCAGACAATGTAATTTTTAGAGTAAAATTGATATTTTATACTTATCCTGACTCATGCTCTTTTGCTTGTCTTCTTCTTCTTGCGAACATAGTGGAACACTTGTATCTCCTTATTTGAAGCTCCCTTCAAAATAAAATCACTAATTGGTACTCACCACGAAGTTGCTCCCCTTTGTCTCCCCTGGCGGGAAAAGGTGTCGCCACCCTCTGGCCATGTGCTCCACTCTCTCCTGATTTAGCGAGCCCAACACTTGAATTTACAGGGAAATCCAAAGTGTTATGTGGGGAGGATGGGAGGGTTAACCTCATGAGTCAGGATAAGTATAAAATATCAATTTTACTCTAAAAATTACATATTTTTCCTTATCCTGACTCATGCTCTTTGTTTGTAGCATCCCACGGAACGGAGGTGGGTAACAGAATACTTTGGATTTATAATTAGTGATTTTGTATAGATATACTGTAATATCCCCACGGAACTTCATGAAGTCTTAGATTTAGGATGTTTCCTGTATAAAGAAAACCATAGGTTATATAAAGCCATTAAAGGGGAATTACATTATGAATATATTGAACAATACATATAAAATTATATATATATATATATAGGTGACTCTGATAGAGGCACTGAAATTGACTATATCCAAGTATATGCTTAAGGTAGAATACTTAAGCTGAACATATATACATAGCCCTAAAACTCCTTAGAGTTATAAGCTAGATGAGTATGTATAAAATACATATTAATCTTGTGAGGCTAATATTTTAACGCCACGCAGGGACTGTCAGTTGCTGAGCCAGGACCAGTGGTCCCAAATGGTGAATGCCAGAGACATCTTCTGTAGTGATGTCTCTTAGGTAGTGATTAGCAAATACCATGTTAGATTTCCAATAGCATCCTTCCATAATCGTGTTCAAGGAACAGTTACCGTAGTAGGGCGAGGGTAGAGGCCAGTGCCCTGATCTCATGTGGATTTGATGCTGTTGGTGGGTCCAAGCCTGCTGCCTTGTAGGCACGGAGAATGACAGTCCTTATCCAAATAGATATTGTGGTCCGTGACACTTCTGTTTGATTCAGAGGCTTATAATGGGATGAATAAACGCTTGAGAAATCTTCTCCTTGTTTTGGATCGTCAGAATAAACTTTGAGCTCTTACCGACACAGTGATAGGTCTTGTGTATCTTGTGATCCGAGAATAGAGGATAGCCGGATGTGGAATAATCTGTCTGGTTGACCTGGCAGTTGATTCTTTGCAATGAAATCCCATCTTAACTGAGGTGCGCTGTGTTATGATTGTCATCAAACTGTATCCTCTCAGAATCCAGAGCGTGAATTTCAGACATTCTTGCTGCTGTGGCTAGCGATAGCAGAAACAATGTTTTCTGTGAGAGAAATTCAAAGTTTGTCGATTCCAAGGGTTCATAGACCTCACTCGTGAGGTGTTGTAACACTACATTCAGATCCTGCTGGGCGTGGAACTTCCGCTTTGGTCCTCCAATCGGAAAGCTCGTAGTAAGGCCAGTAACTCTGGAGATCTTGTCAATCTGACACCCGCTCTCATGGTGATTACAGAGCTAAGCGCCGCAAGATATGTTGATATCGCTGAACCTTTTAAATGTTTGTTTTGGCGAGGTAACACAAATAGTCTGCCACTTGAGGTTGTGAAGCCTCTTGCTGTAAACCCTTTCTTTGTTGCATAATTTTCAAACTGTGCCACTTGTCGCCGTGACATTGTTACGAGTTGAGTAACGTGAAGGCAAGCGTGACTGCTTTTGCCGCCCCTGGCAGAATATCCTCTTGTTTAAACACATTTGTATACAGTCCATACGCAGTAGTTGGAACATTGCTGGGTTTCCGCACTTGTTTGGTGTGAGGATGAATTAACAGGTTTGGCGCGCTTGGGTAGCTCCAGTGTTGGCTGACCGATTTTTGAATTAGTATGGGAAACCACGCTCTGGCCGGCCAGTAGGGCCCACCAAAGTGAGTTGTAGGCTCTGTGTTTGTCTGATTTTCTGTAATACTTGAGGTATTATTGCTGGCGGCGGAAACGCTGCACGATTGAGGCCTTCCCATGATAGACTTAGAGCCGCCCGCTGCCCAAGCTTGGGGGTCTGGGACTGGTGACACGTAATGTCGGTAGCTGATTGTTGAATCGCGCGGCTTAATAGGTCTATTAGCGGCGCCCTAATTGCTTGATTATCTGTGCAAAATTTTCCGTTGATCATCCACTCTGTCGGTGATGGTAGATGAGGCCGAGAGAGCCGCCTGCTAGTATATTTCTGGCCCGGGAATGTGCACTGCTTTGACATGTAGATTTAGATCTTGTATTAAATCTAACAGTTGAAAGCTTAGGTTCAAAAGGTTCATCGATCTCGTTGAGCCTTGCTTGTTTATGTAGAACGCCACTGTCTAATTGTCTGTATGGATCATTAGGGCGATTTTGTAGAAATGTGCTCCAATGTAGAATGGCGCTGATTACAGCTTTCATTTCTAGACTGTTTATATGGAGTTTGCATTCTTGCTGATTCCATAACCCTGATATCGGTGGTTGGTGAGATGAGCTCCCAACCTTGGAGTGACGCGCCTACATACAGATGGGTTTTGTATTCCTGCTCTGCTAAACAAATCCCTTCGCAGACATTCGATTTCTTGGTCCACCATAGTAGATGGTCTGAGATGTTTCGTAGACTGAATGGTTGTACATCGCTGAGATGTGCGCTGATGAGGACCTGTAGGGACGAATCGTAATCTGCCTGTGACAGTCATGTCTTGGGCTGATGTGAGAAGACCTAGTAGGCTCTGCCATTGTCGCAGTGGTAACGGAGAGAGTAGAGCTGGTGGAATGGTCTGTTGTATCTTGAGCCAACGGTCTTCTGGTACCATAATACGGTTGCGATTTGTGATGAATCGAATACCTAGGAACTGTAGGTCTTGGCGATGGTACTAGGTCCGACTTGCGTAAGTTTACTAACCAACCTAGTTGTGTTAGTAGCTTTATGATGTAATTTAACTGTAGTTTGAGACGCAGTGGATCTTGATCTACTTGTATCCCGCCGCCGAGGTAAAACGCACTGGGCGAGCCCTTTGACGATGTAGAAATTTGATAATCGGTTTCTTTATCCTCGTGAATAGCCAGGGGCTGATGATATTCAATGGGAGTACTTTCCACTGGTAATGTAGCCCTTCTAGAGTAAATCGTGAGGTATTTCCTGAATCGGGATGAATGGGGATGCAAGTAGGCATCCTGTAGATCTATGCTGCCCATGTAGTCCATAGGATCTAATCATCTGGCGAAACTGAGGTAAATGTATCATGCTAAACTTCGTGGTTTGGCGAGATAGTTCTTGTTGAAAAAGCTCATGTTGTAGATGAGTCTGTATTTCTCCGCGGAGTTTTTCTTGGGAACTAGGAAAACTGGGGAGTAGAAACCTGGTTCGACGCTTGTTTGATCTATTACTTCTATGGCCTGTTTGGATAGGAGTGATGAGACAGCCTCTTTTATCTTTGGTAGTTGTTGGCGCTTTGTAAATCGAACTTGGGGGTTTGATTGTCAGCGGAGGCTTGTCCTGTAGAGGGATAATAAACCGTGTTGAATAATGTTGGAGACGTAAGGATCTTGCAGTATTCCCCAGTTTTCCCAGTGTAGTTGGAGGCCCACCCACTTGAGCTGGTTGTACTGGAACGGCTGGGGTGGAAGACTCCAGTCGTTCAACCTGTGTTTCAGCTGCCTATAATTGCGGAACCTCTGGGTGTCCTGCCTCTTCCTGATCCTCCTCTATAGTTGCCATATGGGCTTAATTTAAAAGAATCTTTACCTCTAGAGCTGGCTATCTTCCTGTCTCTTGCTCTTTGTAGGCCCGTGAACTTAGATCTGCCTGAGTATCTTTGTGAAGTCTGACGAATGACGCTGGCTAGTGTGTCCATCGATCTAATCATAAGGACTTCCCTGGAATCCTTAGAGACTTCCTTGGCTTAATCTTGTCGATTTTCCGCACAAAGATGGATGTTGTCGACCACGGGCTGTATAAAGTGGGCTGTAAAGTTCTCCCCAATTACAGGAGGCGAGGAGGCCTTGACGACGAAGCTAAGGTCAGTGCTGCTGAAACAGATGTAAGATGATCCGTTAAAACTGCTGATCTTTCTTTTGCATAAGTAAGGCAGAATAAATCATTCTATCATCTTCCGCCGTGGAATCCCGAATCTAGTAATAAGAGTCTCATTGATCGCCCTAGATCTATTTAACCCAAAGAACATACGCCTCGGCCATGGTTTCTATATGAGCCAACTTGGCATCATCCATCTTGTAAATCTTGTTCTTTACATCGCTGATGATCTTATAGTTCTCATCGATGTCCTGGGCCTTGTAGAAGGAGTCCATGTTATGCGCGGAGAACTTCTTGGCTTGAAAGTTGGGTAGATGTGGTATCTGAACTTTCGTAGCTTTCTGGAAAGCTGCATCTAGATTCTGTGGCACTGCCGCAATCGGGTCGATCGGGGTAGAGTGATTGCATCTGGATCATCTTCCTTCATCAAATACGCCTGAGCTGTATTGCCACTTTTAGATGGTGATGTGAGATCTAGGTTATTGACCATCCAATACCGTGATCTCTGCATCAGAAAATATGATTCCTCCATCATCCTCAAAACCATCATCATTAATAAATTGTAGATGCTCTTCGACTGCGACGCGGTAGCTGTCTGAATATCTGATGAGGTTTGTGGCGATCTAGTTGACTTGTGCTACCGCTTATGTGGAGATCTGATGGGTGATCGACCTGGTGATGAACGGAGTGGAGATCGCCTATGGGATGATCTTCTCGGAGACTTGTGAGGTGAATGTTGATAGCTTCGCAAGCTCTTCGGCAGTCCCTCGATGTTCTTCTAGACGATGAAGATCTGGAATCATATGTCTTTCGCTAATGCCTTCGCTGAAGCTTCATTTGGCGTCCGGTCCGGGGATCGATGATATGACCTTCGCGAAGGCTTCCGTGATGTCTGATGGTCTGAGTCCATATCTAGAGATGAAATCGAAGATGGTGATGATCTCTCCCGCCCGCGAAGGCCTTCGCTGAAGGCTGTACATCTAGGTCCTTCGTCAAGGTGGTGCGGACTTCCTTCGCCGAAGGTGACATCGCCTTGGCTGCTACGCTGACGGGGGTGCCTGGGGTGTTGTTCACGCTGGAGCCTTCGCTGGTTGCTCGGACTGCTTGGCGCAGTTTGTAGTGGTCCTCCATGATGTTCATAATCTGCCGCGATCATGTCTTCTGGGATGATCTAGACGAAGTCGCCGGGCGCCTTTCTGCATGGGGTTCACATCAATGACGCCTGACGCCGGTGTAGAGGCATCAGGCTGCATGGAGATCTCTGCAGAAGTCACAGTCGCTGACACCGGTCGCTTCTTCTGCCGTAAGTCGGGATGATTATCGGCTGATCATCGAGAGAGGCCCAACTCTGCTGCTGGAACGATCTCGCTGAGAAAGTTCTTGCTGTCTTCGTGAGATTTCCCTTTGGAAGTCTGCGCTGCCCTGGGTGTCCTCAATCTGGCGCTTGAGACGACGATGAGGCCCTCTTAGACTTAGTCTGCAATGACGGGATGTCTGGGGAGGCCGGTCGCTTCTTCGAGGTAACGGATCTGCGCCCCACGCTCCTCTGCCGCCGGGGTCTCTAGCAGAACACCAGACGGAGAGGGTCGATCGCTAGCAGCTGACTGGAAGGAATATCTGGACTCTCTGCCATGTTTTGCCCTTGTTTGCGGATCTATCTGCAGCACGCCTTAAGACGCAAAGATGATATTTATTAAATGCAGAATGAGATAAATTAATGCAGTAACTGCAACGTGAATTAAACGCGACACGGCGAGAACAACTAGGGCATATTACATGTGGATCGGAGGCAGAAAAACGTAATCTACAAATCGCACAGATTTTCATGAACGTAAAGTTAGCTGAACAATCACTTAATACACGGAATAAACAGTAGAAATAATGATAATTAATCAATACAAATAGTAAAGGATACTAGCTATACCTCTATAGTAACCTATGAGAGGTAAAACTAAGAGATTATCAAAGGATATGTGTGTAAGGAGACACAAGGCGCCTCACATCCTGCTCACTGGGCTAAGAAGGAGAGAGTGAAGCACATGGCCAGAGGGTGGCTTACACCTTTTCCGCCAGGGAGACAAAGGGGAGCAACTCGTGGTGAGTACCAATTAGTGATTTTATTTTGAAGGAGCTTCAAATAAGGAGATACAAGTGTTCCACTATGTTCGCAAGAAGAAGAAGACAAGCAAAAGAGCATGAGTCAGGATAAGGAAAATACTGTGACATATTTTATGCATTTTAGTCAAATATGCAGCTAGTCTGGAGTCCTGAAATTCGAGTGACACTTGACTAACAATTTCTCAAAGTGTATTTCAGCTCATGATACACTGCATCCACCACCCATCATTTCACCCTGACCAATACCTGGTGGTCCAGTCATCAGACACATCGCAATTCCATGTCCATGTTGTGTCCCTTAGGCATGCCAGGAGCCTGTGACAGTTCACCTGGATTATGTTTGTCAGTATCCTACCTGCTTAACTTTGTGCTTTCCTCCTACATCAAACTGACAGGCTGTGATGTAACTGGAATACTGTTCAAAGCAGCATTAATCTTAACTCCATACTCACTCAAATATATGAAAACTGAGTGAGGGATCAAGGTTTATGCCACTTTTAGCCATATTCCAGCAATAACATGGTGGGGAATACGAGAAATAGGCTTAACAGATGGTTCTGAGGTGCAACTAACCAATCTAAACTAGTGATTGATATCATGAGGAAACAATACTTCCAGTCTTAGTAAGATGACACACATTGAAGCCACCAAGCCTGACCACATCTCACACAACTATCACAGGAATTCTGCTGGGATCACATTTGCACGCACACATGCTTTATATTGCCATTGGGACCCCTTACACTGTCAAGGTTCTTGTCTGTCTGTAGTTTCTGGCCGGTGACCTCCTCCAGGGACTTCTTTGTCTTGGCCAGACTGTCCTCCACTTCCTTTTTATCCTTCAGCAAACCAGCCAGGAAGTCTTTCTGCAAGGAAAAGACTCAGATATTCCAATACCATATATTTCTGTAAAAGGTTTTTTGATATATACCTTGGTAGATCATTAAATCTAATATCACCGAGGGAGATCAATAAATATCATATTACCAACACAGATCAATAAATATCATATTACCAACAGAGATCCATCAATCTCATATTACCAAGGGAGAGCCATCAATCTCATATTACCAAGGGAGATCCATCAATCTCATATTACCAAGGGAGAGCCATCAATCTCATATTACCAACAGAGAGCCATCAATCTCATATTACCAACAGAGAGCCATCAATCTCATATTACCAACAGAGAGCCATCAATCTCATATTACCAAGGGAGATCCATCAATCTCATATTACCAAGGGAGATCCATCAATCTCATATTACCAAGGGAGATCAATAAATCTCATATTACCAAGGGAGAGCCATCAATCTCATATTACCAAGGGAGAGCCATCAATCTCATATTACCAAGGGAGATCCATCAATCTCATATTACCAAGGGAGAGCCATCAATCTCATATTACCAAGGGAGATCCATCAATCTCATATTACCAAGGGAGAGCCATCAATCTCATATTACCAAGGGAGAGCCATCAATCTCATATTACCAAGGGAGAGCCATCAATCTCATATTACCAAGGGAGTGCCATCAATCTCATATTACCAAGGGAGAGCCATCAATCTCATATTACCAAGGGAGATCCATCAATCTCATATTACCAAGGGAGAGCCATCAATCTCATATTACCAAGGGAGAGCCATCAATCTCATATTACCAAGGGAGAGCCATCAATCTCATAGTATAAAGGGAGATCCATAAGTTTCATACCATCTACATCCATAAATCTTGTATCACCAAGGCAGATCAACAAATTCATCTTGCTAAGGCAGATCAATAAATAGCACATAGTTAAGGAAGATCAATAAATATCATATTGCCAAGGGATAAAACCCTTGAGCCTTGGTAACACTGGATGTTGGTGCTGTAGTCATGTAATCCACATGCCAGCAGCTCAAGACGTCAAGTACTTCACATTTTATTTTTTATTTCATGTCTGGTACCCCAAAATGTGCTTTTCTCGAGAATCCTCAAATACTCACAAATAGGCCACCACATGTAAATCCCTTTTCTTGGATATTGATTGGCCTGATTGGAAGTTTGTCTGTAGTGATACATACATTAACAACATGCCCCTCCTAATAATGAGCCATTTCTATGGACAATCAGAAATCACACAGTTCTAGCCTCATGTGACTTGTGACCTCACCCACCTTCTCCTTGAGCTCCCTCTCCAGGGCGGTATTGGTTTTGTTGCTGTGGGTGAGCTTGTCCCCCTCCCCCTTCAGCTGCCCCTCCTGCTCCATGATCTTGTCCTTCTTTGCTGCCAGCTCCACCTGAGTCTGCAAGGAGTCAGTCATATACTGGTCAGGACATAGAAGGTACAGCTAAGGTGACACAATTTGCTGAGTTACTTCCCTTTGATGTGCCAGAATCCTTTATTTGTAGGTTCTTATGCCAAAATCCTATATTTCTGGGTTCTAATGTCAAAATCCTATATTTGTGGGTTCTAATGCCAAAATCCTACATTTGTGGGTTCTAATGCCAGAATCCTACATTTGTGGGTTCTAATGCCAGAATCCTATATTTGTGGGTTCTAATGCCAGAATATTATATTTGTGGGTTCAAATACCAGAATCCTATATTTGTTGGTTCTAAACCCAAAATCCTACATTTGTGGGTTCTAATGCCAGAATCCTACATTTGTGGGTTCTAATATCAGAATCCTACATTTGTGGGTTCTAATGCCAATATCCTATATTTCTGGGTTTTAATGCAAGAATCCTACATTTGTGGGTTGTAATGCCCAAATCCTACATTTGTGGGTTCTAATGCCAATATCCTATATTTGTGGGTTTTAATGCCAGAAACATACATTTGTGGGTTCTAATGTCAAATTCCTACATTTGTAGGTGCTAATGCCAGAATCCTACATTTGTGGGTTCTCATGCAAGAATCCTACATTTGTGGGTTATAATGCAAAACTCCTACATTTGTGGGTTCTAATGCCAAAATCCTATATTTGTGGGTTTTAATGTCAAAATCCTACATTTGTGGGTTCTAGTTCTAATAAATCCTACATTTGTGGGTTATAATGCCAGAATCCTACATTTTGTGGGTTCTAATGCCAGAATCCTACATTTGTGGGTTCTAATATCAGAATCCTACATTTGTGGGTTCTAAATGCCAATATCCTATATTTCTGGGTTTTAATGCAAGAATCCTACATTTGTGGGTTGTAATGCCCAAATCCTACATTTGTGGGTTCTAATGCCAATATCCTATATTTGTGGGTTTTAATGCCAGAAACATACATTTGTGGGTTCTAATGTCAAATTCCTACATTTGTAGGTGCTAATGCCAGAATCCTACATTTGTGGGTTCTCATGCAAGAATCCTACATTTGTGGGTTATAATGCAAAACACCTACATTTGTGGGTTCTAATGCCAAAATCCTATATTTGTGGGTTTTAATGTCAAAATCCTACATTTGTGGGTTCTAATGCCAAAATCCTACATTTGTGGGTTCTAATGCCAAATTCCTACATTTGTTGGTTCTAATGCCAGAATCCCATGTTTGTTGGTTCTAATGCCAGAATCCTACATTTGTGGGTTCTAATGCCAAAATCCTACATTTGTGGGTTATAATGCCAAAATCCTATGTTTGTGGGTTTTAATGCCAGAATCCTATATTTGTGGGTTCTAATGCCAGAATCCTACATTTGTGGGTTCTAATGCCAAAATCCTATATTTGTGGGTTTTAATGCCAAAATCCTACATTTGTGGGTTCTAATGCAAGAATCCTACATTTGTGGGTTCTAATGCCAGAATGCTAAACTTGTGCGTTTGAATGCCAAAATCCTACATTTGTGGGTTCTAATGCAAGAATCCTACATTTGTGGGTTCAAATGCCAGAATGCTATGTTTGTGGGTTTTATTGCCAGAATCCTACATTTGTGGGTTCTAATGCTGGAATCTTCTGATAGTGTATCTAGGTTGGTCAGCAATATACCCAAGCTCATTTCCCACACTGAAGTAGCAGACCTGCAACACCTTGGGCTTCGCTCCCATACCAAGCTGACAGCAGGGGACTCTTCAAAGTGTCAATAAACCAACCTCACTCATTCCTACTTCGGTCACACAGTCACTTGAACTGTATTGTAGACTTTGAATTTAGTCTAAGATTTACTCCCCTCTAAAATGTCTGTGATTATGATCAGATTTAGCACACTGCTAAAGTTTCGGTTTGTTGTTTAACGCTGCACTCAGCAATATCTGGCAGCAGTCTGTAAACAATCTGGACCAGACAATCCAGTCATCAACAGCATGATCATCAATCTATACAACTGGGATACGATGACATATGTCAACCAAGTCAGCGAGCCTGACCACCTGATATTGTTAGTCGCTTCTCACGACAAGCATGGGTCAAGAAAACCAAGTCTAACCCGAATCATCATGGGTGCTGCTGAAGTAGATGCATGTGAGGACTTCAAGATATTTGAAGGAGTGAAGTAAAATATGTTTGAACTCAATTAATGCAGGACACCCCAAACACATGACACTTGTTACCATAAACTTCTGATAACATGTAAATATAATATTACGAGAATTTCAAGCCAAGACTGCCAGATACAGGTAGACGACATGTCATCAAAATACAGCAGTACATGTACATTAGTTCAATGTGCAACTACAACAAATCAACTCCCAAATTGTTTTTGGCCCCCCCAAACCATCCCCCTTTCCCAATAACTAGTGCAATATCATGGAAGCCTGTTAATGATAACATGAACCAGTGGTGGATAGCATGAGCATGAACACAATCAACACGATCAGATTAGAAATTGTAACAATTTAATGCCAATATCAATAGATTCATATGACCAACCCAGGGTTACTAAGTGATTAATGTTTACTAATTGAATTAACTCTGAAATGACTATATCTAGATCAGTTTATATAAGATAGACACAGCTTGTATCTAAGTAATGAGTTACATCTAACCAACATACTGTGTTAAAGGACCAGTGAAGGTCCAGGTTAGAATTGATCTTCAGTAACCCATGCTTGTCGTAAGAGGCGACTAACGGGATCGGGTGGTCAGGCTCGCTGACTTGGTTCCCAATTGCGCAGATAGATGCTCATGCTGTTGATCGCTGGATTGTCTGGTCCAGACTCAATTATTTGCAGACCGCTGCCATATAGCTGGACTATTGCTAAGTGCGGTGTAAAACTAAACTCACTCACTCACTCACTGTGTTAAAGCTTCTGTGGCTAGATTCCCACCTACCTGTTCCAGTGTGTTCCGTAGTGTGGTGAGCTCCGCATTCCGCTCGTCTTACCACGTTCTGGGCAGTCTTGATGTGGTTCTCCAGGTCGGTCCTTTGACTCGTCTTGGCGGCCTCTGCAGCCAACAGCAGCTCATTCTACAACAAACAACAGCTTGTCAACACACTTCAAATTGGGGACACTCAAAAGTAGCTCAATCTACAAAAGCAGAAAACACCTCCCAGGCACTCTCCAGTATATGGAACATCTCACCCCAAGAGCCCAACTTATCCTGACAGATCCTCACCTTGGTCTTGAGATCAGCTTCTGTTTGCTGCAGCTTCTGCTGAGACGTGTTCAGCTTCTCCATCCTCTCCTCCGACGTTGATTCCAGCTTGTGACACTTGTCCTGCTCTGCCTGAAGCTGACCTTTCAACTCGGTCATTTGCTTATGCAGTGCTTCCTGTTTGCTGGAACTCTCTCCTGTTTGAGATTGCAGGTTTTCCTGAAGTTCTTTGATCTTCTCTTGCAGACTTGTCTTAATGATATAAGGAAAGTAAGGAAAATCAAACTACAGTCAAATGCTGGTGTGTTAAAGGGACCTACAAAAATACTAAGAGTTATTTTGACTTAACCGAAAAAATAAATAAACAAAGAAAGAATACGAAGGGAAGGAAGTTTTCACTTCAAGGACAAGTTCGACACAATGGTGTTGTCACCTTTACTCATTCTTTGCTATTTTCTATAAACAGGTGAGGCTAAGACAGGGAAATACTGGTGAGTGATTGAGTATGGTTTTACGCGGCTTTTAGCAATATTCCAGCAACATCACGGCCGGGGACACCAGAAATGGGCTTCACACATTGTACCCATGTGGGGAATCGAACCCTGGTCTTCAGCGGACCGAGCCAACGCTTTAACCACTAGGCTACCCCACCGTCCCAGGAAATACTGGTATTAGCAACTACTAAATGCTGCGCAGTAAAACAGTTATACCACATTTCACTGCTATAAGAAATGTAGATCTATGTCAGGTCAATGTTCACTAACATCTAGCATGTCTTGTACACTATCTTCGGTTTCTGTTCTTTAATGCCACGGTATCAACAACCAAGCTAATTGAAGGTAGCCTGTATCAGCATCAATCCACACTTTTCTGTATTATGCATCAACCAATCACTGACCACCATTCTGTCTCCTCTCCTGACCAGCATAGTGTGCTGTCAACCAATCAAAACCTTGTAGCCTGGAACATCGTGGAATCCTAACAACCATTTCATCCATGCGTGTTCAGTACTCACATTTTCCTGCTTCAGCTGGTTCATGGCTTCACTCACTCCCTCACCAGCCTCAATCTGTCAAAACCAGAAACAATGAGAAAACTCGTCACAAAATTAATCAGTGGCTCTTGACAAGCTTAGGCCTTCCTTGATAGACAACCCTATAAGATGAAATAATGTTCCAAAAAAACTAACTGCCTTAGTATAATGTCTTCAATCTTCCACATCCATTATGGGCTGACCCTATGATATTCGGTTGGAAAGGAAGCGTTAAACAGGGTTTTTGTGCTATGAAGAAAATGTTGTTCCAGAAATTAAAATCACTTGAAAACATAATGTTACCTCATTTCTAATGAAGAAAGTTTGTTCAGGTACCAGGATATCACGAACAAGATGTTTCATAAGAATTGGGTGTTCCTTCTTAAATGCAACACTCAGCAATATTCCAGCTATATGAGAGCATTTTGTAAATAATCCAGACTGGACCGGAAAACCAAGGGCTTAATATCATGAGACATTATCCATCTTGGTACAGTGATAGGCCAGAAAGAGAGCTGACAACCAGCATAGGTTGCTGAAGACCAATCCTTCTCCCAGCCCGGAATCTGTACACGTTCAGTAACTAGTGGAATATACTGATGTAAGGTCACAGTGGCTGGTTGTAACTTACCTTGGCAAAAAGGTCTCCCCTCTCCGTCTCCAGTCTCTGTACTGCCTCCTTCAGCTGCTGCAGCTGACCCTCCAGCTCCACACACTGACTCTCTCTGCATCACAAGGATAGAGGGGGTGGTTAGCCAGTCACAGACTCATATCTGGGAAAATATGCTATCTTGATTGTGTATTGAGAAACTACCTGGTGTAGCTTCATGTGAGCAAACAGGAGAAAGTAACCTGACCACCATTCCACGAAGCGATTGTAGTGCTGTTACTGTCAGTCTTTGTTAAAGTATGGGAGTATGATATGATTTACAATTTCAACTGCATGTCATGTGAAGCTAGATATTTTTTCAAACACAAACACGACTGAAAGTCAGATAAAAGGAATTGAGACAGCAAGGGTCCACTGCACCAAGTGACGTACCTGGACCCTCCCTTCCTGGTCTCCTCCTCCAGCTTGGCCTGGATGTCCCTCAGCTCACCCCGCGTCTCGTCACTCACATGTACCTGGGGGGAGACACACATGAGCGCAATCATAGTGTGGGTCATATAGATATCATAGTGTGGGTCATATAGATATCATAGTGTGGGTCACATAGATATCATTCATAGTGTGGGTCATATAGATATCATAGTGTTAGTGTGGGTCATATAGATATCATGGTGTGGGTCATATAGATATCATAGTGTGGGTCACATAGATATCATTCATAGTGTGGGTCATATAGATATCATAGTGTGGGTCATATAGATATCATTCATAGTGTGGGTCATATAGATATCATAGTGTGGTCATATAGATATCATAGTGTGGGTCATATAGATATCATAGTGTGGATCATATAGATATCACAGTGTGGGTCATATACATATCATAGTGTGGGTCATATAGATATCATAGTGTGGGTCATATAGATATCATTCATAGTGTGGGTCATATAGATATCATAGTGTGGGTCATATAGATATCATAGTGTGGGTCATATAGATATCATAGTGTGTGTCATATAGATATCATTCATAGTGTGGGTCATATAGATATCATAGTGTGGATCATATAGATATCATAGTGTGGGTCACATAGATATCATTCATAGTGTGGGTCATATAGATATCATAGTGTGGGTCATATAGATATCATTCATAGTGTGGGTCATATAGATATCATAGTGTGGGTCATATAGATATCATTCATAGTGTGGGTCATATAGATATAGTGTGGGTCATATAGATATCATAGTGTGGGTCATATAGATATCATAGTGTGGGTCAGATCATAGTGTGGATCATATAGATATCAGTGTGGGTCATATAGATATCATAGTGTGGGTCATATAGATATCATAGTGTGGGTCATATTGATATCATAGATGGGATCATAGATATCATGGATCATATAGATATCATAGTGTGGGTCATATAGATATCATAGTCAAATAGATATCATAGTATAGATATCATAGTGTGGGTCATATAGATATCATAGTGTGGGTCATATAGATATCATAGATATCATAGTGGGTCATATATCATAGTGTGGGTCATATAGATATCATCATGTTAGTGTGGGTCATATAGATATCATAGTGTGGGTCATATAGATATCATAGTGTGGGTCACATAGATATCATCATAGTGTGGGTCATATAGATATCATAGTGTGGGTCATATAGATATCATTCATAGTGTGGGTCATATAGATATCATAGTGTGGGTCATAGACATCATAGTGTGGGTCATATAGATATCATAGTGTGGTCATATAGATATCATAGTGTGGGTCATATAGATATATCATAGTGTGGGTCATATAGATATCATAGTGTGGGTCATATAGATATCATTATAGATATCATAGTGTGGGTCATATAGATATCATAGTGTGGGTCATATAGATATCATTCATAGTGTGGGTCATCATATAGATATCATAGTGTGGGTCATATAGATATCATAGTGTGGATCATATAGATATCATAGTGTGGGTCATATAGATATCATAGTGTGGGTCATATAGATATCATAGTGTGGGTCATATAGATATCATAGTGTGGGTCATATAGATATCATAGTGTGGGTCATATAGATATCATAGTGTGGGTCATATAGATATCATAGTCATAGTATCATAGTCATATAGATATCATAGTGTGGGTCATATAGATATCATAGTGTGGGTCATATCATGGGAGTCATATAGATATCATAGTGTGGGTCATATAGATATCATAGTGTGGTCATATAGTCATAGTGTAGTCATATAGATATCATAGTGTGGGTCATATAGATATCATAGTGTGGGTCATATAGATATCATTCATAGTGTGGGTCATATCATCATAGTGTGGGTCATATAGATATCATAGTGTGGGTCATATAGATATCATCATAGTGTGGGTCATATAGATATCATAGTGTGGGTCATATAGATATCATATCATAGTGTGGGTCATATAGATATCATAGTGTGGGTCATATAGATATCATAGTGTGGGTCATATAGATATCATAGTGTGGGTCATATAGATATCATAGTGTGGGTCAGATCATAGTGTGGATCATATAGATATCATCATAGTGTGGGTCATATAGATATCATAGTGTGGATCATATAGATATCATAGTGTGGGTCATCATACATATAGATATCAGTAGTGTGGGTCATATAGATATCATAGTGTGGGTCATATAGATATCATAGTGTGGGTCATATAGATATCATAGTGTGGGTCATATAGATATCATAGTGTGGGTCATATAGATATCATAGTGGTATCATATAGATATCATAGTAGATAGATATCATAGTGTGGGTCATATAGATATCATAGTGTGGGTCACATAGATATCATTCATAGTGTGGGTCATATAGATATCATAGTGTGGGTCATATAGATATCATTCATAGTGTGGGTCATATAGATATCATAGTGTGGGTCAAATAGATATCATTCATAGTGTGGGTCATATAGATATCATAGTGTGGGTCATATACATATCATAGTGTGGGTCAGATCATAGTGTGGATCATATAGATATCAGTGTGGGTCATATAGATATCATAGTGTGGGTCATATAGATATCATAGTGTGGGTCATATAGATATCATAGTGTGGATCATATAGATATCATAGTGTGGGTCATATAGATATCATAGTGTGGGTCAAATAGATATCATAGTGTGGGTCATATAGATATCATAGTGTGGGTCAAATAGATATCATAGTGTGGGTCATATAGATATCATAGTGTGGGTCATATAGATATCATAGTGTGGGTCATATAGATATCATAGTGTGGGTCATATAGATATCATAGTGTGGGTCAAATAGATATCACAGTGTGGGTCATATAGATATCAGTGTGGGTCATATAGATATCATAGTGTGGGTCATATAGATATCATAGTGTGGGTCATATAGATATCATAGTGTGGGTCATATAGATATCATAGTGTGGGTCATATAGATATCATAGTGTGGGTCACATACACATAGTCTTGTTCACATAGACGTCAGTGTGGGGCATCACGTACCTTTCAGATTTTACTATTACTCAATGTCATCCATAGCCCGCTAGAGAGATCAGATAATGAAACACAAATATTTTACTGAATGTTAAAATTTGTATCAATCAGCAACGTTACAGCTATGTTACAACTTTTGTTAATTTACTGCAATCTTGCACATACAGCAGAAGTTGAGCTCCATGACCTCAGCTGATAATACAGTCTACTTCATACAATCCTGTGATCCTATAATGAACAATCCATGCTATCAGGTAACCATGACACACAAGCCATTAAGTCACTGAAACCAAGATTGATAAGTCGCCTCATGTGACAAGCATGGATTGATGTCAGTCTTTCCTCACCAGGAATACCCACATGGGCCCCATCTAGATGTCTATGGACAACAAGCACCGGATATTTAGTCAAACCGGCCTACCTCATCCTCGTACTGTTTATGTACATGTGTCAGCTGCTGGTTGAGGTCAGTGATCTCCGACACCTTGGTCTCTACAGCTGCCTCCACCTGTAACAGTCAGAGAGTTGGACTTCACATCACTTTGTGGGAGGAAAGCCAGGAGTGCTGCGTGTCTCAGGCGCTTACTCGTTTGGTGAAACCCACGAGTATGGTAATGGTACAGCGCTAGAAACACAATCAGGGTAAACCACGACTTATGTTAAGCTATGATTAAAAACATCTAGCAATGTCAGCCTTTTATTTTTAGAGGGCCTTGTTTAGGATAAATGGGTTTTTTAGATTAAAAACATTGTTTTAACAAGCTTACATTCAGCCTTACTAGTGCTTATACCTACCTGTTAAGCTACCTACCTTAAGTCGAGTGGAAACGAGAAACACAAAACAACCCCACCTGTGTAATTACCTCCCTTTCCCTGTCACCAATCTTTACGGAGCCTAAGGCCAAAAAGCCGTAGAAGAGCGACAAAAAGGCCAAAGTCCAGAGGGGTGGATGGGGGGGACTAAACCATACATCTGAATGTAAGCTTGTTAAAACAATGTTTTCAATAAAAAACAACAACATGTTTTAGCTTACATTCAGACGTAGTAATGCTTTATCCGTCGGCAGGCGGTAGGGGACAAAGCTGAACCAGTAGATTGCCTAAGTTAAGCCGACACACCCCTGGTGACACGTAGTATTGACAGACTTCACAAAGAGGGTAAAAGTCTTCTTCACAAAGTCGTAAAGAATGAAACAACAACTACACGATCGCAACAATCTACAAGAACATTAGGCCGACCGGCTCTGTATGTAAGCAAGTAGAAAAATGATGAAGGATCGAGGATGCAAATATCAATGACAGAACTTCACTAAAAAGATACAGCATGTGCAGTATACCAGGTAACAACGTCCTGCGGGAACAGTGACCAAGTGAACTGTAAACCACAACAAGCGGTGAAGCAAACATGGATCATAATACTGCCAGGCAATAAAGAACAAGAGTGAATCACATTCACCAATGTGAAGTCGAGATACATGAAGTCAAGAGTCACTGACGACGGGCGGTGGGAAGTTGTTGTGCAACAACTAGTGGCCCAAACTGCTGGATGCCAGCAACATCTGCTGTCGAGACATCCCGCAAATGGTGAGAGGCAAAAACCGAGGTTGATTTGTAGAGAGCAGTCATCATGGAGGGCAAATGTCGATGCAAGCGCCTGAACTTTGTGAGGGTGGGAAGAGGATGGTGGATCCATATTCTGTGCAGCATATACAAGGAGAATCACAGCCCATAACCATTAAGAAAGAGTATTCCTGGTGATCTCTGACTTGGAGGTTGTAGATAATGGGATGAACAATTCTTTTGACGTGATTCAGAACATTGAAGGCAAATGCGTAAAGCATACACCGGGCAAAGGGACACGTCAACATGATCTTGAGAACCCAGAATGGCAGAAAGTGGAGGAGTGTGAAACGTTCTAGCCTCCTGGCCAGGAAGCTGATTCTTGGCGAGAAAATCCCACCGTAAGCCAAGCTGGACATCGCCGTGGACACATTGGTCAAACTGGACCCGACCATAATCGATAGCATGAAGATCAGACATCCTAGCCGCCATAGCTAAGGGGAGGAGAAACACCGTCTTTTGAGTCAGAAGGTCAAAAGAGACTGTATCCAGTGGTTCATAGGAGTTGCTAGTAAGATCACGAAGAACGACAGTAAGATCCCAAGCAGGGGAACTGAATTTACGGACTTGATCTTCCCAAAGGGGCTTTTGAAGGGCAGGAACTTTCGTGAGCTTGTCTCCCAAACCCGATGAGACACCCAAACTGACTGCCGCCAAATAAGTCGAGATGGTCAAACCCTTGAGACACCGGGATGACCGAAGGTGGACTAAGAAGTCAACCACCTGTAGCAGAAAATGGAACAAACCCCTGCTTCTCAGCGAAAGTGAAGATGGCAACCCACTTATCATCATACAGTTTACGAGTCGTGACACGATGAGCAGAGGAGATAAGAGCGGCATGCAGCCTTAGCCGAGTAACCCTTCTTGATCAACGAGGCTTTGAGCAATCCCACCCGTGAAGTTGGAAGTTGTGTAACCCCACGTGCAGGGCATTGCTGTGTGGATGCAACAAAAGATCATCCCAGAATGGGAGAGCAAGTGGAGGCCAATCGATGACGCGTAGCACTTCCAGGAACCACATCCTGGCCGGCCAATAAGGCGCGACCAAAAGCAGACGATGTCAGTTGGTCTGTCGAATCTTCTCCAAGATTAAAGGTAATTAATGGTTGGAGGGAACGCATAAGCGTCGAGACCTTCCCACGATATCGCCAGGGAGTCATGGTCCCAAGTCAGCTGATCCGGAACAGGAGACACGAGGGAGGCGTTATTGAAGAGATGAGACTGAAATGGAGGCAGGCTTATAGAGATGCCTACGCAAATGTTTGATGGCAGGAGCCACCACTCCAGATGACAACAGAGATGGACTGGCAAGTGAAGCAGACGATCGGAAAATGGGCAAAGAAATCTCTGCAGGGGACGAAGGTGGAGGCGACCACGAGAAGTGAGATCCAGTGCTGACGTCAACAGCCCTAGAACCTCATGGCGCATGCAGAAGGTCGGGAATGCAGGCGACAATCTTGTGAGCTAGCAGATCGAGTGTGGTAGTCATCTCCAGATGTAAGTCCGACAAGATTTGATTCCTTGCATAACGTCGTCTAGGCGACCCTGATAGCTTGGCGATGGAGAAAATCCACAACAGGCTTCATAATTCGAGTGAAAAGGTACGGGGCCATGGAAATTCCAAATGGCAGGGCCGCCCATTGGTAATGAATGCCTTGGTAGATGAAGTGGAGATACTTCTGGAACCCTTAGTGAATCGGAACAAGCAGATAGGCGTCCTGCAGGTCGATCGATATGAGAAAATTGTTTGGCAAAATCATCTGACGGAGAGAACTGAGATTATGGTGAACTTGTCCGGCAGATGGAGATACGTGGCAATGAAATGCTTTAGATTAAAGATGAGGTGCACTTTGTATGAGTTCTTCTTCGGAACCAGGAAGACAGGGGAGTAAAAAGCCGCTTTCTCTACCATCGTGTTGATGGCCTCCATCAGCCAGGCCGTTGGTGGAGTTCCTGAGAAAGGGAACGATGTTAACGGCGGAATCTTGTCTAGGTGAGGTGCATAGCCATTTGCCAAAACTCATTGAACATTTGGGTTGTCTAAAATGTCCCATCTCTGAGAAAAGAACTGAAGCCTCCCCCCAAACCGGTAGTGTTTCTGACGGTTGAGCCAATGGAGGAGATTCCGGATCTCTCTCTGGTGAGGGAGGATAGTCATTTACTCCCCCGCGTGCCCTTGCCACCCTGCCTAGGCATTGAAAAGGACACCCGTCTCCTGTCCCCAACAGATCATCGGTCACGACTTGTCGATCAGTTGGCTCGAAAAACCTGCTGAACATGACAATGTTGGTATCATTGTTCAGGAACGTTCTGCACCGGTTGGCGACGAAAAAGTGATCTAGTATGCCATTCCAGGAGCTTAGACATCGAGAGAAAACCTTGTCGTTGAAGTTGAGTGACGTGCTCTGAGTGTGTGCTAGCGCGTCCGAAGTCCACTTATGTCCACATGACAGTGTAGCCGTTGCCATCCGATCATCATCCGATAGGTCATCCTTATCCTTAAAGAATTTATTGAGACAATCCATCGCAGTGGAAACCATGGCCAAAAGTAACAGTTGATGCCACGCTGCAGTGTCTACAGACTCCAAATGTTTACCATCAATGGGGTCAGAAGTAGTTACGGGAAACAGTAATGCCCAGTCCAGATCTTTAGAGACAGGAGCAGTACAGTCCATCCCATATATGGGAATCTTATGGCGCAATTCAGGTTTAGCAAATGGCTGAGATGGCAACGCCGCGGCAAAAGATGTGTTCATGTCAGTTTCGCAAACGAGGAAGGTGGCGGAAAACGGAAAGAGTCCGGGATGTCCCCAAGCTGAAAACCTCCAGCTGTGGGGTTTGATGTATCGTAGGCGTCCATGAAGTTTGACATCCATGCCAACACTTCATTGTCCCATGGAGGTGCAGGTGAGCTATCATCCCCTTCATCCAAAACCAGATTAGGCGTGGAGGGAACAGTCCATGGCGAAGTCGCAGTAGGCACTGTAGAGAACGACCCTTTTCAACAGGATCGAACGATGGAAAAAGCACAGTACGCAAATGTGTCACAATGTCAGCAGGTAAAGTAAGAGAAGGAGGAGCCGCCGCCAAACTAATCAGAGAGATATCAGGGTGCACACTGGATGAAGTAATAGTTGCCGAAGGAGGTTGACGTCGCAGAGAACGACTACGCGTGTAAGTTTAAGGAGAACAACGACGTGGAGAAGAGTAATCCTCCTCGTAAGAACGCCCCCGACCATAACGTGAAGGAGTAGCTGACCGCGACCTGTCATAACGAGGAGGGCGATCATACCGAGACAGACGAGAATCATCAAACTGCCGAGACGACTCAGTATTGGTTCTATCATAGTCGTCATAATGAAAATCCATATAGTGTTCAGGCACTCGATCCTCGGAACGCTCAGAACGATCCCGTCAATCCATTGAGTCGTAACAATGTGATCATCCGCATTGATCCTCCCACTAGATTCCGTCTTAGCTGGAGTAGGTTTCGATAAACCTTACAAGGAATCACATCAACAGTAGATTGTAAATCCATCTTGTCATTAGATCCATTCAACACAGGCGCTGTACGTTCCCTCTGTCTGACATCGTAAAGATCATCACTTCAAATTGAGTCGCTATCGTCTGCGTTGGTAGTCGACAACCCACTTCTTGACCCCAATACCGGTCTGTCAGACAATGTACCCGGATCGACACAAGATGGCAACATGTCAGCTGGAGACGGCTCAGTCAAACTTTTGTCTCTGGACGGTAAATCTTTGATGACAACAGCCTCCTTCGCCTGATTCCGACATAAAGGACGCTTCTTCTTATAACGCCGATCAGCCTCACGCTTAGCAATAGCTTTCAGATAAGCATTGAAATCCTCCTCGGACAACTTATCACACAGGATGCATTTCAGTTCAACAGAACATGGAGCATAGACGTCCTTCTCAAGGCAAGATGGACAACTACTGTGGGGGGTTAGCCTTAGAAAGATTCTGTTGACATTTTAAACATCAACATGTGCTCACAAGATATAGTGCAAAAAGTGTTTAAAGTCACAGAAAAAATAGTTACCGAAGCAACAAAAATGTTTACACAAAGAAAAAGGTAAGTAAAAACTTTACTTCTCAAACTCTATCAACACTTCCAACAAAGGAAAATATAGAACTCTATTCCGCACATCCTACAGGTACGAAGCACAGGAAAGATTGGTGACAGGGAAGGGGGAGGTAATTGCACAGGTGGGGTAGTTTTGTGTTTACACCTCGTTTCCACTCAACTTACGGTAGGTAGCTTAACAGGTAGGTATAAGCATTAGTATGGCTGAATGCAAGCTAAAACATAGCCTTTCAGCTGGAACTTTCTACATAGTATCTCTTGATCACTGGTAAATTCTCCTGGGATCGAGAGATACTAGGTATTACTATGGTTGGGATAACACTTTCTAGTACTATTTTGGTGCTGTGTCCTGTCAGGGATTCGAACCCACTCTCTTGGAGTCAAGCACCTAATTGCCAGCACACAGGCAGCAAAAGTGTGGGTTCGAATCCTGAATTGGACTCAACCTAAAGTACTGGAAACGTAATCCCAAATAACATGTAACAATTGACCACTTTCTACAAGTCATCGTATATACACATATTTTTGTGTTGAATACAATCTACATAATACACATTAATTTGAATAATTTAGGAAAATGTCACGAATGATGTAAAATCAAACAGTAAATGATGCAAATATTTCAGTGGAAACAAACTTACAACCTTTGAACTTATAGCTACTTTCTAAGTGAACCATCAGGCTACCGAAGTGTTCATAAATCACAATGCTTTTAATAGTCTCTTAGATACATATTATGTATGGTTCCTAATGCTCATCGGAAGAATGGCAACATTAAATTGTTTGAAAACATTGTTTATTGTTTAACATCCATCCCTTCAGCCCTGAGGTAGAATTTATCTACCTACACCCCTGTGGTACATATATATGAATGTCAGTGAATACATAGATATGTTCTACAAGTGAAAAATGAGAACAGTTTTTATGGATATTCAACTTCTTTATTCAGTACAGGCAGCGTTTCAACATAGATTCTAATGTCATCAAGCAACATTAGAATCTATGTCGAAACGTCACCTATACAGAATAAAGAAGTTGTATATCCATAGAAATTGTCCTCATTTTTCCTCTGCTCAACTTCTAGAATGCCAATCAAAGATGTTCTGCACATTCCTGGGACAAAGAGAGTGGTCAAGGGGAGATAACTGTACCTTCTCCAGGTTGAGTTTGAGGTCATTAAGCACCTGCTCCTTCTGGTGGAGCTGGTCCTGGAAGTCGGACTTGGACTCAGACAGCTGCTTCTGGAGATCTGCCATGGCTTTCTCCTTCTCATCCAAAGCCTTACGAGTCTGACAACAGACATTATTGGGATAAATGTATACAGATCAGTTCAAACAGATGGATAACTGACTGCACCCATACTGGCCCTGGGCCTGCAATCATCATCGACCATATATTTCTTTAATTCCTATTCCTGTCCTAGAATGGATCCAATTATTTCAAACTGTTGACTGTCCCATGCCCATCCTTTCATGAGATCCTACTGTCCAACGTTTCACCCATGACATCCTGTCCAATCTTGCTGAGCATAGGAGTGTGTCTAACTCTAATCCTCATTAGAATACACCTGTTTCACATGCGATCCTCTTCTTAATCAGATAGTCTTATCCTACGCCTCAACTAAATGGGATCCTCTCCTCATATGCTAATGAAATCCTCTCATTCAATGTCTCACCCTAATGAAATCCTCTCATTCAACGCCTCACCCTAATTTGATCTTCTCATCTCATGTCTCACCCTAATATGATCTTCTCATCCCATATCTCATCCTAATATGATCTTCTTACCCATGTCTCACCCTAATGAGATCCTCTTGTCCCATGTCTCACCCTAATGAGATCCTCTCATCCCATGTCTCATCCAAATTAGTTCCTCTCATCCCATGTCTCACCCTAATGAGATCTTCTTACCCCATGTCTCATCCTAGTGAGATCCTCTCATCTCATGTCTCATCCTAATATGATCTTCTCATCCCATATCTCACCCTAATGAGATCCTCTCATCCCATGTCTCACCCTAATGAGATCCTCTCATCCCATGTCTCACCCTAATGAGATTCTCTCATCCCATCCCCCACCCTAATATGATCTTCTCATCCCATATCTCATCCTAATATGATCTTCTTACCCATGTCTCACCCTAATGAGATCCTCTTGTCCCATGTCTCACCCTCATGAGATCCTCTCATCCAATGTCTCACCCTAATGAGATCCTCTCATCCCATGTCTCATCCAAATTAGTTCCTCTCATCCCATGTCTCACCCTAATGAGATCTTCTTACCCCATGTCTCATCCTAGTGAGATCCTCTTGTCCCATGTCTCACCCTAATATGATCTTCTCATCCCATGTCTCACCCTAATGAGATCCTCTCATCCCATGTCTCATCCTAATTAGATCCTCTCATCCAATGTCTCACCCTAATGAGATCCTCTCATCCCATGCCTCACCCTAATATGATCTTCTCATCCCATGTCTCACCCTAATATCTTCTCATCCAATGTCTCACCCTAATAGGATCCTCTCATCCCATGTCTCATCCTAATCAGTTCCTCTCATCCCACGCCTCACCCTAATTTGATCTTCTCATCCCATGTCTCACCCTAATGAAATCTTCTCATCCCATGCCTCACACTTATATGATCTTCTCATCCCATGTCTCACCTTAATGAGATCTTCTCACCCCATGCCTCACCCTAATATGACCTTCTCATCCCATGCCTCACCCTAATAAAATCTTCTCATCCCATGCCTCACCATAATAACATCTTCTCGTCAAAACAACTTTACCTTGATAAGATCCTCCCCAACCTCAGACAGCTTCCCAGTTCTCAACTGGTTCTCCTGCTCTGATTGGCTGATCTTAACATCTCTTTCATCCAGGGTGGCCTGCAGCTCTGACAGCTGACAGGTTCTCTCTGTCAGCTGCAGCTGTACCTCTTCCAGCTTGCCATGCAGCTGTAACAACCAAACACAGACACATCAGTACAATGAGGCACTCTGTTTCACAGACACTTCAGTACACCGAGGCACTCCTTCACAGTCTGATCTGAGTTGCAGATTGTTTTGTAATATTTTAAGATTCCAATCACCCAAAAACTCAAAAGTAAGGGATATTTTTTCCACATAAAGTTAAATGTTCATCTATGTGAATACCCTTTTAAAAATGAAACAGATTTAACACATGCAATTTGTTGAATGGCCTAAGTAAGATGTGAAGGAACGAACTGTGGCTAGCCAATATCGTAACTGGTAACCTATACGTAATTGCACAAACAAAACGTGAAGATCATTGTGAGAACTTGTCGTCAGCATGTGGTGTGGTCTGGTTGATGCATGGCATCAATCGATGCTCATGACGTTAATCACTGGATTGTCTGGTCCTGACTTGATTATTTACAAATCGCCATCAGACAATTGGAATATTGCTGAGTACAACAAACAATAGGACAACGTAAGCACAAAAACATTCTTAGTCTAGATACATCTCAATTCCCAGAGTCAACAAGCCATTATTTCCGATAAATAACAAGCTGTCTCTCCTGGTTCCAGTCTTCGAAACAACATTTACTTTCATCAAGATCCTCCAATATTCAGAACATGTTGAGTTTTATTGCACAGAATTTTCAACATTTGCCCTGGAATACCTGCACCATACTATATAACAGATATGATCGTTACCTTATTCAGATCCTGCCCAAGCTCTGCCACGTTGACCTCGTTGGTGCGCAGCTTGTTCTCCAGGTTACGCTTCTCCTCCTCCAGGCTCGTGTAGTCATCCTGCATTTTGGTGATGGCTGTCTGCTGGTCCCCCGAGGCCAGTCTCACATCCTCCAGCTGCTGGGTCAACTGAAAGGAAGGCGACATCAACAGCCTTACAGGTCAGTTTGAGTGATATCACCTAAGATACAGCAACACAGGTTAGTGGTCAGTTTTAGAGATATCACCCGAGATACAGCCACATAGGTCTCAAGTTAGACAGGTCCATGTGAAAGATACCAAGTTACACCCATACAGGTTCACCTCTCAGACATACACATTTGTATAAACAACATATTCTGCATTCCTCAGCACTGCACATATCAGGGCCTAGATTTTCGAAGCTCTCTTAGCGCTAAGATAGTCGCAAGTTAATGTTAATGTATGGCACTTACGACTATCTTAGAGCTAAGAGAGCTTCGAAAATCTAGGCCCAGGACAATAAGACAGGACTGAATATCCACATTCAATGAACACACATCTGTACAGGAGTAGATTACCTTTGCTTTGTGCTCAATGAGGTCTCTGATCTCGGCTTCCTTTTGCTGCAGATTTGAAGCCAGGTGCTGAGACCCTGAGTCTCGCTCACTGAGAGCAGTCTGAAGACTGAAATATAATTTAAGTGGATTCAGAAAACAGATCTAAAAAGACAGATTGGGCTTCAATGTTTAGCTCAAGAAGACGCAATTATTACCTGGTGTAGACAGTTTAGTGAGTGAGTTTAGTTTTACGCCGCACTCAGCAATATCCCAGCTATATGGCGGCGGTCTGTAAATAATCGAGTCAGGACCAGACAATCCAGCGATCAACAGCATGAGCATCGATCTGCGCAATTGGGAACCGATGACATGTGTCAACCAAGTCAGCGAAACTGACCACCCAATCCCGTTAGTTGCCTCTTACGACAAGCATAGTCGCCTGTTATGGCAAGCACATGGGTTGCTGAAGACCTATTATATCCTGGATCTTCACGGGTCGGTGTAGACAGAGTCTTTTTGTTATCATGTGTACAGGTCCCTGCCCATGTTAAGGACACTTGGTATCATGTTATATCCAAGTTTAAGGAAAAGGCTTATTCTAAGCATAACTGAGTAAGTATACTGGGTAGTGTTGTAGGAATGACATTTACCACAATTGCCTCAGCCCCAGCCACAAAGCAATGTTAGCACTAAGAGAACTCACAATCTTTAGCACTGGCAAATTGTAGTACTGAGATCACACCTTCCACAAATCTATCTTAGTGCTATGAAAGTTGTTAGTCTGTATCAAAATATGGAGTTATGTCTTCTTAGCGCTAAGATTTGTGGAATGAGGCCCTGGACTGTGAATTGTCCGAAACCTACTCACAGTTTACAAGACAACAACATACTTTATGTAAAATGGGTGGTGGGGTAGCATAGTGGTTACCATAGCGTTCGCTCGTCACGCTGAAGACCGGGGTTCAATTCCCCACGTAGGAACAATGTGTGAAGCCCATTTCTGGTGTCCCAGAAAGTGGCATAAAACGAAACTCACTCACTCACTTTACGTGGCAGAACCTAACGATAAGAACTACGGTATTTCATCCCAATGCTTGTCATCTGTTAATACAACCCACTCACTGTGCCACCTCCTCCAGTTTGGGGGCCTTCTCCAGCTCAACCTTCAGTTCGTTATACTTTACACTGGACCTGTGATGGAAAGACGTTGATGTAATGACAGTACTAACATAATCACTTGATGTCAGATAAGGTGAAATGGGGGATAAAGATGTGTTCAAAATTACTGCAAATATTTACAACAAACATGTTTGTGTGTGGCTGCTTGTACTTGTCAAGACATGCCCGTTTGATCATGCTAACTTATTGTTTGTTTGTTTCTGTGTTTGTTGTTTAACGCCGCACACTGCAATATTCCAGCTATATGGTCTGTAAATAATTGAATCTGGACCAGACAATCCAGTGATCAACATCATGAGCATCAAACTCGATGGGATACGATGACATATGTCAGCCAAGTCAAGCATAGGTCGTTGAAGACCAGTTCTAGCCCATATCTTCATGGGTACTAGTTTACTGAGATACATCGCAGTTTGAAATAGATAACTTGTTCTGACACAATATACTGAGCGAACCAGTCCTCTTAATGCCAAGCACCATGCAGGGAAACAAGCATCTTTTAATACCATTTGGTACAACACGGCCAAGGAAATGAAGCACTGACCTCATTTCAAGGCTGACAGCGTATCCAGTTCACAAAGGAACTGCCTATTATCTGTTATCTATTATCACAGAGGAATGACCTCCTGATTTCAAGGCTGACACTGCATCCAGTTCACAAAGGAACAGCCGTTATCTGTTATCTATTATCACAGAGGAATGACCTCCTGATTTCAAGGCTGACACTGCATCCAGTTCACAAAGGAACTGCCTATTATCTGTTATCTATTATCACAGAGGAATGACCTCCTGATTTCAAGGCTGACACTGCATCCAGTTCACAAAGGAACAGCCTGTTATCTGTTATCTATTATCACAGAGGAATGACCTCCTGATTTCAAGGCTGACACTGCATCCAGTTCACAAAGGAACTGCCTATTATCTGTTATCTATTATCACAGAGGAATGACCTCCTGATTTCAAGGCTGACACTGCATCCAGTTCACAAAGGAACAGCCTGTTATCTGTTATCTATTATCACAGAGGAATGACCTCCTGATTTCAAGGCTGACACCGTATCCAGTTCACAAAGGAACAGCCTGTTATCTGTTATCTATTATCACAGAGGAATGACCTCCTGACCAAGGCTGATACCCTATCCAGAGAGAACATCCTTTAACCACTGGAATGATGGGTGATGAATGTGATATGTGCTCTACTTACTCCTGGTATTTCTCCTGCAGTGCCTTGAACTCCCGCTCCAGGTCGTCCTTTTCCTTCTCCTGCTCCAGAGTCATCTTGTCCATCAGAGTCTGAACACTGATGAGTTCCTGCTTCAGCACCAGAACGTCATCAGCCCCGGGCCTGCAAACACCAACACCTTTACTATCAACCTTGTCTCAAGTGACTGAGTGAGTGTTGTCTTGGAATATCAATATTCAAGCCATATTTAAAACCTGAAAGGAGCATCACCTCTGGGACAACTGGGACTCCACATTCCGGACGTAGCTATCCTTTTCATCCAGCTGCACCTGCAACGTAGACATCATGGTCTATAAGTGCTGTAACTAGTACTGACGGCACTGCACTACATACAATACATAAACAGTGTGTTTTAATAAAACCACTGCTCATTCTGATTTAGTATGTGAGAGGCGTAATTTAGGAGCTATTGAAGATGAGTTCCATTTTGTTCTTGTTTGTCCTTTCTTTAAGGAAAGTCGAACAAAACTCATACCAAATGTTTTTCATCATTATCCAACACAGCAAAAGTTTGTTCAACTCCTGTCTTGTAAACATAATCAAAGGTTTAGCCATTTACTTGAAATGAAACATGTATGTTTGTAGTTGAGCTCCCACACCAAATGTACATTTATATCCATATGTTTTTAATATGTATGAATTACTTTGTATTCGTACTCTGGGCCACACGGTGTCCAATACTTAATAAAGTCTCTCTCTCTAGTGAGACCCACAACTGAACTCAACCTATATGATGGCGGCCCGTAAATAATCAAGCCTGAACCAAACAATCCAGTGATTGCAGTCATGAGCATTGAATTAACCAACTGGGATAGACATGTGTCAACTAAGTCAGTGAGCGTAACCATCTGATCAAGTAAGTCGCCTCTTATGACAAGCATGGGTTAGTGAAGAACACTTCTAAACCAGATCTTTACAGATCAATTGATTAGAACCTAAACCCTGAATCTGATTACTTTTAAAATGTTTGTGAGGGGTTTAAAGTGAGTGAGTGAGTTGGGTTTTACGCCGCTTTTAGCAATATTCCAGCAATATCACGGCGGGGGACACCATAAAAGGGCTTCACACATTATGTCCATGTGGGGATTCGAACCCGTGTTGTCAGCGTGACGAGCCGACGCTTTAAGCATTAGGCTACCCCACCGCCCCGAGAGGGGTTTAAAACCTAGAACATCAAATCTGAGTGTGTTTGTGAGTGAATGTTGCTTTATGCTGCAGTGATCAATATATCAGATGTACCACATAAGTCTGTAAATACCAGAATCTGGTCCTGGCAAACCAGAGGTTGATGGCATGAACAAACACCTATGCAGTCAGTGCATGATGACAAAAAATCTGTCAAGTAACAATTGCAATGTAATTGCCATGTCAGCCGACTGTTATAACTGGCACTGAACCTTGTCCGTTACAGGCCATCTGTAGTGTAAGAGTCTGGCCTCACCTTCAGTGTACGGATGTGGTCCTCCAGCGCTGCCCTTTGACCTTCGCTCTCATCAGCCTTGGCCTTCACACTCACCATCTCACCAGCCTAGAAAGGTCATTGAAAAGTCTACATCTCAGTTACATACCCACAGGCTTAATGTGAACAAACAAACTCCTGTGGATCCCTCACATGCAGACAACCTCCAAAGTATACGAAACATCAAGTTTGATATCTTTCTGAGCCAAAAGAATTTTATATCAAGCAAAAAAAGGACACGTTTTCTGTTATGATGTCGTATATTAACAAAACACCTACAAATCTGTGTCTATCTGCCTACTGATCATTTGACTCCATAAGTGATGATTGAATCCTCGTCCCTCAGTGGTTTGCTACCATGAGAGCATGTGCAACATAAGGGAATTGTTTTCTCTTACAGGTACTTTCTTTAAAGCAGTTTAAGTTTAGTCTCTGCTTTTTCGGGGATCATTTCACCTAAATCTCCTCATGTCAGCAATATTCCAGCTGTGTTACTGCAGCCTGGAAATAATCAAGTCTGGACCAGGCAATCCACTGACTGTTGCTGTGAGAAAAGATCCCCACTGTGGGGATGCATGACAATCAATCATTTCATCACCTGATCCACATTTTCACCTATTAATAGCAGCCTAGGTTGAGGGGGACCAATTTCAGTGAGAATCCCCCCAAAGAAGAGCTGTAAGGTAACGACAGTCTGTCAGTACTGACCATGTGTGCAGTTTTCTGTTCAATCTTCTCCTTCTCCTCCTTCACGGCGTTCAGTTGACCTGTGACCTCGGACACCTGGGCCTGGAGGTGGTGCACCTCAGAACTCACTGCAATAAGTGAGTGAGTTTAGTTTTACGCCGCACTCAGCAATATTCCAGCTATATGGCGGCGGTCTGTAATTAATCGAGTCTGGACCAGACAATCCAGTGATGAACAGCATGAGCATCGATCTTCGCAATTGGGAACCGATGACATGTGTCAGCGAGCCTGACCACCCGATCCCGTTAGTCGCCTTTTACGACAAGCATAGTCGTCTTTAGTGGCAAGCATGGGTTGCTGAAGACCTATTCTACCTCGGATCTTCACGGGTCTCACTGCAATAAGTGGGGGTCAGTGACATGAGGTCATTTGAACCTTAGAAATGAAGGACTGTGATACTGGCAAACAACTGGTTGTGTGATCATTGATAATTCTGAAGCAAAGACCCATCTCTCGGAGATTTTAACAAAGAGGAACTGGCACACAGGGTGGTGAACTTGGATTTCATTAATCAGTCAGATAGATTGTAATCATGGTTATGAATGACTTTTTTGATCCTCCAAATCTGTTTTCCTGCTTTAAATTTGTGTAGTGAAGTCATGAGTGAGTGAGTGAATTTAGTTTTACGCGGCACTCAGCAATATTCCAGCTATATGGCGGCGGTCTGTAAATAATCGAGTCTGGACCAGACAATCCAGTGATCAACAGCATGAGCATCGATCTGCGCAATTGGGAACCGATGACAGGTGCCAACCAAGTCAGCGAGCCTGACCACCCGATCCCGTTAGTCGCCTCTTACGACAAGCATTGGTTACTGAAGATCAATTCTAACCCGAATCTCCACGGGTCGGTGAAGTCATGATGCCATCAGGCATGCCCAGGTGTATTTTAGAGAGGGACATAATACAACAAATGGAGCAACAATGATACTGCTGACTTGTTTCAATCACGCATTTCACTGGATGATAATTCTTGGCATTGTGACATTCAAACCAAACAAGTAAGTTGGTACATGGTATTATCGGATCAGATTGGGTATGGTATACCCTAGAATGGGAGAAGATGGTGACAGCAAACACATTGGATAACATGAACTCACAGAGGGTTCTACTTTCTTCGGAGCCTTTCAACTGCATCTTCAGCAATTCCAGCTCATTCTTTGTCTGAAGTGGAAATACAAGAATGAAAGACTGACTGACTGAGTTTGGTTTTACGCCGCTTTTAGCAATATTCCAGCAACATCACGGTGGGGGACACCAGAAATGGGCTTCACACATTGTGCCCATGTGGGGATTCGAACCCGGGTCTTCAGCTTGACGAGCCAACGCTTTAACCATTAGGCTAATCCACCGCCCCAAAAATGAAAGAAAGTGACGGACTCAACCATAATAAACTGTGTATCACACAAGGAATCAGACTTTCATGCCATTATTTTAAGCATCCTGAAAATTGGTCATTCAGGAACATGATCTGGGAGAGAAGGTGAGAATTATCATCATCTCACATAGTTTTAAGGTGACAGACATAGCTGCGGCTATTGTATTACGTGTTGGCTGAATGAGAAAATACATACACATTTGTGATGCTAATACAAAACAGTCCATGAAAATAAGCTCTGACCCCCCAAGGGAACTTCTAGAGTAACAACTGACAAGGTGCCGGCATGTGAAATCCCCTGTGGTGCAAGCTCACTCGGAACTCAAGACTCCTCTCCCTACACCTTATTAACCCGCTTCTGGGGGACAGCCTGGGAATGTATGTGAGTTCCTGAGGAGTACCCACCTCAGCAGATATGGCTTCCGGAACCTCCCCATTCTGCTGATTCTTCTCCAGCTCCTTCTTCAGTTCTTCAGTGTACCACTTCTCCTCCTTCAGAGACACCCTCAGGTCCTCGATCTCCTGTCTCAAGGCCAACACATCGCCGTCTCTATGGAAACCACAAGTGACCTTGACATCTTTATCACAGTAGTATATACCAAACTCATAGAGACCAATATTACTGAAAACGGTACACATTTTCATGGGCAAGTACAATGACGTAGGTGAGGAACATTGTATTTTTGGATATTAACTCAATATTAATGAAGCATCTTTTTATTGAACTGATTATATAGCAATCTATATCTGGGACCACTAAATTGATGAGTGAATGTTGTTTTATGCACATTCAGCAATATTCCAGCTTTGTCACAACCCGCAAACAATCAGTCTGAGCAAGCAAACAAGTGGCTTATAGCATCAGCTACAACACTCACTTACACCGACACACAATGTTCAAAGCAACCTTAGAGCTAAGACTATTTTAAGGTATGGGAGTTAACCTTAGCGCTAAGACTATTTTAAGGTATGGGAGTTAACCTTAGAGCTAAGACTATTTTAAGGTATGGGAGTTAACCTTATCGCTAAGACTATTTTAAGGTATGGGAGTTAACCTTAGCGCTAAGACTATTTTAAGGTATGGGAGTTAACCTTAGCGCTAAGATTGCTTTGTACAACTACACCAAGGTCACATATTGTTACTGCTCTACCCTCACTCAAGTTGACTCCTATAAGCTGCATGAGATACTAATTAGAGCATGATATCGAAGCTGATCTTCACTTTTGAATACAAAGTGAATCTATCTTGTCTCTTTCAGTTAACTGAAAAATTGTCTTGTATTGGTAATTTATTAAGAGGAACAATTTTATGGATAGACAACTTCTTTATCATGTTTATTGCAATAGATGTGTCTATCCAATAGATGTGTCTACTGCAATAAACATGATATAGTTGTGTCTATTGCAATAAACATGATATAGATGTGTCTATTGCAATAAACATGATATAGATGTGTCTATTGCAATAAACATGATATAGATGTGTCTATTGCAATAAACATGATATAGATGTGTCTATTGCAATAAACATGATATAGATGTGTCTATTGCAATAAACATGATATAGATGTGTCTACTGCAATAAACATGATATAGATGTGTCTACTGCAATAAACATGATATAGATGTGTCTATTGCAATAAACATGATATAGATGTGTCTACTGCAATAAACATGATATAGATGTGTCTATTGCAATAAACATGATATAGATGTGTCTATTGCAATAAACATGATATAGATGTGTCTATTGCAATAAACATGATATAGATGTGTCTATTGCAATAAACATGATATAGATGTGTCTACTGCAATAAACATGATATAGATGTGTCTATTGCAATAAACATGATATAGATGTGTCTATTGCAATAAACATGATACAGATGTGTCTATTGCAATAAACATGATATAGATGTGTCTATTGCAATAAACATGATATAGATGTGTCTATTGCAATAAACATGATATAGATGTGTCTATTGCAGTAAACATGATATAGATGTGTCTATTGCAATAAACATGATATAGATGTGTCTATTGCAATAAACATGATATAGATGTGTCTACTGCAATAAACATGATATAGATGTGTCTATTGCAATAAACATGATATAGATGTGTCTATTGCAATAAACATGATATAGATGTGTCTATTCCAATAAACATGATATAGATGTGTCTATTCCAATAAACATGATATAGATGTGTCTATTGCAATAAACATGATATAGATGTGTCTATTGCAATAATAAAGAAGTTGTCTATCCACAAATTGTACCTCTTCATCATACCAGCTTCTAAATGCCTCTAGCAGAAACAATACTATCAGTACTACGATACATGTATGGACACTTGTTGACAGTTAGTATGGAATTAATAACTGAGCAGCTATAGTGCGTTGGTTCTATGACATTAGGTGTTTCTAAACATCATTTCTGTCGTGTATCACATCCTCCAAGTCATTTTAGAAAGAAAAGCTGTTGATTTCGTCAAGAAGAACAAATACTCCCAGGAAACAGACTTTAGTTTGTAAGTTTTAATACAAACAAGTTCCTTACTCCACTTGAAATGTGATACAAGATGGCTGATTGCTACGTTGAAAACCTGACATAGCAGAAATTGCATATTACTGGAATGGCTTGTATATTAAAACAAACGCTTGGGGTTTTGTGGGTATTACAATGTAAAACTGATTAGAAATCTTGCATATCTCTAAGGTTTGCCCTTCGCTAAACCTACACTAACCCCTGGATCCATTCCTGTTGGATCTCAAATTACCCACTTTTGATTTTACCGACCACTCCAATGTCAAGAGAAGGATAAAGAAATGGGTATATGCTGGGTAGAAAAGGGACTTGGCACTGCCAGTTTTAATGAACATGAAGACTTTCTTTTATATGTCCGTCACTGTTCCAATGTTGAATGTGTTTCAAACTCACACAGTCGATGGGACAGAATGTCATGTTGTTGATATCCCCTATTCAACACGGGTTTGTAACTTTTATTCTGATTGGTCTGTTGGACTAAGGGACCGTTCATACTTTATAGCTAGGGAGGGTGATGATGATTTTTATGGAGAAGCCATACAATGTGAATGACCCCTCCCCCCCCCCCTAAAATTTATGTACAAAGTAAGTGACCCCCACTGCATGTCATGTACAAAATCAATGACCCCACTCCCCTTCCCATAATTTCTAAGCATAAGTTTAAACATATTTTATGTACAAATTGCTACCCCCCTAGTACATGTGTACAAAACTTCTGACCCCTTCCCTCCCCAGAACAAAATGGGTGACCCCCTCTTAAAATCATCATCACCATTCTCCCACCCCACCCCCCACCCCATAAATTATGAACGGTACCCGAATACTGTACCAAATCAACTAGCAAATATAACTCTAGGGCAGGTAATTGGAAATCATGAGAACCACAGACTAGATCCAGTTGTTAGTGAGGTCTATCGAAACGTAAGCACTCTGGATACAGAAGACGGTTATTATATAATGAATATTATAGAAACTAATCCAGGCATGTAAGTAATACATTGTGAAGTGAAAGATGAGTTATATATACGTGAGTACTGGTAGTTGTCATACAAACATATTCCAACTGAACTAGAAGCAGTGACGAGAAAGTAATAGACCAGAACAGAAAGACGAAGCCAAGGAGTAGTAAGGATATTTGAGACAGTGATCGCTTGCAGAGAGACAGAGAGAAAAGTCCGACCACCTAAACAATTATACCTACCTCCTGTTTCTGTAGGGACAAAGGAAGAAATTTGAAATTTTCAGTGTCTTACTTTCACAAAAACAGAAAGCCTTAAAAATGCAACATCAGAAAAACATCTTTCTATGGCTGTTGTGAATTTTTGTCATTTTCAGCAAAGTATTTGGTCCACTAACTTGACTCCTTTATTTTTTGAAATGTGTTTAACTGTCAAATATCTAAAATAATTCAAAAGTAATTTCACATCCTCTTCCCTGAGATTACCTTTTGTGTATTTAATACATCTCCATTTTGTGGCCAGATGTGACCTATTTCTAAGCAAAGGATACTACTTGTCTACCAAAAGGATAAATTTCATCAACCAATCTTTTGCAAGAAGTGGAAAGTAATAATTGATATTGAAGTTATGATTTCATTATTGAAATTAAAAATTGTAAATACAGAAATAAAAATACTTTAAAAAACAAAACAAAAACAACATTGTAAATGCTTCACATTCTCGTTACTTATTGTGTATTTTTTTATGAGAAAACCATAAAAAAAAAGAAGTAAATGATCATTTGTTTTCCTTAAAATCTGAAGTGACTAATAATAAATATTTTTGCAAGGCTGCAAAAGTATGAAAAATGGAAAACTACAGTAAGACTAAGAAGTATCTTGACACTTGGACTGACATCTATGTTAATGATTCACTGAGAATGTGTTTATGACCTCAATCTCATCCCATTGATTCAAGGACATTGAAAAACATCATGTGATGAGTTATGGAGTATGTTTAAAACATAAGCTGCTCAATAAAATGTATAGAGAGACCATATTACTTATATCAACCCAAACCAAACTGATTCTTTCATCGAAGCATGATATACTACAACCTGATTCTGTTTCATTTCTATAGCTCATCTTTTAGCAATATTCCAGCAGTAACACAGCAGGGGTGTGCCATGACCGATAAACGGAAGTAATATGAAGGAATCAGGTTGTCCTTAACATTTCTGGAGTGAGTGAGTGAGTTTGGTTTTACGCCGCTGTTAGCAATATTCCAGCAATATCACGGCGGAGGACACCAGAAATGGGCTTAACACATTGTACCCATGTGGGGAATCGAACCCGGGTCTTTGGCGTGACCGGCGAATGCCTTAACCACTAGGCTACACCACCGCCCCTAACATTTCTGGAACAATCAACTGGAGCTCACATATTTCAGTAATAACACTAATCTGGGATGTTTTGTATATTCGGACTTTTTTCAGGACATCTCATTCCTAAACTTCTACAGAGAGTTTCAGCGGGAATGGCTACCGTGTTTGACACAGTGGTATTGTTCCGGTACATCATACACAGATAACACTGTGTAAAAGAGCCAAATTTCAATCATGACGATGGCATGTGATCATAGTGTTTTAGTCACCATCATGGCAGCTTTGATGGATACTGATTTTACCAGACATTATCTGATAACCATGATTATGATAACTTGCAGACATTAGGATGTGGTTATCATTTGTCAGAAACATATGTTTGAAAAATCAAACAAAACAGTTCTCAAAACACCCCTAACAAATTAATTAACCCTTTCAATTATCTCCCTCCATAAAACACATGGGTGCCATTATACTGACTGACTGAGTATGGTTTTACGCCGTTTGTAGCAATATTCCAGCAATATCACGGTGGGGGACACCAGAAATGGGCTTCACACATTGTGCCCATGTGGGGATTCGAACCCGGATCGTCAGCGTGACGAGCCGACGCTTTAACCATTAGGCTACCCCACCGCCCCCTCAGTGTTAGAACTTAGCTCAAAAGCTTCATTAGCCAGGGAAATATATATATGCCCTAAAAATGTAAAATAAAGGAAATGGCCTTATAATGTTAAAACAAAGGGACAATTTGGAGTGAGTGAGTGAGTTTAGTTTTACTCCGCTTTTAGCAATATTCCAGCAATTACACAGCAGGGGACACCAGAAATGGGCTTCACACAATTTACCCATGTGGGGAATCGAACCCGGGTCTTCAGCATGACGAGCAAATGCTTTAACCACTAGGCTACCCCACCACCCTGGAAAATTTTGAATTTATATAGCCACAGTTACTTGTTACCCAAGTGGGTTAGAGTGAAGTTGTAACAAGGCAATGCAAAAAAACAATTCCAATAGGTTCAGCATGTTCTGTACATAACAGCAGGTTACTGAGGGACACATAAAAAAGATTGAACATCTTGAAAATAAGGATATCTGCTAGTCTGTATAAGACAGGTTAACCAATTTTTTAGAGAGATATTCGGATTTATGATTTAATCGAACTGCCTCAGGGAAGAAGGGAATGATGCAAAGTTGTTGAGTACCACACCAAATTTACACTTTGCTTGAATATTGTAAACGTACTTATTTTCGCGTGGTGCAATTTTCGCGGAATTGACAGTTAGACTACATCGCACGGTCAATTATTCGCGCAATCAGTAATTGCCGGAACTGCCAGCTGTCTCTTTGGCCGCCACTAATAGCAGTGAAAACAAACAGAGTTGCTTTACCTGTCAGGCGGCTAATTCGGCAATGGGATTTGGCTCATTATTTAATTATGTTTTGGGAAATCCATTACAGCGACAGTTAAGTATGATCAGTCGTCATTTTAAGATTCCCGTTGATTTCTTCAAACGTGATGTGTTATGGTAACAACTCAGGGGCGAGCTTGGCTAGACTGAATGAATGACAGGTTTATTCGCGGTGTATAAATTTTCGGGCTAAAATGTTTTGCGCGAAAAGCGCGAAAAATAAAACCTGCGCGAAATATAATACGTTTACAGTATTGTTGAGGCTGATAGATGTAGTAACAAGAAGGTGTTAGTACAGTCGCATAAAGACAATTCATACCGGCAGACATCCAGATTTTTGCCACAAATACATGATAAGAAACAGAATGTTGTGTATGACAAGAACTACCTGTTCTCTGTTGGTCTCACTGGGGTCTCGTGCATGGACTGGTAGTGCTCCGTCAGTTCCTCCGGGGAAGACAAAGACTTCTTGCAGATCGGGCAAAGGAAACCCTCCTGATACAAACATACCACATCATGCTCTTCGTAATAGATACATGTATGCATCCTAAAGTCAACTAACATTCTTATAATAAAACCTGGCTTGATTCTATTGTTTGTTGATTATTAACACCTAACTCAGCAATATTCCAGTTATATAATGGAAATCTGTTGTAATCAGATATGGACTAAACAATCCAGTGATTGACATGATGATCATTGTGCTATGCAATTTCGATACCATTTAGTGAAATTGTACATTCATGACTGTAAACAACTATGCAATGTCGTGCTAGCCCTGCCCAATCAAGCATATAGATCCTGTTATTCGCCTCTTGCTACACACATTGGCTGCTTCAGAACATCAGAACAATTCTTCCTCAATCTCCTCATTGGAGGGTAAGTCTAAGTATGGTGAGTTTTTTAACATGATAAGAGTTATGGATGAAAGATAAAAGGTCTTTGATATGCTGCTGCTGACAAAAATTCCAGTACTATGGCGGAAAATGTGTTATGTGTGCATGGTGCAAGACATGAGAGTGAGTGGGTAATATTTAAGGTAAAATGGAACAGTCAAATATATTTAAGTTGAACCAACATGTAACAACATAAGATTTATGACCAGTGCAAACCTAACATAGTGCCAAGGTGAAAAATCCAATTCTGGGATCATTAAATTAAATTTTCATCCCTCTTGGTGCCACGGGAACATATTTTTACCTCACATTTCACACCCCTTAGTGACTCCGATCATTTCACCTTTAAGATAGTGTGACTCATATTTTATACAGTGGAACGTTTTATGAAATGTGGCACCATTAGTAAAGTTCTGGGCATCTTTCTCCCATGTTTGAACTCCAAGCAAGTGGACCGCCTCCGTGGTGTAGTGGTTAGAGTGTCCGTCCGGAGAGTGGAAGGTCGCGGGTTCGATCCCCGACCACGTCATACCAAAAGACGTTCAAATATGGTACTTCTTGGTCCCTGCCTGGCGTTCGGCATTGATGGGTACAACAAGGACTGGTCGGCTCGGAGTCAGTATAATGTGTCTGAGTGGGGTATTCATGCTTCACTGCGGCATGGTATCTCAGTGGGCTAGCACTATAAAACCAGCTTCAGTCTGGGCTAGTGCAAGCAGCTGCACATACACATACACACGCATGCATGTCATCATATGAGTGAAATATTCTCAAGCACGACGTTAAACCCAATTTCACCTCACCTCACCTCCAAGCAAGTGACAACGAAATCTTGCTCTGCACCGATGTCACATACACCGAACTATTTTCATATCAGACAGACAATTTGAAAAAGAATCCTGATCAAAGTAGTCAGAAATATTTACTTCATCAATAAACAATCTGAGAATGTGAGTTAATTACTGTTTTGAGATTCAAGAAGTGTGACTGTGACATCATTAGAAAGTCATCCCCTTGTTGTAGACACCACCAGAGGGTTCAACATTTCTGCTTGTAACCACGTTTTACATGGAACTATTTGTCATGATTTGTAAGAAGTAGTAAAAGGGTAAAAGATAGCAAATAATCAACAAATACATTATGAAAAGATTTTCATGACTATCAGTTATCATGGAAACACAAAAACAAATATGAATCACACTAAAAATACCATTCTGGCTTTCAAAATGAAATGTTTACAGAATAATGTTAAAAAAAATAATACAAATAATACTGTCGAACCTACTCTGCATCTATAATGAAAATGTTCAAAAGCATCACCAGGCACATTTTACAAAACAACACTGAATTAAAATACTTCAATATTTCAAAGGTCAATGAGAGAAACACTACACACTACAGATTTGGCACTACACAACCACATATATATCTAAATAAACTGTGAAGAATCACAAACAGTGATAAAGTGCATGCATCTGCCTTACGCCCTGGTCTTTGAGTTGATCTGTTTCACTGTGCTCTATGTCAAAGTGCATCTGTAGAGCCTCAGCTGACCTGAGTGACTGCATACACATGGGACACAGAAAGCCCTGTAGGGGAAGATTCAGGTCATAGGAGGTAAGACGGATAGAAGGAGGTGTATATGGATGTGGCTAGACAGATAAAATTTATCCTTATTTACCCTTGTTCAAATAGATCAATAATCATTGTAACTCCTGTGTCTCATAACAAGGAAAGTACACATGTAAGAAACCTATCTGAATATCAGTTTCATTCGATACTGCTGCCACTTGTATAATCATGTGTTTGAATTAAAACATAAAACATGATAGCAATAACACAAGATTTGTCGCAGCAAATATATGAGCATCTTTTGAACAAATCATTCTTGACCCGGTGTTATCATGGTTATGCATCTAGATATCCCCTCTTTTGCAGGTGGAGATACATTTATGATTGACAACCCTTGTTAGCAATAGTGCCAGCATACAGAACAAACAAACAGGTTATTTATGCTTGCGTAATATAGAATATGCTTTAGTGTGTAACTTGAACATGAAAAAAGGTATTTGTCTGCTTTGACAATCACAGGATGCAATGCAAACATAACTTTCAAGACAACTGAAAAAGAACAGATTTTGACCGTTACGTTAGCAGTGAGCACTGAAAACTGAAAACAGAAACCTTACATGCAAATTGCAAAGTGAGGTTGGTTAGATCTACCAAATTTACATTATATCCAAAAAATTAACAGGCTAGTAATCATCTTGCTGATAGTATGTGACAACCTCTCCCAAATTGCTTTAAGCATGATAAGATAATCATGTCATGGTTATGCTGTTCAGTGAGAGTCATTGGATACCTGTGCTTCATCGATGCTGGGAGGTTCTGGTTCAACAGGCTGGGATTGTGACGGTGTACGATTGAAACTGGGGAAGGAAAAGCGACTGGCAAGGGTTGGGGAAGCATCCTACAAGAGAATCAGATGCATGAGAATAAACATTGCCCAGTGTTCTGTGTGATGTCAGAGCCTTAATATATCGTGGCTCGTATCAAATAGTAACCTTGTTAGTTCATGCAGTGAAATTGGACACATTCTTTTACTACACAGGTAACCTGACACATTTTGGGTGGATTTTCATATCAGAACGCAAGTGTTTTCTTATGAACTGAAAGTTGAAATGTTTACATGATGCATTGTCTTATATAGTTAGTGCATATACATTAGTTCATTGGTATAAGAATACTCCGACAGAGGCTAAACAATAGGTACATCAATGACTGTAAACACCTGTGTAATGTCCTTCTAACCCTGCCCAGTCAAGCATATTGTATAAATTAACTTTTGTCAAGTTCATTTCACCTCTCATGCAATAGGACATGCATCATCATTATTGTTTAATTAAGTGAGATAAAAGTTACTAATGCATGATCTTATGCACGAAAAATGGATTTTTTTAGAGTACATGCAATGCATGGCAGCAACATTTTCACTTTTATTTTATTTCAGGCTGTGGTGTTGAGGTGAAAACGTCAACTTTCCAAGTTTGACGGATGTTAGCATGATTGCATTATTAATGTCATATCATGCAAATCTGATTTCTTTATCAATTAAACATCTCCCCACAGTCACCTGCTCTGTGTTACTGTCCTTCTTTCCCCGTAATCGTTTAAAGACAGACATTTTTGAAGCCGGTGTTAAACACAACTCCGTGTCTGCCCACTTCCTCCCTCAAGCAAACCGGATGTTTTTGTCATTCGCCATCTATCGGTGAATTGCTACATACTATTTCCCAAAGAGCATTGTACATACCGTAAAGACATTCTGTTGGTCCCCGATCTTACACGATAGTTACTGCCTGAGCCTGAACTAGGCATGGTCTGCGTACTCCTAAAAGAAGATATGTCTTGTTTAACGGTGTAAAACGTTATGGCAATAGTTGAAATGAAACAGTCAGGTATGGAAAAGAAAATGATGAATGTGACGTGGCATGTTAGTTATCACTATCAATAATAGTTTAGGACCTTTTCTGTACAATTTTACATTAAATGATTTAAACATATCTATTTCACACAAAAATGTTAACAGGACTGGTAAAGAAATAGTAAGTTATGTTAACCGCACTAGATTACAAAGTATAACAATAGATATCTACGCAGTCCAAGTTTGTTATATACGATAACAAAATTGTCGAAAAGTTTCGAAAGTTGTAAGGGAAAAATAAAATAACAGCATAACGTTTTTATCACTAAGACACCATGACCTGTTACATGTAACATGAAACTGGGGAATCCATCAGATTTATTAAAGAACATTTTTTCAGATTTTATATTAAGATTTATTAAGTTAGTTTCATTGGCATTTCCAAATAAGACGGAATTATGATATATCCTTTTATAATGGAAGTACGTGCTTCTTGTTACACCGATGTGATTTTCACGAGAAAGGAAGAAATGAATATCGAGAGTCTTCGTTCTGGTAGCCACATGATTCTTTCAAATATGTAGGCATTAGGATCACTACAGCTATAAATCTTTAGACTTACGCTTACTCCCTGAACATATATAACTTTGATAGTAAAAAATAAACCCATTTAAATTGAAAAGGAGCCCCGGTGAGCTGGGAGATTAGAATTTGAACTTGTCTCCAAAGTTTCATTTTGTAAAATATGAGGAGAGGATATAGATATAGATAGGCAAACCCCTTTTTAGAAGAAAACTGTTCAATGAAAGTGAAAAGACCGGAGTCTGCGCATGATTTGTCTCTTAAAGACCAGAAACTGTGCTAAAGGCCTCCACTATAGATTCGTATCACCCCGTGTTAGTTAAGAGTTGACAGATGAAAATGTGAGGCAAGATTCCAGACCACTGGTGAGGATGTTGGTCCGGCCAGCCATGGCAGTTAGATATGTTTACTTAGTAACCCGACCCTGAAGTGAGTTAGGATTTTTTTTGTAGATGATAACAGAACCTGGAGAAATCTAGACTTGTTTCATTTAGGGCTTTAGCAGTGCAAGGAAGGCTAGGAATTAGGGAACATGGTGTGGTTCAGGGACTATGAGACAGACGACTAAGTCTTAGACAGTAGTGAAAAAATCTGACAGAATCTAGATTCGATGTGAAGATCGAAAAAGGAAACATAAATTACATAATCTTTTGTCCTTGTGAAATCACCCAATCTATCAGTACATTCCAAAGGTTTACTGTGTCTGGAAGAAAAGATTTAGAAAGGTTTGCTGTTTTGAACTTGATATTTTGCAACTTCTTAATTGATTTCCTTCCTACTATTTGTCAGGTTGTAACTTCTGGCTTCTGAAACACAAGGTTGTACAGGATCGCAAAGGTTTATACAGAAATGTACATAGTTTCTAGTGTTTTCATTAAGTCGATACTTGAGACTTATGAGGCAATTTATCATCAGACTTACTTTATTACTTATTTCTTTAACCTGCCCATTCCACGAACAGCCGCTTTGGTAGGGTACAATTGCCCCATGCAGTCAAATTGCCCCAGCTACAACTTTGTCAACTTTGATGTTATATCCTTCATATAAAGGAAGTAATATTTCTGAGCAAAAGGAATATTTTTGTATAGGCAACACTGTAACTCCAATTATTGTGCACGTTATTAATGTTTCGTATTGAAGTACAAAAATTAAATAAAATGTTTTCATAATGTTTTTTGGCCATAAATGCATAGTGGTTTTAAATAAATTGGCAGGGGCGTTGCTACCATTATGAAAAAAAGCCCGGGCGTACACATGATTGTTGCTAAAAGGTTGGACAAGCCCTCAATACTATCTAAATATAAAGATTTGTAACCTATCGGGCTTACACGAAAAAACATACTTGCCATCCGGGGCGTTTGCTTGGGCATTTTGTTGCTGGAGGAATTTGACAGGTACCCCTTGGAGTACAAGCATTGATGTGTTATCTTAGAATGATTTTGTATTGACAAAAACATTATTACACATTTTCACACCTCTCTTATCTAGAAACTAGCAATGCCACGGCAATACAAATGAAAACCGGTTTGTGCACCTTGGGGAACGCCGCGTGAGTGAGTGAGTTTGGTTTTACGCCGCTTTTAGCAATATTCCACCAACATCACGGCGGGGGACACCAGAAATGGGCTTCACACATTGTATCCATGTGGGGAATCGAGCCCAGGTCTTTGGCGTGACGAGCCAACGCTTTAAGCACTAGGCTACCCCACCGCAAAGGAACGCCGTGTGGTTTGTGTGTGGTTTCTGGTTATTTACGACATCGAGATTAGTCGATTAGCGATGCAGATTATGTTGATTGTGTTTATACCGATTGTATATACAGTTATTGTCAGAGCTCTTACGACAAAGTTTCCTTCCCAGCACAATATTATCAATATGTGGAACGGCATACCACCAACCATCAGACTATCACCAACCTTATCTTCGTTCCAGACATCGCTCAGGGCTGAACACGTCTTGACCGAGTGACTATATCTCACTCCCTCTTAACTATGTTAGAAAAACACATAAAATAAGTATATACTATATACATGTTAATTACATGTTTGTTTATACAATCCTCAGACAGGTGCGAAGGGAGACATGACAACACGCAAAATAGTGTCTAGGTTTTCATTTCCTAAGCTAAACTAAAACGAATGATGCAGGCGGTCTGTTGAAACATATGCAAGATACCTTGTGGTGGTTTATCAATTTTAGCCAAAGTTTCATATACCGGTTTCACTAGAGATTCCAGATGACGTTATTTTCAAACATATGTCGTAAAGAATAGTGTTTTCGAGAAACCGGAACTTTACAAAGCTTCGCCCTCTAGCGTTCTCGGACCAAACTAAAATCCCAAAGTCATGTTGGCCTCTTCTGTGTCGCGATTTTCGTTACTATTGCGGGTATAGTTTGACACACTGCACAATTCAATCACACACTGGCGGTTTTCTTACTGCGAAACGATTTATTTAGCCTAGTTGCATCAATCATTGCGCTTCAATATTTAATAATGAATCATTTCATCAGTGTTCGAAAATCTTGAAGGACGTGCAAGACCGGTATCAGATCCGACGCTGTTTGTTGTGTCGATAACATCGGATTGATGATGAAGACCAAATGAGGAATATGTGATTTATCGTTAAATAGAAATGAATGATAACTTGTTTTTAGACTGATAAGTGCATTTCTGCTAAGGCCTAAATTTGAACATGAATATTGCAAAACGATCCCCTTAGCCATGTTTTATTTGTATATAATCAGGTTTAAGGGTGTACTGCACTTTACCGGGCACACTTTTTCAGATTAATTAGCGCTGCTGGGGTTACTTAACCCTAAGGATCGTAAAGGGTGCCTAACCCTAAGGATCGTAAAGTGTGCCTAACCCTAAACCCTAACCCTAAGGATCGTACAGGGAGCAGCGAGGGCCGCGCCTGTTAAAGTGCATTCTAACCAGGTTTCAAAACATTTGGCGACTCTCAGTATCATTATTATTTAGTAGTTTGAATAATAGGTTGGATGACCGGCATGATTATAAAATCTGGTCTCCACCCTAAAATGTATACATCTCAAGAAAAAATATTAACCTCCATGACATTCAATTCAAAATGTCAGAAAAACTTCCTGAATCGCCTGTTTTTAGCAAAGCAAATAAACAAGTTAAGAACGCTTTTGTGAGGGGCTTCTGCTTGTCATTGAACAAAACGATCTAAGTGTTAAGGGGGCTTTTGGGTAGCCTAGTGGTTACAGCGTTCGCTCGTCACACCAAAGACCCGGGTTTGAGTCCCCAAATGGGTACAATTTGTGAAGCCCATTTCTGGTGTCCCCCGCCGTGATATTGCTGGAATATTGCTAACAGCGGCGTAAAACCATACTCACTCACTCTAAGTGTTAAGGTGATCGTAAGTCCAATACCTTAACATAGACTTACGACTGTCTTAGTACTTCTTTTATACAACCGCACCCTGGACATTATGGACAAAGGGATCCAGCTATATGCATTCTTATCTCTGTTGTAATAATTAATTTTTACCGTGTATTTAACCTTTCTTTTACAGGGGAATCCTAGCACTACAGGGAGATGTCTTGGTGCTATCTACTCTAGAAATTATTCCTCTGGAGGTAAAATCTGATTTTGTGTCAGGGCTCAATTTAAACATTTAGAACTTGCACTGGTGCAACCTGAAAGGGCTATTTACGACTTCATATATACCAGCTTGCACCTAGTCCATGTTGACATTTTAAAAAAATCAACTATGTGAATTTATCCAGTAATAATCATACCTCTTATTTCATTCTTTAAAATTTTTACCAAGCTGTAGGGCACACTAGAACAGGGAATTAGTGTTGCTATTAGTTCTTGGATTCGACATGATGGAGGCATGTGTATGTACACTAGGATTGTTTACTCTTTGCAGTATTACATATGATGACTCTGATGACTACACGGACACTGACTGAATGATTGTTACTGTTCATTTCATAAAATTTTATGAAATAGTGCGAGTGAGTTTAATTTTGCGCCGCACTCAGCAATATTCCAGCTATATGGCGGCGGTCTGTAATTAATCAAGTCTGGAGCAGACAATCCAGTGATCAACAGCATGAGCATCGACCTGCGCTATTGGGAACCGATGACATGTGTCAACCAAGCCAGCGAGTCTGACCACCCGATCCTGTTAGTCGCCTCTTACGACAAGCATGGGTTACTGAAGGTTCATTCTAACCCGGACCTTAAAGGGATCTGATCAGATATTTAAATCATCAGTACCAAAACACAAGCATTATATATAATTTTATACTAAGCAGCAGGTGCAACAAGGTTATTACCTAAGGTTGCACTGGGTGCAAGTGTTTCATTTCCATAAATTGAGACTTATGTCTTCAGCAAAAATGTTAAAAAAAAATTAAAAGCGGAGATTTAAAAGAAAGAATAATCTCTAAAAAAGTGAATGATTTAAGATGCAACAAGTATAGCAACTATTGTTTGTCTCATTATTCTTGTTCAGGGTATAGCTGAGTTTACTTGTTACATTTCCAGAGGAGCTTGACCTGGTTGTGGTGGGATCGGGGCCGGGAGGATATGTGGCAGCAGTCAAGGCAGCTCAGCTTGGCCTCAAGGTTTGTATACAGACTGACATGTTGTCTCTAGTCCATGTTTCTCATCTATAAGAGGCACATTTACCCATGGTTGCGTCACAATTTCAAATGTGACTAAAGAGATATGGATAGCGTTCTCTGCTGCAGCCCCCTATCTCTGGAACATTCTACCACTCACCCTAAAAGAAATAGAATCTGCTGATGCTTTCAAAACTGCCCTCAAAACTCATCTGTTCAAACTCTCTTTTCCATAGACATTGTCTACAATCTTTTCTCTTCATAGCGCCATTGAGCAATATCTTTTGGAAATAGGTGCTCTATAAATCAATTATTATTATTATTATTATTATATATTCTTGGTGTAGATGCAGCAGATGGTGATCTTGGAACAACATAAATAAGCACACTAGAGTATATCTATCGTTGCCATTAAATTCTGATTGTAGACTGGATGTGTGGAGAAGAACGAGACGTATGGAGGCACGTGTCTGAATGTTGGCTGTATCCCATCCAAGGCCCTCCTGAACAATTCCCACTTGTACGCCATGGCCAACACCAAGGACCTGGAAGGAAGAGGAATCGAGTGTAGGTTACTTGGTGTTGACTGAGTGCAGACTTGGTCAGGGCTTGAAACATCTGCAAAATGTTACCTCTTATATAACCTGTGAAGATCCGGGTTAGAATTGATCTTCAGTAAACTATGCTTGTCTTAAGAGGCGACTAGCAGGATTGGATGGTCAGGCTCGCTGACTGGGTTGACACATGTCATCGTATCCAAACTGCTTGAATTGATGTTCATGCTGTTGATCTCTGGATTGTCTGGTCCAGATCCGACTACTTACAGGCTGCTGCCATATTGCTGGAATATTGCCGAGTGCAGCATAAAAATAAACTCACTACCTCTTACATATATAATCAACTTGCACCCAGTTCTTGATAATATTTTGCTGTTCATAGAACACAGACTTCATCTGGAAAAGTGAACAGTCTAAGTAAACTTAGGCTCAGTATTATTAATTACACTGCTTATACTGAGTCTAACAAACCCTTGTAGAAGGTTGCGTCAGCTAACCTTTGAGCGACCTATGACTGTCCAATCAAACGCGAGACGGCCGAACTGATTTAACCAATCAGACAACGACTACTTGTTAGGGTTCGGCGGGACTTACAAAACGTTTTTTGGATTTTCTCTTTCCTGGTCGCTGACACTGATCTATCAACAAATGAAAATCCTCATAAAACACAGATATTTGACCTGCAGTATATACGCTTAGGGGTTTCTAAAGACACGGTTACTATTAGCTTATATTTCTGCAAGATGACATCCTTGAATATTGATGAAAATGCAATTTTCAGCGAGTGTTTACTCATTGCGTGTATCACCCAGAAGCGATCGTACGGAAAATAGCATTCAGAATCATTTGAGTTTTTGAGGTAAGGGTTCAAACGGTATGTGTGAATGTTAACTTTCGTGATTTGGTAAGCTGTGTTCTGATTGGTCAGTCCAAAAGTTAGCTGACGCGACCTTCTACTAGGGTTTGTTAGACTCTGAATAGCAGTGTAACGAATAATACTGAGACTAAGTTTACTTAGACTGGAAAAGAGAAGGAACTTTCTTGGCGGTAACCCCCTTTGACTACATGGACAGTGGTTGATTACATTTACTTTTCATGAAATTTTATGTAATGTAAATAAGATGAGATGATCTTATCAGACCCAGAATAATTTTGTTATGATGATGTTCTAAATCATCAAAATTTATACCCAAGCATTATATCAGCTCTATATTGATCAGCTGATGCATCCTGTTTTTGTCTGGTGTGTTACCTACCGTATATGACCGTCTATAAGCCGAATTTTGAGGACCAAAAAAAGCCGTCTGTAGAAGGGGGTCGTCTTATCCATGAGTTACACTTTCGTCAAACTTTTTTCCAGGGGTTAAAAAACAACATCGTATCACTTCGCTTGAACAAACAACAGAAGACGACTTTGTCAGTAGAGACGTCAAATTTGCAATTAAACATCACTAGACAAGATTAATTACCATTTAAGTTATAAGTTGTTTTTGCTGGGCATTGTTTTATTTGCAGGGATTAAGATTACCTTGCGTATTTGTCTCGTACACAAAGCCGGAAATAGCAATCAGCTGTGCACACGTTTCCGCCGAACAAGTTCAAACATGCACAATAATATAACGGGATCCAATTCTGGCGCAGTCATCAGTAAAATATAATACAGAATACCGTTATTTAACCCAAAGAAATATATCCTAGCATTGTGTAATTTTAGTTACAGTTTTGCTCTATAAATTAATTAAGATTACCGTATGCGATTTGTCTCGCATTACACAAAGCGAAATAGCAATCAGCTGTGCACACGTTTCCCGGCGAACAAGTTCAAACATGCACAATAATATAACGGGACGAATTCTATTGATAGAATACTATTATTTAACCCAAAGAAATATATCCTAGCATTGTGTAATAGTTTTTATGTAAAAAATATATAATCAACACTAAGGTTATACGGACCATCATGAACGTGGTAAGCACGTGACATGGAACGAGGCGGTAATCAGTTTGTGATTGTTGAATGGGGTAAAATAAGCAAGCCAGTTTGTTGCTACAATAAATATGATATTTAGAGAAGCAAAATATATTATGCATTTTCTGTCAACTACACTTCGTTTCGATCCGTGAGTAGACACAATATATATGACAGTGAATTCTTTGAATAATGTGGATTGACTTACAGTATGAGGAGGACAGTGACACGGAATTTGATGGGTTTACGGCCGATGACTTGTGAAAATCTCAGAACTCTCTTGCAGAAATGTCAGTGTTTATTGTTAGTGGACTATTTTTCTTATTGTCATATATATATAGATGAAATATGGACACTTAAATAATATATTTTGAAACAAAAGTTGACTTCAGTTTTTATTTACCGATGGTACTTTTTCTCTCCATACTCACGCTGTATATCCACTTTCCAAATGGCGTCTCGTTGTTGATGCAAGCAGTGATCGTTAAAAAAAGGTAAACAAACACCGGTAATCTTTATTATGTAATATTCTCGTAATGGTGTCTCGTCGTTGATGGAACATACTTACCGGGTACTCTGGTCTCTGTTGGCCGCGACCCATCGCGGGGGGTCGGCCTATCCATGAGAGATATGATTTTGACACTGATTTTGAGGGACAAGTTTGGGGGTCGGCTTATAGACGGTCATATACGGTAAGGTTATACTGGGTGCAAGTAGGTTCTTTTCTTTTACTGAGCCAGGCTAATTAGAACAGTTTATTGTTCCTGAGCAACCGGTTTGTCCTTAGAGGCGAGTCCTGGACAGGGGGATCAGGCTCTGAGATGGTGTAGATTGTGTGTCATCAGGGTGTAGATTGTGTTTCATCAGGGTGTAGGTTGTTTGTCATCAGGGTGTAGATTGTGTGTCACCAGGGTGTAGGTTGTTTGTCATCAGGGTGTAGATTGTGTGTCACCAGGGTGTAGATTGTGTGTCATCAGGGTGTAGATTGTGTGTCATCAGGGTGTAGATTGTGTGTCATCAGGGTGTCAGATTGTGGTCATCAGGGTTTAGATTGTGTGTCATCAGGGTGTCATCAGTAGGTTGTGTGTCATCAGGGTGTAGGTGTGTGTCATCAGGGTGTAGGATTGTGTGTCATCAGGGTGTAGGATTGTGTGTCATCAGGGTGTAGGATGTGTGTCATCAGGGTGTAGATTGTGTGTCATCAGGGTGTAGGAGATTGTGTGTCATCAGGGTGTAGATTGTGTGTCATCAGGGTGTAGATTGTGTGTCATCAGGGTGTAGATTGTGTGTCATCAGGGTGGGTTGTGTAGGTTGTGTGTCATCAGGGTGTATGGGTGTGTGTCATCAGGGTGTAGATTGTGTGTCATCAGGGTGTAGGATTGTGTGTCATCAGGGTGTAGGATGTGTGTCATCAGGGTGTAGATTGTGTGTCATCAGGGTGTAGATTGTGTGTCATCAGGGTGTAGATTGTGTGTCATCAGGATGTAGGATGTGTGTCATCAGGGTGTAGATTGTGTGTCATCAGGGTGTAGATTGTGTGTCATCAGGGTGTAGATTGTGTGTCATCAGGGTGTAGATTGTGTCATCAGGGTGTAGATTGTGTGTCATCAGGGTGTAGATTGTGTGTCATCAGGGTGTGATTGTCATCAGGGTGTGTGTGTCATCAGGGTGTAGATTGTGTGTCATCAGGGTGTAGGATTGTGTGTCATCAGGGTGTAGATTGTGTGTGTCATCAGGGTGTAGTTGTGTGTCATCAGGGTGTAGATTGTGTGTCATCAGGGTGTATTGTGTGTCATCAGGGTGTAGGGTTGTGTGTGTCATCAGGGTGTAGGTTGTGTGTCATCAGGTGTGTGTGTCATCAGGGTGTAGATTGTGTGTCATCAGGGTGTAGATTGTGTGTCATCAGGGTGTGATTGTGTGTCATCAGGGTGTAGGATTGTGTGTGTCATCATCAGGTGTAGGATGTGTGTGTCATCAGGGTGTAGGATTGTGTGTCATCAGGGTGTAGGATTGTGTGTCATCAGGGTGTAGATTGTGTGTCATCAGGGTGTAGATTCATTGTGTCATCAGGGTGTAGATTGTGTGTCATCAGGGTGTAGATTGTGTGTCATCAGGGTGTAGATTGTGTGTCATCAGGGTGTAGATTGTGTGTCATCAGGGTGTAGATTGTGTGTCATCAGGGTGTAGATTGTGTGTCATCAGGGTGTAGATTGTGTGTCATCAGGGTGTAGATTGTGTGTCATCAGGTGTGATTGTGTGTCATCAGGGTGTAGATTGTGTGTCATCAGGGTGTAGGATTGTGTGTCATCAGGGTGTCATCAGGTGTATTGTGTGTCATCAGGGTGTAGGATGTGTGTCATCAGGGTGTAGATTGTGTGTCATCAGGGTGTAGATTGTGTGTCATCAGGGTGTAGATTGTGTGTCATCAGGGTGTAGATTGTGTGTCATCAGGGTGTAGGATTGTGTGTCATCAGGGTGTAGGATTGTGTGTCATCAGGGTGTAGGATGTGTGTCATCAGGGTGTAGATTGTGTGTCATCAGGGTGTGTGTCATCAGGGTGTAGGTGTGTGTGTGTCATCATCAGGTGTAGGTTGTGTGTCATCAGGTGTGTAGTTGTGTGTCATCAGGGTGTAGATTGTGTGTCATCAGGGTGTAGGTTGTGTGTCATCAGGGTGTAGATTGTGTGTCATCAGGGTGTAGGTTGTGTGTCATCAGGGTGTAGGTATGTGTGTCATCAGGGTGTAGATTGTGTGTCATCAGGTGTAGGATGTGTGTCATCAGGTGTGTCATCAGGGTGGTGATTGTGTCATCAGGGTGTAGATTGTGTGTCATCAGGTGTAGATTGTGTGTCATCAGGGTGTAGGATTGTGTGTGTCATCAGGGTGTAGATTGTGTGTCATCAGGTGTGTAGATGTGTCATCATCAGATTGTGTGTCATCAGGGTGTAGGTGTGTCATCAGGGTGTAGGGATTGTGTGTCATCAGGGTGTAGATTGTGTGTCATCAGGGTGTAGATTGTGTGTCATCAGGGTGGGTGTAGGTGTGTGTGTCATCAGGGTGTAGATTGTGTGTCATCAGGGTTGATTGTGTGTCATCAGGGTGTGTGTGATTGTGTGTCATCAGGGTGTAGATTGTGTGTCATCAGGGTGTAGATTGTGTGTCATCAGGGTGTAGATTGTGTGTCATCAGGGTGTAGGATGTGTGTCATCAGGGTGTAGATTGTGTGTCATCAGGGTGTAGGTTGTGTGTCATCGGGTGTCATCAGGGTGTAGGTTGTGTGTCATCAGGGTTTTGATTGTGTGTCATCAGGGTGTAGATTGTGTGTCTTCAGGATGTAGATTGTGTGTCATCAGGATGTAGATTGTGTGTCATCAGGGTGTAGATTGTGTGTCATCAGGATGTTGATTGTGTTCTCACAATATCAATCACTACATTTTCAGGTCTGCACTCGATTATTTATCAACATCTTTCCATATGGCTGTAATATTGCTGAGTAGAGCATGAAAAGAGTCCTATCAGTGCAATGACTATTTGTTGGTAGGGAAAATAGTTTTGTAAAATGTAACAGTTATTTGGTATGGATCAAGACTGAAAGCCTCTTAATTAAGGTTTCTGCTCATAGAGCAGAAGGTATGTGGTTTGACACCTTGGTTGTGTCATACCAAAAGACATTATGATTAAGAGGTTAAAACAAGCATTTGTCGGTATCCATGTTAAACTTCTGTATGGCATCTCAGTCAACTAAAACTGTGAAAAGTGTATGAATCTGTATCAGAATAAACAAGAACACACATGCATGCTGGTCCCAGTGATAGTGAAACAATATTGAACTCAATGTTGATGTTGTGAGTGTCATAGTGCTAACAGTGGGTAATCACCGGAACCTGACATTGTCTGCTTGTTAAAACAGTTGATGGAATCCGTCTGAACCTGGAGAAAATGATGTCCGTTAAGGCTGGTGCAGTGAAGGCTCTCACTGGTGGTATCGCACATCTCTTCAACAAGAACAAGGTAAGGGAACCAGTTGGTCCATCGAGGCTGTCACACATTGGGTCACAAACATTGCTTATTAGGCAGTATAGTTCCTTTTTACTGAGAAAGCATAATCAACTTTAACTTGAAATTGGGCTAGATGTGTTTTTGTTCTCATGTCGATCTAAAAAGCACATTGTATGAGATTTGCATCTGTACAAATCTTGCTTTCGTTTTAGTGGCCATTTTTCAAAATGATACAAAACAATCGAATTTGTGTTTTGAATTATTTTGAGTATTTCTCCTCAGATTCATACTAGTATTTCATCTTGCTGTGATATTCCTGGAGTATTGCTAACAGCAGTGTAAAACCACACTCCTTGCTCACTGTTGGAATGCAGGGAATAGTGGCAGCTACATTGCTGGGTAATGTTTGATTGATCATGTGCAGTGAGTGTTGACGGTTGTGTGGATACATGTATTTCAGGTGACCCAGTTTCGAGGTTTCGGCAAGGTGACTGGACCTAACGAGGTGACAGTTGTGAAGAGTGATGGCACAGAGGAGAAGGTTGCCACCAAGAACATTCTCATTGCAACTGGGTCAGAGGTCACACCATTCCCAGGCATAGAGGTAAGGTCATGTAACTTGGCAACATACAAATAACCCATTCAGGAAATATCTGGTTATTGTATGTTGTGTGAAATATTCAGAGTCTACACACTGATTGTAAATTGATTGTATTTGATTGTAGTTTTACGCTGCACTCAGCAATATTCCAGCTATATGGCGGCGGTCTGTAAATAACTTGTTTGAGTGGCATTTTAGAAGTTGAGACGTACAATATGGAACAAATTTTATGGATAACAACTTCTTTATTTCGTGAGTGCGACGTTTCGATACAGATTCTGTTGTTTCCTTTGTCAATTACAATGTATGTTGTTTCATTGTTATACACAGTATAAATATGCAGCTCCTCCACTTCATGTATCACTCTTGCTTGACAACGGTACAAGAATCTGTATCGAAACGTCGCACTCACGAAATAAAGAAGTTGTTATCCATAAAACTTGTTCCATATTGGTCTGTAAATTATCGAGTCTGGACCAGACAAGCCAGTGACCAACAGCATGACCATCGATCTACGCAATTGGGAAACGATGACGTGTGTCAACCAATATTGCTAAGAGCGGCATAAAACTAAACTAACTCTCTCACTAAACAACGAACAAATCTTTTTCAGAAGAAAGTCCTCCTTGGGGTACTTATAAGCATTAAAATGTCTGTTTTAAAAAGCCTACGACAGTTGTAACTATATTTATCAATAAAATATTTACAAAACAAAAAACTTGTTTTTGTCTTGTTTGGCCACCCTTCCAGGACCCCAACAGCCAAGAGCATGTAACTCTAATCGTCAACCTCATGCCTAACTTTTCATGCTGTCATTCTGTGTGATGGACGAGGGTGTGAATTCTACTAAAGATGAGTGGAAATGATGCAAATACTGTATGCATGGTTCCTTTCTTTATCGCAGGGGCGATAGAATCATACTCTTTTTTTTCATTCATAATTTGTTGTAACTTTGCTGGCTGGTCGCTCGTTTACAGCATCGGGTGTAGCATTATTTCTGTACTTTACATGTTACCATGTTCAGTCCGTTTTCATAGAGATCGTCCTTGGGGTACATATATGCATTTTCTGTGACTGAAAATGTAATGTGACAGTTGTATCAATGTTTTAATAAAAATATTGTACAATGAATAAAAATCTTTTTTATCTATTATACGGCCCCCACCACGTGGAGTTACCTCCCTGCTACGCATGCGAGCAGCCAACCAGGTAAGCACCTAGGCCCATATCATCATTGCTTCTGCTGTCACTCAAGCGTTCACACGTTTTTACAAGCTGATTTACTTCGTGAAAAAGAATGTCTGAGACTTCAACAACTGTATGTATGGTCTTTATTCGTTCTTGCACAAGAAAAAGAACAGTTTAATTGACTTTGCAGTCTGTTATTTCTCATTTCTGTGACTTTGTATTAAACCTTTAAGCTAGCTTTTCCGTGGTTTACGCATGTGTTGCTATTCCATGGCGGGAAGTTTAGCGTGCCACGTGGTTGTCATATTGCGTTATTAACCAAGTATTTCATGTCCCGTGGTCGCAATCATGTAATTTTCAATGTTTTGTACGTGTATATTTCTGCTGCTGGTTCCGCTGTTAGCTACATGCTTGCGTGTTTGCTTTAAGGCGTTTACTGGGTGTTCTGTCTGTGGGCAGAATATCCCTAGAGCCGACAAGCATGATAAATGCTTGTGCTGCTTAGAGAAGGTGGGACATAACCCTGATTTCTGTGAACTCTGTATGGCCTTTTTCCCCCCGGCCCAGAAGAGAAGGGCGGCGGATTTCCTTTTCTATAAGGAATTGCAAGAGGCGGGAGGCTTTTCGCTCCCGTAGCGGGTTCCTCCTCTGGGGTGCAGCCTACGCCCGAGTCTGCCGGCTACTGGCTTCGGCCGCTGGGCAGGGGTAGGAGGAGGAGCCGTCCCGCCAAAGGTAAGGGCAAGGAGCAGTCCTCTTCGTCTGGCTCCCATCAGCCTTCCATCAGCCTTTTCGCAGTCGCGGGGGATCTGCCCCGACCTCCCGTTAAACCTGCAGGCTGTCGCCGTGGGTCTGTCCCAGTCAGTTCGTCTGCAAGGGACCACTCACGCCCTCTTACCACACGTCCCTGTAGGGGGCCGCCTCTCTCTATTCCTGCCGGAGTGGGAGAAGGCTACCAGCAACACTTAGGTGCTATCCACCGTCGGCCATTTCCGACTGTGGAAGCGAGGCCCGCCAGAGTTCACCGGCGTACGTCGCAGTCCGGTGCCGTCATGTCCGGTCAGGGCGGGTATACTGCGAGACGAAGTTCAGGCTTTGCTGGACAAGTCCGCAATAGAACACATACCAACGGGCGAGGTACAGACGCGATTTTATTCCACGTACTTCCTCGTTCCGAAGAAGGACAGCGGGTTTCGTCCCATTCTCAACCTCAAAGGGCTGAATCGCATGCTAGAGGTTCCATCCTTCAAGATGGAGATACTTCATTGGCTTGCGTCGATCAACCTAAAGGATGCGTATCTACATGTGCCAATTCATCCATCGTTCAAGCAGTACCTCCGGTTCTCTTACGACGGGATGGGTAACCAGTTCACGGTGCTCACCTTCGGCATATCCACTGTCCCCAGGGTGTTCACCAAGCTCATGTTAGTGCCAGCTACCCTCGCGACGAAGGCGTTGTTACCCTTACCTCGACGACTGGTTGCTCAGCGCTCTAACTCAGCCAGCGAGCCTAGATTCTACCCATACGGTGATAGACAGTCTAGTTCGACTGGGGTGGATCATAAACCTCAAGAAATCCGACCTGGTACCCACCCAGGACTTGGTTTTTCTCAAGGTGCTGTTCACAACTCACAAGGGTCTTGTCTCCTTGTCGCCCGACCGGGGCTAGATTAACGGTCCGGTCCTACGTTCTAACGTCTATCGGCTATTTCCATTCAGTTGTTAACATGGAAGGCTGTATTTCTAGTGGCGGTAATATCTGGGCGTAGGGTCGGCGACTTACATGCGATGTCGGCAGACCCGGCGCTGACTGTGTTCCATCAAGATCGTGTCAGTATTCGCCTCCCAGATACTTACTGTCCGAAGATCGATCACGCTTTCCATGTGACAGCTCCTATCGAACTTCCTACTCTTACCCAGCCTTCCACATCGGAGACCTCTGCAATGAGCACTCACCCGTTGGATGTCCATAAAAGACTCTCAAGGTCTATATCAAACGACCACAAGGGATCTGTACGGGTACCCATCTGTTCTGCTGTTACGGTGGCGGGAAGGCTGGGATGCCGGCGAGCAAACAGACCCTATCTTGCTGGCTTGTATCAGTCATTTGTGCTGCTTATCAGGCTAAGGGCAAGCCTCCCCCTGAGGGGTTGAAGGCTCACTCGGTCAGGGCAAAGCAAAGGCTTTTGCATCGGCACTGCCCATTGAAGAGATATGCTCTGCCGCTATTTGGAGCAGGCCTAGCACTTTTATTAGGCACTATCAGCTCGATACACATTCACGTGATCGTGTGCGTTTTGGCAGTTCTGTTCTCTCCAGTGGACAGTGTCCTACCACCCTGACCGGATGAGTCTTGGTTATCTGGACAGTTGACGCTGCTTTCAATTGTGTATTATTGATATATCCGCTGTTGTGTTATCTAAGTCCTTTCGATTTTCTCCGGAGATTATGGTCAGTTGTGAGTAGGTTTTTCCCCCTTACGGTGCTCACTAAGATCATGATGTGGGCGGGGTTTTTACTTTCGCACTGTGTGCGAAATGCCGTGCTTAACCTATGAGGTCGGATCTAAGTACTTATCCTCCCTGTCGGTTACCCTCCCATCATGCCTCTCGTGGAAGCTTCGGGACACGTGACAGGTGAGTGTTGTGGCGTCTGTTACATTCTTCCTAATGATCGCTATTTATGTGTACTTTGACAGAATTCCCTCCTCCCTGGCCTCCGGTCTTTGGGAGTCTGAGTTAATGCATATATGTACCCCAAGGACGATCTCTATGAAAAAGAATTAGCTAAACCTGTAGAGGTTTCCAATTCTTTGAAGAGAGTCGTCCTTGGGGTAGGACTCGCAATTCTTTCACTGATTTATTCAGCAGAAGGAATGATGCTACGGGCCTAGGTGCTTACCTGGTTGGCTGCGCATGCGTAGCAGGGAGGTAACTCCACGTGGTGGGGGCCGTATAATAGATAAAAAAGATTTTTATTTATTGTACAATATTTTTATTAAAACATTGATACAACTGTCACATGACATTTTTAGACGCAGAAAATGCATATATGTACCCCAAGGACGACTCTCTTCAAAGAATTGGAAACCTCTACAGGTTTAGCTAAGTTTTGCTTCTTATTGTTATGTTTAGCATTTCAATATGTTTGGCTGAAGAAGCCCATAATGATCAAGGATGCGCTATTTGCCAAGCCTTCACGCCCATGTATTATTCTACTCCACACTTCTTCAGGCAGAGCATGACATTTGTGTTCAGGACCCACCCTCTAAGAAGTCGTCAAAGCACAAAAAGTCTAATGGTGCTTCTTTTTCTTCTTCCTCTGTATCATCCGAGGCAGGGGGTAATTGGGTGAAGTTGACTGATAAGTTCTTCTTCCTCCATGGTGCAGGTTCTCTGGTGGGGAAGGCCCATTATGAGCTTCAGATCCAGGGGACAGATCCGACCCGAGCCTGGGCTCCGGGGATGGTTGTTCCCAGGGAACTGGCGCCGCTTCGGCACAGTCACACAAGTTCAGGCCTGTTCTTGGATGATGCCTTGGACATGGGGCTGCCGAGTGGGCCGGTGCACCTAGTAGTTACCATGATGTCCTTGGTTCATACTAGACTTATCATTCACGTCCTCTGAGACTACTCTGGAAACGAGTTTAGTCAAGGTGCGTGATGAGGAGGCTATGGAGGATGGTGAGGCTCAGCCTCCTGTACTATTACCCTTTCGACCGGACCTTCTATCCCAGAACGGAGCTTCCACCCGAATCTTAGGATTCAGTGGGTGGCTTAGCCACTGTCCGGAATCGCCTCCAAGCATTCCTGCACTAGTTGCAGACACAATTCTGGCTTTGTGGAGGGATTCAATGAACGTTCAGTAGGAGGATAGATGGACCTGCTATGCGTGCGAGTGTGTCGGCAGGGGGATTCTTCATCCCTTTTCTGCAGATCTAGTCACTGTGTTGGTGTTCCTTTAGTCAATTTTGGAAGCCAGGTCTCTCAGCTTCAACTGTTTGGGGTTACTCCACAGCTATTTCAGCGTTTCACATACCTATGGTGCAAAGTGCATCGATAGTGCACTTCTGGGGCAGCACCCTCTTGTACAGCGCTTTCTTGCAGGTGTGGACAGGATCGTTCGGCGGATTAGTCAATCATTCTTGATTGGTTGTCCTCTGTTTCAGAATCTGTCGGCTCTCTCTCTCCAGCAGTTGAGTTGGAAGGTGGCTTTTCTTGTGGTGGTAAAGTCTGGCAGACGGGTCAGCTACATTCATGCAATGTCAGCAGATCATGAGCTAACTGTCTTTCACGAGGACAGGGTCACCATTCGCTTGCCAGACTCTTACCGACCAAAGATAGACGGCACTTTCCACGTAACAGCGCGCCTGTTGAGCTCCCTGTTCTATCTCAGCCTCCCTCGTCTAGTACCTCTCTTCGAGGTACTCACATCTTAGATTTCCGTAAGACTTTGAGGCTTACATCAACCAAACAATGAGTATTTGGAAGGATAAGCAGTTGTTCTGCTGTTACGGCGGGGGCAAGGCTGGTCTTCCGGCAAACACGCAGACTTTTTCTAGCTTTCTTGTCTCTGCCATTTGTATGGGATGTATACACAAAGGCTTGTCTGCCCCAAGGGATTGAAAGCTCATTCAGTTAGGGCAGTTACAACATCTAAGTCATATGCTGCGGCCCTGTCCATTGAGGAGATCTGCTCCGCGGCTATTTGGAACCGACCGAGCATGTTTATCCGACATAGACACTCTTGTGGGCATGCTCGGTTTGCTCAGTTTTCAAAACTAGGCAGTGTCGTAACTCCCTAGCTGATTGAGCGTTCGCGATTACGCTGTTTTGCACTATTTGGTGATGGGTTATTATACTTTCCCCCTTTTTGGGTAAAAAGTGTTTGCTGGTGGTTTTTAATAGCTTTACAGCGACTGCTGGTTACACTCATTTGAAATTCCCACAGTAAGCTTCGCTAGCTGGGCTAATAGTTTAGTGGGAATTTTTTGTTGAGTCCCTATACTGTACTCTTCCAAAACATTGGGGGGGGGGAGTTCGAGTCGCACATTTGCCTCTAAGCTCATAAGCTTGGTATTGTTCGTCCCTGACCCTAAGCCACGCCCCCACCTGATTGACATTGGCAGTCACATGACAGGGTGAGTGTTTTTCTATCAACGATAGATTGAAGAATTCCACTTGTAGTTGGGTTCGTTTTGCCAGACAGAATGCCGCTCCACACTCACTAATCTTTGGGAGTCTGTCCTATGCTTATAAGAACCCCAAGGAGAATCTCTTCTGAAAAAGAATCAAACAAACCTGCATAGGTTACTCCTTGGGGTAACAACATTTTGTCTGATTACGTTTTTTTGTTTTGTAAATATTTTATTGAAAAATATAGTTACAACTGTTGTAGGATTTTAAATTGACATTTTAATGCTTTTAAGTATCCCAAGGAGGACTGTCTTCAAAGAATCAGTAACCTATGCAGGTTTGTTCAAATCTTAAGGATATGACAAATTAATTAGGGATTGGTATCTTAGTGCTCAAAGTCAGCGTCAAATGTTAATCTCAACAAGGTCTTGGGTATGTGATGGGAGCAAGTTTGTTGTACAGTAAAATATTCTATATGAAATGCAGCGTAATGTATTATGAGGATACAGTAATCTTCCTGGCGATAAGTACATTTTGATTGTAAACAGTTGACTTGTTTTGTGAGTGAGGAAAAAAACCATTCATTTTCCTCATTTCAACAGGTGTAGATAGAGTTAAATAGGTTCCAATTGAGTGGCTTTGATCCTGTACACAAGGAAGTTGACATCTTTTAATGTTGGACATATTTGTTTGTTTTGTGGGCTCAATGGAGTGACAAGCACTTTGAAGTTCTCACATTTGTTGTACCGAGCAAGTTTTGTGTGATTTGCAGTCTTCATGAAATCATGTTTTTGACAGATTTGTTCTGTGTTTTATTAACAACTTCTTGTTAAAAGAACAGCAGTATATGACGAACAGATGTATGGTACAAGAACAGCTGCTTGTAGCATGAACAGCTGTATGTTAGAACAGCTGCTTGAATAGGAAATTAGGAAAAATGTATGGTCCTTCTTTGGCAAAATAGATGGACACTTGAAGTCTCCCAAAAGAAAGAGATGATTTTATTATCTCCCCGCTACACGTTTAGCTCGAAGCGGGGGATATAGTATTAGGCTCCTTCTGTCTGTTCGTACTAATAAAACATGTAATATTCAGTATACCATTATATTTACACTAGTCTCTGCACAAGTGCCTCAACGGTGTAAAGGCCGGCAGTACACCGTGCCGAGTTGCGGTCCTGAAGTGCTCCATAAACTTATGATCATGGTTTCTAATACATTTTTTACAGGAAAGACTCGTGAAGATCTTGGTTAGAACTGATCTTCAGCAACCCATGCTTTTTGTAAGAGGCTACTAATTAATGGGATCGGGTGGCCATGCTCGCAGGTTGATACATGTCATCGTATCTATCGTATCCCAATTACATAGATGCTCATGCTGTTGATCACTGAATTGTCTGGCCCAGGCTTAATTATTCACAGACCGCCGCCGTGTAGCTAGAATACTGCTGAGTGCAACGTCAAACAACAACCAAACCAAAACATTTACAGGAGAGTGGGGTCCATGTGTCAAAAGCGCTACCACTTGCTTAGCAAGCCTCTTGCCCCAATCTTTGGAGGTTTAATTATTCTCTTAATTTTGTTATGTTTTTTAATAACAAAGGCTTTCTATACCATTCAGTCACAAATTCTATCAGATTACAGTTTCGCTGACTTGGTTGACACATGTCAACGGTTCCCAACTGCGCAGATCGATGCTCATGCTGTTGATCACTGGATTGTCTGGTCCAGACTCGATTATTTACAGACCGCCGCCATATAGCTGGATATTGCTGAGTGCGCTGTAAAACTCAACTCACTCACTCACTCTATCAGATTATATGAATTAAGTAAACAAATTATGAAACCAACATTATTAAGAGTACCCATTGTGTCATCTGTGACTTGGTTAACGGAGCAGGAAGGTTAGAAGACACCATCTGTCTGTAACATCTGGTTTACATTTTGCTTAAACGTTAATGTGTTTCCTGTTTCAGGTAAGCCATATAAATGTGACGATTTTGTTCTTTGCAATCCAGTGCTCATAAAGATTTTCTTTTTTCATTGTACACACATAGTAACTGAATGATTTTTGTATATTTAAGATTGATGAAGAGCAGATCGTGTCATCAACAGGTGCCCTTTCACTCAAGAAAGTACCTGAGAAACTGGTCCTCATTGGAGCTGGCGTTATTGGAGTTGAACTGGTAAGAGATGCAACACCATGAAACAGTTATGTGTAATACGTTCTGTTGCTTTGAAAGAAGACGTCATGGGGTGATCATGACACACATATTTGATGTTTGGTTAGCTAGGTGCTGAAATAGACCTTACTGCATACTGGTTACCGCTGAAATAGTGTGCTCATCATATGCCAAGAGTACCCTGCTCAGTTCCCACACAAAACCGTTCCCACTCACAGCACACATGTAGTATCTAGATTGGTTGTATTTCAGGGGTCGGTGTGGCAGCGACTGGGAGCACAGGTGACCTGTGTGGAGTTCCTGGGGCATGTCGGTGGTCTGGGTATTGACATGGAGATCTCAAAGAACTTCCAGAGAATCCTCACCAAGCAGGGCATGAAGTTCATGCTAAACACCAAGGTGACCGGCGCCACCAAGTCTGGAGGAAATATCACAGTCACTGTCGAGGGAGCCAAGGATGGCAAGACCCAAGAGGCAAGTTGATGATACAGATTGAACAGTAACCATGGTAACAATAACTTGTGTACAGTTCGGCACATACATGTTGATATGGCGGATATTTGTGAATTCTAGAGATCTTTTGTATATTAGTATGTAATTTATCACATGCTAGCCTCCATGGAATGTGCTCATAGCACATGCATAACAAATTATGCTTAAAGCGCAGACATTGTTTTCAATTACAGGTTTTCATGTCTTTTAGCTCAATCAGGATAAAATGTGTAACTAATTTCCCAAATTGTTTAATAAGACTATTTCACAGTAATCTCAATCTGTGCAAATGGAACTCTGCCTAGGGTAACAGGAAATTATTCACTCACTCACTCACTCACTTGTACAACAAGGACTGGTCGGCTCGGAGTCAGTATAATGTGTCTGAGTGGGGTATTCATGCTTCACTGCGGCATGGTACCTCAGTGGGCTAGCACTATAAAACCAGCTTCAGTCTGGGCTAGTACAAGCAGCCGCACATACACATACACGTGCATGCATGTTATCATATGAGCGAAAAATATTCTCAAGTACGACCTTAAACCCAATTTCACCTCACCTCACCTCACCTCACCTCACCTCACCTCACCTCACCTCACCTCACCTCACACTCTATGTTTTGCAGCTGGAGTGTGATACGCTGCTGGTCTGTATCGGGCGACGTCCCTACACTCAGGGTCTTGGGCTGGACAATCTGGGCATCCAGTTGGACAGCAGGGGCCGCGTTCCGGTCAACTCCCGCTTCCAGACCTCTGTACCCAGCATCTACGCCATCGGGGACTGCATACATGGACCTATGCTGGCTCACAAGGCAGAAGATGAAGGTAGGGTTCTCGTATGTTTGTTGATGGGGGAAGTTAATAATAGTATGTGATTATTTTTGTTGCAAATATATTTGGTTGCAATCAAATGATTTTGTGTCTATTTAAGCTGAGTTTTCCCGAGTAGGTCTATAGGTTATGTTTCTTGTAACTGTCTGGACGGTGTCGCTATCAACTGTATGCAAGGAAGGAATAACACTGAATGGCCCTGAACAACATTGAAAGGTAGTGGGCTAGCCAAGTGGTTAAAGCGTATGCTCGTCATGCCAAAGACCCGGGTTTGATTTCCCATATGGGTGCAATTTGTGAAGCCCATTTCTGGTGTCCCCTGCTGTGATATTGCTCTGATATTGTTTAAAGCGGTGTAAAACCATACTTCACTCCAGTATTAATACAGTTATTTACACAAATGGATCAGTATTCATGTTCTATATTTGAAAGAGATCATTTTCTAATGGCAAATGCAAGAGTCCTCCAGAGGAGTCTCGTCAATCCCTTTGTTGATATAATAGGTCCCCTTAACATACACTGTCTCTACTGTCCAGTGAAGCCAAAGCCAAGGTTTTACATCTATGGAGTTGAAGGACATGTATTGTATCTCATTACAATTTGTATCATGGTGGACTGTATTTTTGCTGTCCAGATGGTCAGACTGGTGGAAGTTTAGAACAGGAATGATGTTATTGTAAACTAAGGCTGCGCAATATAACCGGTTTACCAGTATTTACCAGTTCAGACATGAAAACGATCCGTATTGCGATACGCTGATCGAAAACCGGTATTTTGACATGCATTCGGAAAACTTCGTAACACTCGGAAATCTTCAGATATTTCCGTCTTTTTAATTGTTCTTTTCCCTGTTTCATTAGTGCCAAATGTTACTTACATTTTCATTTTGTCATGATTAAAAGTTTTTATAAAAGGTTAATCAATCATAGTGATTTTGTTGTTTTTTTTGCTTTATAATCAAGCATTAACTCGATTATAAGTAGTTTTTGTTAAAAAAATAAGCCTTGCAATATATTGCAATACATATCGCAAAATATGCTTCCGCATCGCAATATATCGCAATATGAAAATTCTCTGCAATACCCACCCCTATTGTAAACACTGTTTCAGGTATAATCTGTGTGGAGGGTATCTTGGGCGGAGCTGTCCACATAGACTATAACTGTGTCCCATCCGTCATATACACACATCCTGAGGTGGCCTGGGTTGGCAAGACAGAGGAGCAGCTCAAGGAGGAGGTGAGTCGGACGTAGCTACCTTCATGTGGCATGGATCATACAGAGAAAGAACACACTAGGTTAAAAAAGGCTTCAGATCTTTCTTCTAGAAAACAGCTTATAACTATCCCACCCAGAAACTTGTTCAATGATCAAGCCTGCCACGTTTATGTGTACAGCAAAGGGCAGATAACTCTGATACCAGTACAAAATCATATTTATGTGGCAATTTTGTACAGTGATGAAATTTCTCGGCCTCTGATGTCAAATGCTGTTCAATTTTTGCCAAGACAGCAAGAGTTTCACCACCTGCTCCTGATGAAAGCGTCTACAAATATATTTACAAGAGCTTCTACTGCCACTAATGTCACACATAACTCTGGTTATTGCAGGGGGTTGACTACAAGATCGGCACCTTCCCGCTGATCGCCAACAGTCGCGCCAAGTGTAACCAGGACACGGAAGGACTGGTGAAGGTTCTGGCAGATAAAAGCACCGACAGGCTTCTGGGAGTTCACTTCATCGGCTCCGTAAGTCAACAGGGATCTGCCCTTGTGCAGACAGGACTTTCAGCGTGATGATATTTGATCACTTTTTATCACTTTTGTGTGAATTTATTGTTAGTTATTATGTGTTCTCACCTTGATGCCATGTGAATTTGTTAATGAGGTACAAATCCAGTTTCAATATGGCCTCTACAGCAGCCATAGTGGTAAAAATATTTAGATGATGAAGTATGAAAATGTATTTGTTTTAATAAAAGTTTACTGATATGCCAAAGTAATGTGTTGTGCACTATTATATTATATAACCTCGTGTTTGCCATGGTCTTGTATCCTCTCAAAATCCATATTTTGCTCTTTATTCGTCCATGATGACATATCTAGTTCACTGAATTAGAAGTTAGTGTTTTTCTTGAGTTGTCAATATTATCTTTTACCAGTGCCGACAGCAACTTTTCTTTAGTGTCTACCGTTGCAGACATTTTAAACTGTATGCTACGAATCCAGGTGAGATGCAGTGTTGTGAAGCTGCTATTGACATTGCTATTGCACCCTCAATGTGTGTTTGAAATGTGTTTTTTGCAGGTTGCAGGAGAGGATTAATGCAGGAGAGTTGATTAATGAGGCAGCATTTGCGATGGAATATGGAGCATCATGTGAAGATATAGCTAGAGTTTGTCATGCACATCCCGTGAGTTAGCTTATTGATATGTAAAATATAATCATATCATATCATACAGTATCATATCATACTAACAGTGTGTCAAACTGTTTCCTTCTTAAAGAAATGAAAATAGAAGAATATTTACTTTTCTTGGAGAGAAATGACCACATTTACAGAATTACAGAGATAATATTTTGAAATAAATCTGAAGTATATGAACACCGGTGATATTGATATGACGCCTCTGATTCTGATATTCTCCAAATTGTTTTTTCTTTGAGAAGTGCAGTGTCTTTGATCTTACATTAAATTGTTTGTCTTGCTCATTAACTAATAAATATCATGGCCAATATTCTGTTGCTGAAATCATCTCACTGTCATCTTGCTGATATCTCTTGTTTAAAATTGTTGACACATGTTTGTATTTCAGACTGTTTCTGAAGCATTCAGGGAAGCCAACTTGGCTGCCTATTGTGGAAAACCTATCAACTTTTAATGACAAAGACAGTATGTGTATAAAGTGCATTTGACAGAGTATGTGTGTCTTCGGTGGATAATATGTTCAAGTTGGTGCAGGAGTGCTGCATATGTTTCAATGTGTTAATGGAATCTCACGGCTAGAATCTACGTAGGCAACATCTAACATCAACTACAGCTGTCACCCAGCTACCTGGAGATACGTTGTCAAGAACATGGTTTTAAATGACATCAGACAAGGAACAGAGCTTCATGTGTTAAAGGCAAGGCTGCTGAACATATCAACTGCTTTAGAATTGTTTGTACAGGGACCTGAGCATGTATTTTAGCAGCTTAGATCAGAATGTCTATTTTCCACAGCTTGGACCGGAACATGTATATTCAGAAGCCCTGGTCATGTATTTTCAGTTACTGTGGACCTGAACGTGTGTTTTCAGCAACCTTGGACATTCAGCTACTGGAGATCTCAAGATGTTTTGAAGAGATTACACCTGATTCAATGGCCGACAGAGTATTGTTAGGGTTTTCTGTTATCTGTGACAGGCCGTCTAGTGCCAGTGTAGGAAAGTGCTATCAGATTTTACACATTCTGCTGCAATATGCGGAAATTCAATTGTACAAATTGTAAAAAATTGTATGTGAAAAATTAAAAATATTTAACAAGGTTGTTTTGTGATGTTGTTTATTGGGTGACCAACAGTCAGATTACATGTTGTCTCCCATTTCTTTGAAATTTAAAGGTCTTTTATTTGTTCCTCATCACCGTGTATGCTCCATCTGTCTGTTAGTGTGGACATGATGTAAAGAGTTAGATACCCATAATTATCTAACACCTGCGAAAGTACCATTACCAATATTCTTTTGAAATGGGCTGTCCGTAAATAGGATAGACTTGTCGGTGTGAATAAGACCTTTCAAACCAATTTTTGGTAGAGTTGAATTACTCCACAAGTTTTCATCCTAACTTGGGTCTATGAAAATATCTTTTCATCTATAAAAATAATGGTACAGAGAAGTCGTAAAGATGAAATATTATCCATCCTCACAGAAATAATTATCCTCTGTATGAATAGCAGCCATGGCAACAGGGTGTACATCATCCTGGTGGAACAACACCAAGTTTTTAATGTTCTCAGCGGATAAACCATCAATCGGCTGTTTGGGTAGCCCAGTGGTTAAAGTGTTTGCTAGTTATGCAGAAGACCCGGGTTCGACTCCCAACATTGTTACAGTTTGATTCCCAAGTGTAAACTAAAGTTAACCATGAATCAGTCCGTACAAGAACTGAGTGTTAATCAACAAACAACAAAGTAATATGATGTAATTAACATTGTATTTTCAAAAATTAATAATTTAAAAAATCAATACATAGGTATCACTCTGACAGTAGAAAATATAGTGGCCTGCTAAAATTCAAAGGTGATATAATAGAAGATTAGTGATTATTGTAAAAAGACTGATGGTAATATTCACCTTTAGTGAGTGAGTGAGTTTAGTTTTACCCTGCACTCAGCAATATTCCAGCTATATGGCGGCGGTTTCTAAATAATCGAGTCTTGACCAGACAATCCAGTGATCAACAGCAAGAGCATTGATCTGCGCAATTGGGAACCGATGACATGTCAACCAAGTCAGTGAGCCTGACCGATCCGTTAGTTGCCTCTTACCACAAGCATGGGTTACTGAAGGCCAATATTCTAACCCAGACCTTCACAGGTATATTCACCTGTAAGCAACAGTAATCCAACTTAAGATAAGATAAGATAATGCTTTATTGCCTGGAAGAGAATTTTGTGTACATCACAGTTAAGAACATCAGAAAACAACATTTAAGACTTGAATAATGACATTGAATATATAGTAAACAACAGTATTTATAAGAAAAACATCTAGCAATAAATATACTAAGAAAATAATGTTAAGACTTGTTTAAAAAGGATATGCTAACTGGTATAAAAGAGTGTTTACTTCTCTTTGACTTTACATTGGTAAAAGATACCTACGACCAGATGGTAAAAGTGTATAACAAGGGTTTAGAACATGGGTTGGGTCTTGTAAAATTCTGACAGAAAGATTTAAAACAGATGACAAGTACAGGGTGTCTAAATTATCAAAATTACATCAAGCAATTATTCCTGCAACTTTAACAGTGCTTCCAACTAGGCATAGACAGGGAAGAATGATCATCACACACACCACTGGTCTTCTTGAAACTTGAGATGTAATTTGAGTTGAGGGGCAGAGTTAACTCCCCATATATACCTAAGAGCATGCTACCAGATCTTTCCATCCTGTTCCCTGTGTCTCTGGAAATGCGTTTAGGGTTGTACCAGAACTGTCTAAATATGGCAGATGTCTAAACAGCACAATATACAGTGTATTACATGTGGAACAATGTTACACAATAAATAGCACTGCCGCCTAATAGGATTGGGACGGGTAAGAAAAAATGGAATCGAGTACCGGCATGTACGTACCCGAATCGGAATCGAGTACCCGGGAAAAGTAAGGAATAAAGCGCTTCTGTCCACTTTCTGAATATTCTATCACGAGTTGAGGGAGATTTTTATACAAACCTTGAAAGGATGGCAAAAAGACACTGAAACTGAACGTAGGCTATTTAATTAACGTCTAGTTAACAAATATAGAGAGTAACACCATTACATGCATTCCTCGTTAAAACACAGGACTTTTCGTTACAGCTGTTACAGTTATTTGACTCCTCACTGCTCATGCTCAGATATATACAGTCGTTAATAATGACCTCCATTAATCGGACAATACCAATGATGCAAATGTGTGTTACGTCAATGATGAAAAAGGCAAGTTATTATGTGCCCTTCTCCTTTTCCGGGTACTCGATTCCTAGAAGTAGCACTCGATTCCAGCCATACCCGACCCGGATTCGAGTACCCGAGTACCCGTCCCAGCCCTACCGCCTAACAAGGGGACCTGGCTTCTATTCCCAACATGGGTACAATGTGTGAAGACCATTTCTGGGGTCCCCTACCCTACAACATATAACTACAATTTTAACAAATCTGGGAGTGAGTATGGTTTTACGCCGCTTTTAGCAATATTACAGCAATATAACGGCGGTGGGCATCAGACATGGGCTTCACACATTGTACCCATTTGGAATAGAACCCAGGTCTTCGGCGTGACGACTGAACGCTTTAACCACAAGGCTACCCCACCGCCCCTAACAAATCTAGGGGAGAGTGGCAGTTCTTATCATTACAGTGTGTACTTTCAAGGGATTGTGTCCTTGTCTTCGACTGGTAGTGAGTTGTTTTCGCGGTTTCTAATTTAAGAATGTACAAACTCTGGTTTGCTAGCTTTCGGATGAAAAATTCTGTTTCATCATCTGACCATGCAGGCGATGGCTTCCATTCCTAAGGAATCCTACTGGTGCCGCTTTCAGCAATATTCCAGCAATATCACGGCAGGGGACATCAGCAATGGGTTTCACACATGAGGGGAATCAATACCCGAGTCGTGGAAGTACGGAAGCAACGCTTTAACCACTAGGCTACCCATCCGCCATTCTACGACTGGACTGACAGAGGTCAGCAGATCTCTACTTGTCATATTGCTGGTGATCCCCGCTACCAAAAACATTGTGTTGGGAAGTAGATTATATTTTCTAGACTGATCCCTTTTTTTTTTATTACGATATATTGCGTGTTAGCACGACATACGAAGTATAGTCATATGATAGAATCGGGCGGTTCCTTACTTTTTAAATCAGTATGTGATTATTACTATAAGGACACGCACCAGGGTAATAATGTTCTTTAAAGTATCTTTACATTAGAAAGCTAGTTTGTGTACGGTGTTTAGATGAACTGATTCATGCATCACGGAGTCTCAAATAATTATACTCCGACCTATAGAGGTAGAGGGTTATAGTTATACCAAAGAATTCCGTTCGTTCTCCGGAGAGAATTTTGTTCAACCAATACTAGTAACTTGAAAACTATTGGCTTGATTGTTTTTCAAATTCTTGGACTAGTTCATTGTGTGAAGGAGATATCAGTGGAAATTTTGATTATAATGCTTTGTTACTTTGTTTAAATTACAGCAATATGAAAACTTTAAATTGGACATGTTTGTTCAATCAATAACTTAAAAAGTATTAGGAAAAGCTAGATTTATGGATGTCAACTTTATTGTGAATAACACGTTTCGGAGCGTATGCTTGCTCCTTCATCAGACCTGTTGAAGGAGCAAGCATGCGCTCTGAAACGTCGTGTTATTCACAATAAAATAAGTTGACTTCCATAAATATTGCTTTTTTATGCATTCAACTTCTATATGCCCTTCAAAGATTTTAAAAAGTATTGGCCAAATATTTCTCTAATATGGAAAACAGCGTACCTGTCTTTGTGAAATGTTTGGTTCTGATTTTCTAGATTTTGAAAGGATTGTGTTAATTTACATATTTCGAGCTTTAAAAAAGGGAATGTTTATTCAACCAATAACTTGAACACATTTAAATAAATCGTTTTCAATTTTGAGGATGACCCTCTAGATCTATAGGAGCGGTGCAGGCAAAGTTATAATTTGACAGATTTTATTTATCTTGAATTATCACAAAGTACATCTCCTGAACTTGAGATCAAATTAGTGTGTGAGCTCACATGTTTTGGCTTGTTGACAGCCATGTTTATCTACAGAATCAACCACCTGTGCATAGGCAAAACTAGTCTGTCTCACAGTCCCTGAACCACATTAATTTCCCTACTGTCAAGCCCTCTCTGCAGTGCTAAAGCCCTAAATAAAGCAAGTCTAGATTTCCTCAGGTTCTGAATCTCTGGTCTCCCTAGGGCTCCTTTTCAATATAAATGGGCTTGTTTGTTACTATCAAAATTATATATATTCAGAGACTAAGCCTTAGTCTAAGGCAAAACATTTGGGCCGCTTCCTTCTACCCTGCAAGGAGCTCATTGGTGGCCAGATGTTGGTGAATAGTGCGTGACATATAATGCAATGCTGTGGAGTGTATGGGTGCATACCTCGCCATTGTAATGTGATAGCGCACCAGTTAATTACGGAGTTTTAAATTACATTTGTGACGTCATTCCATTGTCTGTTCGCTCCATTCGCTCCATTACTTTTCAGGAATGGAGCGATGTGTACCAGTTTCAAAATAAAACCTTCATTTTGTCATTCTGACATTTAATTTTTATAACAGAAATATTCCCAATACTTCGAATGTAATTTAAGTGGGGTAATATCCTCGTAACTCTCCATTCCTTAAAAATAATGTGCCTCGCCCACCCACCCCACCCCCACCCCCGGCCTCGGCTCCATTATTTTTAAGGAATGGAGAGTTACGAGGACATTCTGAACGAGGAAGATATTATACATGCACTCAGTATTGTCAAAAATCTTTTGTATTCATACACATGGTTATAAAGCAGTGGGTGCATACGATATGTTAGGTTTATTGTTTGTAAAGAGGAAGAAGACAAGCTATAGATACATGTAGGTATTTACCTGAGAATTATCTTTTATCATCACGTCACTTGTCACTTGAAAAAAACTGCCTCCCATTAAAGGTTCCTTTGAAAAATTTAAGCACGGTTTTGTTGCTTACGTCACCTACTTCTTCCGCTGTCCAGTTGTCCATCTGTCATTAGCTATAAGGGGTGATTGGGT